CACAAAGCTGCTTTACAGAAAAATCTGCATCCGAGCCCCCACGAGCATCGCCAGTGGCGACGGTGGCAAGGAAACACTCCCTAAGAGCAAGTGGAAGAAACCTTGGGAGGATCCAAAGCCCTATAGGGGAACCCATTCTCCTTTGGTCGACACCGGATAGCAAACAGCATTAGTATAAAATATTGAAATACAGAAACAGGGAAAAAACAGTTAAGCAATGGTTAATTAGATAGTTTGAGTTTATGCAGCGCCATCATCAGAAGGGTCAGTTCATGCAGGTGAGGTTTGCACAGCGTTGTACAGCGAGAAGCTCCATGGTGGTCAAATCGGTCCAGAAGGCTGGCGAGCAGTGGCACCCGATAAGGCAGAAGAAGCAACAGCATCAGACACACAGGATGGGCAGCTGTTCAACTCGGCAAAGAAAGGAAAACACACAGAGAGTCAGTTCTGTAAAGAGTGACCATGATCACAGATTACAGTGTAACAGAGCAGCAGAGACTCCGGCAGGTCTAGTTATTACGGCCTAACTAAAAGGGAGAAACCAGAAGGTAACAGAGACATGAGGCTCCCTGAGATGTCAGCACTCCTCCCTCCACTGTCAACAAACCTGAGTGAGTGTGAACAGTGGGATGGCAGCACCAACACTCCCAGTTTACCATAATACTCTATGACCATGAACCTCCAGATCTGCACCTTTTATCTAACAGGGAAAACTAATTACCAAAGACTCGACAAAACAAGCCTAGACTTAAAGACTGAGGCTGTGTCTGAGTCCCGAACACTGACTGGAAGATTATTCCAAAGTTTGTATGAGAAGGCTCCACCCCCTGATGTAACTTTATTAATTCTAGGTACTAATAGTGAGCAGCATATTGTGAACTAAGTAGGCGTGATGGTTCATAGGATGAGAGAAGTTCACTCAGGTACTGAGGGGCTGTTTAGAGCTTTATATGTCAGTAAAGGAGTTTGTAATCAATGTGAAATTTTACTGGCAACCAGTGCAGGTTTGATAAAACTGGGCTGATACAGTAGACCTTTCTGGTTCCTGTGAGGACTCTTGCTGCAGCATTCTGGACTAATTAGGGCTGGGATTCGATTCCAGGCATTCGGAAATGGAGAGTCAGCTCCAAAGCTTTGGACTTTACTCCATGCAGTGATGTATAAGTTTGACTGCTGTGTGCACATAGAACATGAGGGTTTTAAATAACCATAACCTGTGGTCCACTAGTCAGGTGGTCTTCTCCAAGGGGGACTGGTCGAAAAACAGGGCCACACACACTTATTTAAGCACATTGCTTATTTGCACCCCTAAACTACTATTATAATTATTAGTAGTAATATTAGAATCATAACAACAAAATAAAAAGAACAATAACAGTAATAATAATAATAATAATAATAATAATAATAATAATAATGATAACAACAGTAATACCACTGCTATTACTACTACTAATAATAATTATAATAATAACAATAATAATAATAACAGTGATGATGATGGTGATGGTTTTTCTTCTTCTTATTATTTAATCGTTGGGGGCTATTTTGCCTCACAACACCCAGCATGTATCCCTCCACCATGAATGTATTTTAGAGTTTCTCAAAACTATCATAAAACAATGTCTTCAGACATCAGGCAGTGTATTCATAACCATGGGTTTGCTTATTAAACTGTGCTTATTTTCTATAAATTAACGTACAGCCTTGTTTATTTTGGCCAGGAAGACCAAAATATCCTCTTTTTCTGCTTTGAGATTTGAACACTGAACATTTGTGCACCAGACTGCCAGTTAGCTGTGGTTATGATGTCACAGCACATGGGTGTTTGGCTGCTTTTGGTTGCGATTTGACAACTGCAATCTTTTTAATTGTAATTTTCATGCAAAAAAAAAAAAAAACATTTAATCTTTTAATTTTAACCATTTCATTATGCAGAAACAGGTCCTCAGATCATCCACAGAGGTCACAGTGCAGTTCCAGCAGGTTTTCTGCTCTAAAACATCTTCATGTATCAAACATGTCAGTGTCTCCTGCTGTGTCTGTGAACTGTGAACAGTCACTGGTTTCATCACAGCCTCCGTAGTGCATCTCGATCAAAGCCAGGCTGACCTCTTTGATGGCTGCTGGCTTTGAAGTCACTATGTAAATGCAGCATCGCTTCTTGAGGGAATTGGATTAGCACAGAAATGAGACAAAATCAGGTCACAAGGTCAGAAAGTCAAACGCAGTTAAAGCAGTAGCACACTGACAAATCTGATTTACACAGTCTCCCCTCTTAGTCCAAATGGAGTCGGTCAGCTAAGGCAGGTTTGGTGCCTGGAGTTTCATGCTACGTTCACATTACCAGGTTGAAGTGGCACAAATCTGATTTTTTGCCCTAAAGTGACTCAGATCTGATGTTTTCAGAGCTGTGTGGACACACAAATCTGATCTTTTCAAATCCAACCTGAGACACTTTCATATGTGGTCCTAGATCGGATACGTATTTGCTTTTTTTCCCATCATTCAGCGTTACCATGGCAGCAGCACCAAACAGAAGTTAAAGCCTGTAAACGGTGGAAAAGCAGCTCATCTCACCTTTTTCACCTTCGTCTCGCTCTAATAATGAGGCTGAGAGCTGATCAGAGTTAATTATCTTCTCAGCGAAGCTCGTTCTGCTCGTTAGTTTGTGCTGATGATGCTCGTGATTCATTCATGTGACGTTACTGAGTAGGATGTGCGCATGAGGGTCATTTCAGGACGCCGGTTCGATCATATTAATGACAGATCTGAATCACTTACCTAAACGAGTGTGAACCATTGTGTCAGAGAGATCGGATTTTAGCAAAAAATCTGATTTAAGCAATGAGGCTAATGTAGCTAAGTGACTGGAGCTGCACAAGTGAGCATGGCGCTAATCACATGACTAAATCACCACATTTGCTTTAAACCGTGTATCTTGAGGCCTAAATCCTGTTCATACTGGTCCATTTTGTGCAGTGCAAAACTAAAGAAGCTTGATGTGTCTTGATAAACAGGTTTTTTATGTCTGAAAAAGATAAATAATTGAGAAAAGAATAGGATGGTGTTTTAATTCCACTGATTTTTCAGAATTTCTGCATAATTAAATGGTTAAGATGTGAACAGGGTTTGGTGTGAAACGCTCTGTTCTAGACAAACTTACCGAGTCAGAATTGTTCACAGTGGTGGTGATAGGAACCAGACGTCCACCTCTAAAAGCTCCCTCACAGAAAGCTACTACATCTAATGGTTATGAATTCACTGCCTGATGCTTGACACACTACTTCATGATAGTTTTGAGATACATTAACTATGTATTTTTTAAATCCATTCATGGTGGAGGAATATGTGCAGGGTGTTGTGAGGCGAAATAGTCCCCAAAGAAAAGTTATTTCAGATTTTCCACTATTTTCCCATCATCAACATTCCAAATAAACTCAGAAGACTCGTGTAGGTTCACTGGTGGTTTTGGATAGTAAATAAAATGTCTATATTTGTGTCGTAGTCATGGCGACCCCTGGTTCCTATCACCACCACTGTAAAGACATCTGAACCATTTCACACCAAACCACTCTGAATCACTCTGTTTACATCTCACACACTGAATTATGGAAGAATTTTGAAAAATTGATTGGACTCCCCTTTAAGTTACATCAACCCCTGAAACTCCTGACTTTTTATTATACGCTGACTCTCTGCCTTTTACTCAATTAAAACCGAGTCAGACGTACAACAGCTGCTTCACTGACGCTGTATAAGACTAAGTGTTATGACATATATTTCATATGATATATTTTAAAATGAACACAGTCAGTCATAACACCATCATGGACTGTTGTGACTGATACAGCTGCTCTGACTGATGGAGTGTTATCAAGAATATAAAGATGAATTAGTGTTGTTTGAACTGGGAGGCAACAATAAGCTCCTCTCACCTCATTTCCTGACAGCCGTGACGGCCGCCGTGAAGGTGGATTGTGATCACACAGCACCACTTCACACGTGTCTTTTCACCAGGCGGCTGAAAAGCCCAGCAATTATCTATAATTATGGCGTCTGTGAAAAGGCCGGGGAAGGAAATTAACAGCGCACAGCTGGATAATAGCTACGGGCGAAGCTTCTTGATCGCAACAATGAGATGGAAAATCTGCTGAGCCTGTCTTCAGCAATACAGATGTAAATGACATGCTGAGTGATTCTGATGGTAGATCAGTTACAGGAGGAGGAAAGGTTGTGTGTGAGAAGACAGTCTATTTTTCTGTAGCAGGGAGAAGTAGAAATGTATGCGCACTCAGTTTTAGCTCAAAAACTTGGCGTTGAGTGACAAGATTGTAACTCAGCCCACTCTAACCCCTTTAAATGGCCAGGGCCCACTGGCAGGCCCAAAGTGTTATTACACACTTCTATAACCTAAGAATAGCTCAGCCAGTCTGTATCGAAGCCCCTGTAGTTACTGAATAATAAGCCTTAGTATGTAATAAGACTGGGATTTTAAGGGGTTAAAAAGTTTTTTAAGCGTTCTTTAGTAAAGACAACAGTTATGTCTCAGTCATCAGGCAGTGAATTCATAACCATTTCATGTAGTAACTTTCTGTGATGGAGCTTTTAGAGGTGGACGTCTGGTTCCTATCACCACCACTGTGAACAATTCTGATTCTGGAAGTTTGTCTAGAATGGAGCGTTTCACACCATCTTACACTATTTAATTATGCAGAAATTCTGAACCAGCAGAATTCCCCTTTAAGGTCACACAGCTTGTATAATCTCCACAGAAAGGCAGTGACCAATAAAATGGGACGCTCTGGAGCAGCTGCACATGAGTTTCAGGTCATCATACCCAATGCCAGGCATGGGCTAGAGGGGTATAAAGCCCCCCAGGATTGGGCTGTTGAGCAGTGGAACTGCATTATGTGTTAATAAATTTAAACATAAGTCTGTTTTTTTATTTTTTCTTTAATTTATCGAAAACAAACAAAAAAATCATATATTGTTTTTTTGTATATATAAAACGAAACATTTTAAATATTAATTATTCTTATTTACAATTTAAAACAGTACAGGAAATAATAACACTATCAGTCATAAAAATGTTATAAAACAGTAACTTTCCGCTTGCAAAATGTCAGAGCTGGGAATGGCGAATGTTAGGATACGACGACGCTATGCTGAGCAGGTCTACATTCATACAGGAACTAGAGGTGTGTTCAACAAGACGAGCGGAGGATACACTAGAAAAATGACATGTTAATGACGCCCTTAAAGTCCTAAAATTGCTAAAACAGCCTAGAATCTATTCATAAAAATGTCCACAACTGGTTGCAGTAAATGTAAAAGCCCTGTAATAAGTTGGTAACAAATCATTTCGCTTGGTTGAACACACCTCAAGCTAGTTAAGGTCACTGTTTTCTAGAGGAACAGGGTTTAGGAGAGAAGGCATATGTGAAATCGACTGTATATTAGAGCCGTGTGTGTCCAGGCTGGGAAGTACTGAGAAGGATGCGCTGTCGAAACCTAAAACAGAGCAGTTCAGCTGCCTAATCTGCATCATCCACAGGACGTCAACCTCCGACAACGACAACAGTTCCAGTCTTCTAAAATCTTCCATTGTTTTCCCCCAGTTCATAAAGGTGCTCAGGGTCCACAGTGGCAGCGACACTGAAGGCAGAGGCCTTGGAAACCAGCTGAGGTCAAAGTACTGAAGCTCAGAAGGTGCTGTTGGGTCGGTCTGTTCCTGGCTGTCTTGTATATGGGATCTTTACATGGAAAAGAGAAACAAATAAGCAAAAAAAACACATATATTAATATATGGATTCCATTCTAATTGCAAACTCTTGAGTTCTACTGTTTAATATCCTTAGTATGTTTTTATTTGTAGGAAAAATTATAGTAATTAGTAATTAATTATACACTGTGTTGAATAAATATGGTTTGGGTCCAGTTGTACATTAAGGTTTAGACTCAAAAGTCTAAACAGCACTGGCAGTTTTAGCTAAACTGCACAGGAATATGTATATGTATGTATATATCGCTGCTGTCGGAAGAAAACCTTGTATCTCCACTTTTGTTTTTCAGTTTTTGACATAATTTGAAAATGCCTGTTACTCTTTACATTGTGCATAAATTTCATGAAGAATGGACTAAAAGAAACGGCCCAAAATGACTTGGAAAAAGGTCTGGTTCCATTGACTTACATTAAAAGTAACATAGGTTTTTTCCTTCTCCTGTAAAGTTACCATTTTGGAGATATGAGGTTTTCTTCTGCATAACAGCGATATATAGACACAGCATACAAAAGTCTGAACATTTCCGGTCAAATTACATGTTTTGTTGATTTTCTAAGTTACACTAAGTTACACATCCTCTGCAGTGAACACATTATATATTTGCTGAATTTAACATATAAAATAAGACATAAAACAATACGTGCAGTAACGCATGCACAGGACACATTTTATATTTTACTTTTTTCCCCCCAGTGTGTTAAATTCAGCAAATAAACAGTAATTGTGCATTAAAATGTGTAGAAGTGTGTAGGAATGTGTTCATTTATTTACACTCAAAAAATCAACACAACATGACAATTTGACAAGAGACATATATGAGTATGACTTTATACATACATACATACATACATACATATGGGTCATTCTTCAGAAACGTCCATTTTTGTGTCCCTAGCGTTTACAGATATATCACACTTGAAAAACGTTATGGTTACAATTTCTTTATATTTTAAAATATAAATATTTTAACAATTACACCTTCTTCAGCCACCAATTTAACAATATTGGTTTTTAAATTAATTATATAAAATTCCAAGCACCACAGAAGTGCAGTCATGTGTAAAGACTGAGGCCATATTTGGAGGTAAAAACATGTTTTTCTGCAATTTTAACTACAATAATCTATTCATGACTATGAAATATATGAATTAAATGACATAAAGAAAACAAATGCTGAATAAATATAAAATATATAATAGAAGTTGTTGTCCCCAGGAGTCGTGTCACTGGTGTTACTGCGTAACAAAAAATCTCTTATTTTGAAATAAAAATCACACTGATGACATCACTTGACTTCTTATTACCTGTTTTCTAAGGATCTATGAAGAAAAGCACATGGTGAGTCCACTGAGTCTTTCAGTTATCAGAAATTTTCTCATTTAGCTCATGATTTCATATGAAGCTTTTAGCTGAAGTTACTGGTGTGACCTACTTTATTCTGAGGTAATTGTGAAAAAATAGAATACAAATGGAATAAATTCCATATTTTAGTGGATATTCCATGATTGACGACATGTGGTTTGACGCTCTGTAGCAGCCGTTTTGTAAAATGCAATTTTTATTAAAAATGTCTCTGGTGTTACGTTTCTTATGTGTAACACCAATGAGGATCAGTAACACCAGTGACTCCTATGGAGAGATAGAAAAGTGGACGTTTCTGTAGAGTGACCCATATATAATGTATGGGATGTGACAGTTAGTGTATTAATAAAAATAATCTGATGGACTGGCTGTGTTCACATTACCAGCTTGAAGTAACACAAATTAGAATTTTGCCTAAATGTGCCACAGACCTGATTTAGACACAGAAATCTGATGTTCTCAAATCAGATCTGAGTCACGTTCATGTCTGCACCTACAATGGACACATATCCAATAGGAATGCTTTCAGGAATTTTTGTATTTTTGTTTTTACACTATGCATCCTAATTTCATTTTGGTCAGTGTTGAGTATGCTCAGCAGCTTTAGCCGGCTGTTAAAATGTGGGTTCATTTGTGGCACAGGTGTGTTCTGACCAGTGGCTAGCCATGATTATTGGAGCTAGGCCTTCAGTTCGGACCATAAATGTCAAAACAAGGTCAAAGCTGATCTTTTCTGGTAGCACTCCTATGGGATTCTAGTAGTATATAAGCACTAAGCTAATGGCGATTCACATCAACATTTTTTTGGTCATTCTAGATTAAACACAAACAATAGACGCTTGTAAAAGTGATTCCATATGTTTTATCTGAAGCTTATATCAGACATTATCATATATCTGAGCTTGTATGTATCAGTTTTACAGTCAATCTCTCAGTAAAGAGTTCTGACATAGAGCTGCTGCCGCAGTTTTCCATTCCTAACAACTAACTGGAACCTGATTAGACTACAGCTCAGTGACATATTAAGAACTTCCAAAAGGTGTAGAATGATGCTTTTTTCCAAAGTGTGATTGGTTGATTCCTCTGTTACTTCCTAATTATATTGGTAGTTAATCTAGTGTGGCCGTCAGTCCGGCTTCCGAAGCCCTAACTAATAGCAGAGCTCACTTGGCCGTACCTGCCCAGATATCATTCTGGCTACCTAGTGTTTATTTTGTTTAACAGCAGTTATCAGACCTAAGTAACATTTAATCTATGATGACTGTGTTTATTAATCAGTAATCTGCACTATTTGCAGCTCCCGGTTCTGTACGCGTGATATCCTGTCAAGAAGGCTTGACAAAATCATCACTCAGGTAACACTTTTACAAACGTGAATGTGGACCATCAAGACAGAAAGGTCAGATCTGTGCAAGACAACAGAAGGCTTGTAATGTGAACGCAGCCTTAGAGACGTCACAGGTGAGAATATATACTGAAATGAGTGAAATGAGTTTTCTCATCTTCAGCGAAGCTCATCAGTCTGTGTGAGTTGACGTACGAGGTTTGGAGGCAGCGGAGAGAGAGAGGAGCTGAGGATGGCTGAGCGTCTGCTCTTAGAAAGCTGAAGTGGAGGAATGGCAGAGAAAGACAGAACAGAAAGGACAGACAGATGAGTGGTGTTTCATGACTGAACACAGAGACACATAAATGAAGACGAAAGTGTAATTTTTGCTTTATCTTTAAACTTTTAGCCAATGGAAAATTTATCCAGACTAAAACTGCTTGGAATGTTGTCTTAAAGTGGAATTTAAACTTTTACAGCCAATAATTAGACAATTTATTTATTTTATTTTATTCATTGATCAACTAATTAAAAAAAGTCATTAAGCAGAAGATTTAAAACTCAGGCAAAAATTTCAGGCTCAATTAAGGCTCTAGTTTAGAGCACATTTGGCCAAACACAGTCCAAAGTCTGAGCCAAAACAGAGCCGTTTAGCCTCCTTCCTGCTTTAACACCTGATTCTGATCATTAGCTAATTAGTAAGCCTTTGATCAGCTGAATCAGAGCAGGAGAAACACTACACTGTGCAGCACTGTGGCTTTCCAGGAATGCAGCTCGACACTCCTGGTTCTAGATATGCAGTACCCGTCCAAAGTCTGGTGACACCTACCTTCTTTAAAACATTTTTAATAAAACAAGTGTGTCTTCTATATCGGTTTGCATTATTTATCTGATCTTTTCTTTAATTTTGGGAATGAAGCCAAAAGCCATTCATTTGATCCCCTTGGTGTGGTGGTGGCACTCAGCGGCTCTCAAACCTTTCAGTTTTTAACCATCTATGGTGTAAAAGAGTTTTAATATGTGTTTTTAACAACAGTTTAGAACAGCAAACTGTCTAATCAGTATGTAGACAAACGCTGCTCCTCATATTAAAGAAGAAGCTTTGATGATCAGAAAGAGTATTGAAGATGCTAAGAAAATAGCACAGAGCTGATTAGTGCCACGAAAACATTTGCAGGTATTTTATTTAACTGAAATGTAACAGTGAAAATGAAGCATCATTTGGAACAGCTGCAAAAATAAGGTTAGGTGCCCCCAAAAGGTTTTTTTTATGGAAAATGAAGCAGGTTAGTATACTTGTGAGATGGTTTGTGAACACGAGGATGACTCAGTGCCAGGGATGTGGGTGGCTGGAATACTGAGGGTGGATTATTTAGGATTATTTAAGATTATTTAACTGCAAAAAGAAGAAACCTAGTAATGTACCTAGTAAAATAAGCCTAGTAAAAACCTTTGTGCGCTTGATTTAAAATGTATTTAGTAGTTTTATGTTTTATTTGTTAATTTTTAAAACCTGCAGCTGTTTAAGTTAACGCTATATTTCCATTACTGCGAGCAGAATCGCTTTCCTCTACAACTGCTGCCGCTTTGTGGGCGTGTTGCTAAAATAAATGCAGGTTGAAATGCAAAGAGGGAACCCCAAAACAGTGTAATACTGTTTTTAAACTTAAAAAAAATCATGTAACATAATAATGTCCTGCTCTTTGAATACATTCTTTTTTTTTAACACCTGTTATATCTCCTGCTTGGTGTGAGGCGTGACACATTTGGTCCCATTTGGTGCCACATATCAATAATGTGATTGGTCACTGCTCAACTCATTTGTACAAGAACCGTTCATCCAAAACAAGAGCACAGAATGAAGATGTGAATCAGCGGTTTGATATGTCAGTTTTATGTGTATATTGTCGCCACATTACAGCATCAAAAAATTCAAATGAAAAAAGGCAAATAATTTTGCATGATGTCATCGTTCACATCATGTATATGCTGCATAATACAGGGTGATTCAAAAAGATTCATCTGATTTCAAAGCCATATTTATACAACCATGAGGCGCCGAGGAACCAATCACAATCCAATTGAAAGAGGGGGTCATATAGTTTCTGACTGTCAGTGGAAGATGGCTCCCTTCAGCCTGCGAGGAGATGAGACCCCTGAGCAGAAAGCGTTCTGCGTTCTCCACTTCAATAAGAGTGAATCCGTCATAACTGTGCAGCGTGATTTTCGTGGGCAGTGAACCTCCGACAGCTCAAAGTGTTCGGCGTTGGTTCCACAACACTGGATGATCTCCGAAATCGCACTGAAAGAGCCGTGAGTGCAGCGACACCCGACATGCTCAATCCAGTATGGGATGAATTTGACTATGGCGTTGATGTTGTCCGTACAGCTGGAGGAGGTTCGTACTGAGCACTTGTACAATTACATAATAAACTTTATTAAACCATTTACAGTTTACTGCATTGTTCTGTAATGATTTACAAGTGAAATAAATCATTTTGAAATCAGATGATTCTTTTTGAATCACCCTGTATTTATTGCCCCTCCATCTTAAAACACCTTACCAGGTCCCTGATCAGTGAACCAGAGTGAAAATGCTAACTAATAGCTGCAGGAAGCTCACAGACCTGTTCATTCATAATGGCCGACAGCTCGTTCAGCATTTCTCTGTAGTGAGCCTTCATCTCCTCCTGGTACTCCACCTGGTCCTCCTTAATCAGCCGCTCGTTCACGTCCAGAGCCTGGCCGCACGCGTCCGCAAACTGCCTATAGGCGGAGACAGAGAGAATTTGAAACCGGTGCTTACTTGAAATCCAGAATATTAAGATTAAGTGACCCTTATTAATCCCACAAAGGGGAAATTTCACCTCCACATTTAACCCATCTGTGCAGTGAAACACCACATACACACTAGTGAACACACACACTAGGAGGCAGTGAGCACACTTGCCCACAGGGGTGGGCAGCCCTATCCACGGCACCCAGGTAGCAGTTCGGGGTAAGGTGCCTTGATCAGTCACGTATTGTCGGCTCAGGGGATCGAACAGGTGACCTTTCGGTCACAAGGCTGGTTCCCTAACCTTCATCCCACGACTGCCGATAAAAGTCATCAATTAAATGCTAACTGGTCTTAAATCAAACCATCTTTCAGTGACGCCAGTGAAGAACCATTTTGTCTTCGCTAAAGAACCTTTCGTTGGATGGTTCTTTAAAGAAACATTTTTCTAAATGAGATGTGTGTGAAGAACTGTCACATAATGTAAAGGTTCTTTACCAATTTAGGAACCCTTATAAAGGTTTTCCACATTCAAAAAATCATTAAGCAGAAGATAAAAAAATTCAGCTGTAGTTTAGACCATGAGGTCAAAGTCAAAGCCAAAACAGAGCCGTTTAGTGTTATCCTGCTCTAACACCTGATTCCGATCATTAGCTAATTAGTAAGCTTTTGATCAGCTGAATCAGAGCAGGAGAAACACTACACTATGCAGCACTGTGGCCTTCCAGGAATGCAGCTTGACACTCCTGGTCCTAGATATACAGTTCCCATCCAAACTGTGAGAAGTTTAAAACAGTTTTAGCTTTTCAAAACAGTTTTAATGAAACAAGCATGTCTTCTTTGTTGGTTTTCAATATGTAAAAACCCTTATTAAGGTTCTTCCCACTTATATACCTCATTTACAAAACTGGTTCCTTAAAGAAACACCCTTTGAAAGGTTCTTTAGGGAACCAAAACTGGCTCTTCTTTTTAAGAGTGAGGGTTATTTCCAACCCCAACGTGATCCGACTGCTCTCGTCACTTCTTATCACTTTTCAAACACTCGTCAAAACTCAGATCAGGTTAAATTTCATGGTTCTCACATCTCGTTATATAAGCACGGAACAGCGTGAGAACAGCAAGACTAAAAAAAAGTTCAGTTTCGAACACAAGGCTTAATGATATGGGGGAGGTCCAGTTCCGACAAAATTCTTTCGGACTCAAAATTCGGGGACGGGTCAGGATGTAAGAAAGTTCTCAGCTGTATTAGGGTCTGGGAAAAAAATTCAGGTCCGAATAAAACTGTAAACAGAGCCAAAGCTGACTGTGAACACTACATATATAATATAAATATGTCCATATCAGAGAGAAGAGTACCTGAAGATCTCTTTGAGCAGCTTGACCTGGTTGTCTGGGTATTTCTTGGCATTCTTCTCCTCCAAAAAGGCTCGAGCGTAGGCCATGGGCCCTGCGTTTACCTGCAGAGGGAGTTCAGACAGTGTTCTCATTCGCACCACTCATACATCTAAACATTCCCTTCATAATACAGCTGGATGACCTGGATAAAAAGTACTGATACTGCCATTATATTGTTGTATATTGTGATTAAGGCTGGGCATTAAATATTTTTATATGACTGAAATACTCCAGTACTACAGAGTATCTAAAAATTCTGACAATCAGTACCTTAAGTAGTCTCTTAACCCCTTAAATGGTTTTATCACACACTTCTATAACCTAAGAATAGCAGCTTGCATTGACGTCCCTGTAGTTACGGAATAATAAGCCTTAGTATGTAATAAGCCTGGGATTTTAAGGGGTTAACAACCTTGAGTCAATAAGCTTTCTGATGACTGTCTAAGTTACATTCCATATCTAAATTATAAATATATCTAAATTAATCCACTGCAGTCAGTATATATACCTACTTTAAGCACCTCACACTCCTTTCTGGCCACGCCCACTTTTGGTTTTTAATTGAAAAAAGTAACATCAGGGTAAAGAGTGTGGTTAAACTGCATTAGTCAATGAGTGCGTATACATGCACTCAATAATCCGATCATAATCGGATTTCTGCAGTTATCTGATTATTCAAATGGTCATGTAAACAGCATACTCCGATCGAGAAATCCGATTAAGAAATCCGTTAAAGAGCCTGGATTTTAGCTCAGTAATCAGATTTCTGTGCATGTAAACTCTTACTCTGATTTCTTTCGGATTTCTCAGTCTGCACATGCGTGAGATCAGACAGTGGATGTTGCGAGATGCAGCAAAACACTTTTGGAGCGGCGCTGAAACCAAACACGAAATTAAGATTTTAAATATTCTTCATCTTCTAGATGATGTTTGTTCATATTTTCGGGTAAAGTGGGGCGATGTTAAAAAAAAAAAGCCGCAGCATGAAGTTTGAGTTTTACATTATGTTTACGTCACGTCTTCTCCTGTGAGTTTATTGGCTGGTTTCAAAGCAGAAATCTGATTACTGTCTGACTCATGGAGACGCAGAGTTTCCCCATTATCTGATTACTCTGTGTGCATGTAAACGCACTCAATGAGTTATATGACCTGGTTAAAGATGGGTCTGAAATATGTTGACCAAAATAATTTACGTTTGTTGGCACATGACTTTATTTATTAAAACACCTAAAAACTGGTAGTATTTCACAGTAACAATACACACATACATTTTCTAAACTGCTTATCCTTCTGGGTCGTGGCGTGGGGGGGTTGCTGGAGCCTATACCAGCAATCACTGGGTGGAAGGAAGGAAACACCCTGGACAGGTCGGCAGTCGATCACAGACAGTAATAATAATGTTTAACAAATAATATTGTGCAGCCCTAATTTGCAATCTTAGAAAAAAGATCTGTGACAAACCACTCAGTCACGTCTATTTAAATACATTCACAGCTGCCAATCACTACACAACTGAAAAGTATTGACATATATGGTAGAAGTATAACAGTTTGCAGAGAATTCAGTTTTACAGTGCTATCAGAAAGGAAGCAGTGAGGACTGGACTAGTGAATAGCTACGTTTACACGCAGGCTAATAATCAGTTAATCCAACTAATAGCTCAATCGGAATAGAATACGTCCACGTATCCTCTTCAATCGGAATAGTCTAGTCTGATTGAGACCATTCGGAATACAGTTCCTATCTGATTGAATGAGGTGGGTAATCCTGTAATCCTAATCCATTACCTTATTCCACTGCTGAGTGTCATGAAAAACTGCATTTGGTGTGTTTGTGTTTTTGTGTTTACCTTCACGCTGACGCTTCCCTGTAGTTTGAGCTGCAGGCGAATCATGTCCACTTCGTCCATCCTGCAGAGCTGGTTTAGCTCCGACACTTTGCGGCTCATCTCGTCGATGGCTACCTCGATGGGGTTCATCTCTGTGCTCTGCTGCTTCACCACCTGGATCCGCTTCTTCAGGTATGGGAACATGGAGCTCGCTGTGGAGCAAGTTACAGTTATAAGTTAGTAGTTAATACAGTTAAATTAATTAATTGCAAATCAGGTAAAATACATCATTTTAGCGTTTTAATTGTACACTGATCAGGCATAACATTATGACCACCTCCTTGTTTCTACACTCATTGTCCATTTTATCAGCTCCACTTACTATATAGGTGCACTTTGTAGTTCTACAGTTACAGACTGAGTGGATCAGACACAGCAGTGCTGCTGGAGTTTTTAAACACCTCAGTGTCACTGCTGGACTGAGAATAGTCCACCAACCAAAAATATCCAGCCAAAAGCGTCCTGTGACCACTGATGAAGGACTAGAGGATGACCAACTCAACTGTGCAGCAGCAGATGAGTTATCGTCTTTGACTTTACATCTACAAGGTGGACTGACAAGGTAGGAGTGTCTAATAGAGTGGACAGTGAGCGGACACAGTGTTTAAAAACTCCAGCAGCACTGCTGTGTCTGATCCACTCACACCAGCACAACACACACTAACACACCACCACCACGTCAGTGTTACTGCAGTGCTGAGAATGATCCACCACCCAAATAGTACCAGCTCTGTGAGGGTCCATGGGGGTCCTGACCACTGAAGAACAGGGTAAAATGGGGCTAACAAAGTATGCAGAGAAACAGATGCAAAGTGCACCTATATAGTAAGTGGAGCTGATAAAATGGACAATGAGCATAGAAACAAGGAGGTGGTCATAATGTTATGCCTGATCAGTGTATTTCTCAGTTTTAATGTGTTGTATTAATCAAGTTTTGGTTTTAATTTTAGCTCTTCAAGATACTTTATTGGTGTCTGACAATAAAAATCATTGTTTAATATAACTGCATTATTACAAAACTAATTACACAGTTATAAATGGATGCAATGAGCTACATTTATGTTTAGTTTCTGTTCTATTGACAGGTGTGATCTAAACTTCTGGCTTTGTTCTGTTTGCACTGATGTTGAAAATTAATAAAAACTTTCTGCTCAATCGATTGATTATTCTTCTTTACACTGAGGAGCGGACAGATCAGTTGGACTCACTGGTCAGTATGGTCCGTCTCTTGCACTGCTCCTCCACATCGCCGTGCTTCTTGCCAGACAGAGTGAAGGGCGTCTCGAACACAAAGCGGTTGATGTTGTGATGTCGCTCAAAGTCCGTCTTCTTCTCCTGCTGCTCCTTCTCGTCGAAGTAGGGCACCACGTAGGTGACCTGGATGTAGGCGAACCTGGGGTCCAGGTCTTTAGGGTTCACCTGAGACCAAACACACACAGCACTGAAGAACAGGTACCTAAGAACGTTCTCATTTGTCTCAACATCAAAGAAAACAAATCAAACCCTTTAAACCGGCTCATAATTCAGTTGTTAATTCAAGACCTACTATAATTAATTAACCAAAACTACTATGAATTATTCATGAACTACTAATAGCTAAGTTGTATACTTAAGAAAGCAGGAAGCTGAAGTGTGGGTCCTTAAAGGCAGACATGAATAAACAATACCAACATGTAAAATATTTACGATCACGAAGCAATGAATCAGCTTCGGTGCATGAAAACAAGTGTCCGCACACAAGTACCTTATTTACATATTATTTGCAACAGACACGCCCTCATTTACATATAATTTACAAGAAGCATGCCCTAATTCATGCATACGCTTTGATAGTGAGCCACCAAAACAAAAGTATTCGGCCGCTCATGAGGCAATGGTGGGGAATTTGGAGTTGAGCAGGAGGTGCACTGCTCCTCCTACTGGCCAGAGCTTAAACAGCTTTATAGCGTTAAAATTACAATGACTGAAATGAACTAGAAATCTAAATTAAATACTCACAGGTCTTTTACTGTCTTTGGGCTACACACTCGATTCACATTACTACTAAAATTAACTACTTAATTTTCAATAATAAATTGCATTTACATTCAGTTTTATATACTGTCTTTCATACGATTTGAGACACTTTTTAAATCTTTGTTTAAAAAAAAAAGGCAAAAATGAAAAGAATGAAAAGGAAAGTTTTTCATAGCTCAAAACGAAACTCTGATTGGATCTGGAGGAGAAGTGACAGGAGGCCACCCCACCTTGTTGGAGTCCTGGATCATTTTGACGTTGTCCGCCCCGAACTTGTCGGAGTAGAGCTTGAGAAGCCGCTGAGAGATCTCGGAGAGTCCGGTTAGCTTCGGCTCCTTGTAGATGAACTCCTTACTCTCCTCCTCTTCAAAGAAGCCCTGTGAACGGCACAGCTGTTAGATCTCTTGTGTCTGTACACGGGGAGTCCCAGAGTCTGAATGTTAGCAGACAGCGTCCTCATGTGGCAGCAATGACAACAACATGCTGTCAGAAGCAGAGTGACTGTCACTGTGACATGGTTTACCACGGCAGTGTGGGATTACTTTAATGGAAGCACAGCGGCACTCGTCCCTCACATTAGACCAGAGTCAAACCTAACACCTTTTTATGAATATCATGTCTATAAGCACCTATAAACACTTTTATAACATGTTGTAAGGCATTATAAACATGCATATTAAATGCATTACACTTTATAACCATGTTTATAATAAATTATGAATTGCTAACATAATGCATTATAATATAAGAGGGCTAAACAAACTTAATCCCAAGGTAGCATAGTGCATTATGACTCACAGATGCAAAATTACTGTTTATTCGCTGAATTTAACATACCAGAAAACATTTTATATGCTATCCCCAAAATATTAAACTCAGCAAATAAATAATTGTGCACTAAAATGTTCAGAAAATTGACATATGTAAGTTTGTTTCCTGCAGAGGACTTTAGAAAACATAATATAATGTAAACTTTTGCATATGACTGTATGAATTATGCTCATTTGGAATGGAATAACAATTTAACATCCATTATAATCCTAGAATAACATTCTATAACTCAGAATTTATATTCCTGCCATTATATGTAGAGATTATTACTGACAGACATGATTACACTAATTTTTACATAATTTATAGCCCCTTTGTGAGAACATATACTTCTTTGCTATGAACATGTTCACGGTTTTTTATAGATATGATATTCATAAGAAGTGTTACTGAAAGTTGAAGGAACTGCAGCACTGCTATTAGTTAGGCTGTAATGACCTTAGAACAACCATAATTAAGGAGTTCACACCAACACTTTTAAAGACCTCCACTGGCAGCCTAGTCTATTACACCTAAAAATATCAGTAACGCTTTATTTGAAGGCTCCTTGTATAGGTAATCAATAACATACATAAGCATTGAATAATATAGTTAAAAAGCAATACCTGAGTATTTATTAACAGCTTACATCACTGTTCACAAGATGCATGAGATATTTTATTAAGTAAATGACATTGTATTGGCATGAGGGTACTTACAGTAAAGTGAAGGTCATTTGTTTAATTTATAACACTGTTATAAAGCATTATTTCTAGGTAATATGAGTTTTAAGAAAGATTTAAACAATTTAAAATGGATTTCTACATACTAAGCCTTATTATTCAGTAACTACAGGGACTTCAATCCATACTGGCTGAGCTACTCTCAGTTTTTTGAAGTGTGTAATAAAACTTTGGGCCCACCAGTGGACCTTGGCCATTTTAGGGGGCTAATACAAATTGTCCTGTAAATATATAGTCGCTGTCCCAAAAAAACCAAGTATCTCCATTTTTTTCTGATTTTCACTTTTTAACAACATTTAAGTATAAAAAGTAGTGGCCTAATATAAAAGTGAGGTATTATAGATTATTATGCTTTAGTATTTTGATAAACAATTCATATCACTGACTGAGCTCTTCATTACTGCAGCAACACTGGCTTCTTTAATAGACATTGCACTACTTTGAAATATATAGAACTGATATAAGCTGCTCTGCCTTATAAGCTCCATTAATGATACTTCATAAATGCGTTATAAATAGAACAAATCCGTAGATCCGTAGATCATCTCAGCTGTGATGTTATTGGCGATAACACACGACCTCGAGTGTTCTATTGCTTTAATACAACAGTTAAATAAATAAAGTAAGAAATAAATAAACTGGGCTGTGAACGCGGAGTTTAATGTGTTTTAATGTTCGCAGTTCCTTCCTCCAAATTATAGTTCCTTAACAAGCAGCTTGTTGCTACGTCAGAGTAACGAGCTCCGCTCACTCACTGCACAGTCTGCTGTAAGCCTCGCTTTTGAAGTACACACTGAGTCATAAAACTGCGGCAATATCAAGTTTAGCTCAGTTTTGTCATTTTTGCCAGATCAATATTAATGTTGTTTTGTTCCAGCCAGTCTGTAAAGCATCTTACAGCCCATTTTGTTTGGCGAATGGTATTGGGTTCATTTCTGGCTGATTCCAGGTTGTTAAGCTGTTCTTCTGTCTCAGCTGCTGAGTGAAAAGCTGCTCAGTGGTGATGACAGTTTGGGAATTTAGTGTAGTCTCATCTTCAGAGTCTGACCAAATCGCCTGTCGGTCAAATGTGATCTTAAAAGTGCCCATTTTCTTTTTTCTGTGCAAAGTAAGAAGTAAAAATGTTCAAATGGCTTGAGTGTCTCCTACAGCTGTCAAAGTTGTTGCTTAGCAACGGTGTCTCAGCAAAGTGACACGGTGTTTGTGAAAAACCTGTGATGTTATGGCAAAATCTCAACCAATCAGTTTGCGTGGCCGGAACTAACTGTTGTATAATCACAAATACTCAGCTATTGCTTTATAAATGTTATTCAGTGCTTATAGATGCACCTTTGAATAAAGTGTTCCCAAAATATCTCACCTTTCTTCTGTTTCTATAAACATCAGTTACTATTACACATACATAGAAATGCTTGGGATTAAATGTAAGGAAGACACGCAGGAGGAATACAGTGCAGTACATAGTTATACACCATACATTACAACGTATGTATGGAAAAATAGATTAAAAATATTAGCTCTTCAGGACAGAGTGGGGTGGTTTAGCCATTTAGAGGAGAAAACAGGGAAAAAAAGAGACGGAGAGTGAAACAGAAGGACTTACCGCTGCCTGATACAGACAACAAAAAGGAAGAAAGAGCAGACGAAGGATTTAAAGAAAGTGTGAGATGATCCTGAGGGACCATCTTTAAAAGACCAAGACAACAAATGAAGAGATGGAGAGTGCAGCGCTTTCGGCACAGAACTCGACTCAACAACCAACAGAAAGCTTTGGTTTCTTCAGCGCTTTACAAAATGATGGCATTTTGCAAAGTTAATTTTGCTCACAGTGCTGAAGAACAAAACTGGATCACTGAAACACAAAGTCAGTTTAATAAAGATTGTCCCTGTATTCTCCTCCCTGCAGTCTCTTCCTCATAATGATTCTAAAGTCCTGAATTTTATCACTATTCGGTTAGATTTGATTATTTGGGCAACTATTTCAAAAACTACACTTTTTATACAGGTATGGCTGGAGACCCCTTACCACAGCGGTGAATATGGACAACGATAACAGTACAGCCAGCCTGTACTGATTTTTATGTTCAAACACGAATTCAATAATTCAAAATAGGCCTAAATTATCTGGATAACTAGCAAAAAGATTTTAGTCTAAAGTATAAGTTCAATTAAAAGTCTGAAATATGTCTTCAGCTCTGACTTTGAACCGGTTCAGTAGAATGATCCAAATAAATATCCATAAAGTGCCTGGACCAGAAGATTGATTACAAAATGGAGAAAAAACCCTCCATTTTGGTGTGGTTAAACAGTTAAAGATAATTAATTAATTAAGTAAATAATTCATTCATTTATACCTTTGTTTTCAATATAGATGAGTGATTGGCAAGAACATGCACAGACAGACTACTGAATTGAACCATTCTATTGAAATAAATGTGATTTTGATGATCGCTTTGTGTGACTGAGCCTTAAGACAGGATATTAAGCAGGCTGAGCTTCTCCTTCTTTTCTTAAATGGTTTCCTTAAAGCTGTTATACTGACTGTGTGACGTACCTGTCCATAGAAAGCCACGCGGTAATAGCGGCCGAACAGCCGCTTCTCCGAGTGAACTACCTCCGTCACCTTCAGATACGAGCGGTGGATGTCATAGTAGAGCTCTGATAACCTCTGTAATACACACACACACACACACACACACACACACACACACACACACACACACACACACACACACAGAGGCAGCTCATTCATCACAAAACCAGCCACGAAATCAACAAACAGTCCTCAAAGCTCAGCTAGAAGCCTGCTGCTCACCTTGAAGTCTCGCCTCTTCTCGAAGACGGCGATGATAGGCTTGTTGATGTCCGCTATCAGCTCGTATCTCTCAGACTTCCACAGATAATCCACACACAGCTCCAGCTGCTCCACTAGAGTGTCCTGCAGTCCAAACATCAGCCAGAAATAACCATCTCATCAGCATTTTCACCCTTAGATATCATAGTTATTGCCAGCAATAACAAGAACATAAAATCATTGCAGACGAATTATGTCTCCTGCGTTTTATTTCTCTCAATGTTTATTTCTCTTATTTTTAGCTGAAGCTCGTCAAAAGCTGTAGAAACTCAATCCATGCCTCATTTGTACTCATACGTGAATAAGACGTTAAAAAAAAGTCAGAAATACATATTTCGAACATGTGGATACAAATTGTAAATGGAATGCAAATTCAATACATCACTGTGTACTTAATTATAATTAATAAAGATTTTAGAACTGGAGTGTTTTATGGGCATAAATCTTATAATCCATTTTACAGTCATAAATAAATATGGTGGTTTACCTCAATGTAAGGCGTGTCCTGGGTTCCAGTGTCTTCCTTCATGGCTCCCTCCTCCTGAACATTGGGGGAGATGTTCATGAAGGCAGCCCAGCCCATACTGAACGAACCTGAACATCACAGCAGGAGAACAGGTGAGTTACAGGAGGAGCACCATGATTCTGTATTCATACATTTGTGTACATCTGTCCATTCGTTTAACTGTCTGTTCATCCATCCATCCATCCATCCATCCATCCATCCATCCATCCATCCATCCATCCAGTGACCCATTCTAGTATCCCTCTAACCATTCATACACACACACACACACACATCCATCCATCCCTCTATCCCTTCATACACACACCCATCCATTTATCCATCAAGTGACCCACTCAAGCATTCATTCATTCCTTTGTCCATCCATACATCCATCCATCCATCCATCCATCCATCCATCCATCCATTGACCCAGTCAAATATTGACCCATCCATCCATCCATCCATCCATTGACCCAGTCAAATATTGATCCATCCATCCATCCATCCATCCATCCATCCATCCATCCATCCAGGGACCCATTCAAGCATCCTTCTATCCATTTAAACACACATCCATCCATCCCTCTATCCATTCATACACACATCCCTCCATCTCTCCATCCATCCATCCATTCATCAATCCAGTGACCCATTCAAGCATCTGTTTATCCATTCATACACACATCCACCCATCTATCCTTCAAATGACCCACTCAGGTATTCATCCATTCCTTTATCCTCCATCCATCCATGCAATTAGTGACCCATTCAAGTATCCTTCTGTTCATCCATCCATCCATTCATCCATTCTGTTATACATTTAAGCATTGCTCCATCCATTCACAAATTTTGACAAATCATTTTTTAAGTAAGGCTAAACAATAAAAAGGCACTTAAGTGACAAACATGTAGAGCTTTTCAAAAATTCCAGAATACTTCACTGAGAAAAACTAAGAAGCTTGTTAAAATATATAAGTGTAAAAAGACTAATCATTATTAATCATGCGTTCCAACATTCATACACCGATCAATCACTGCCTCTCAAAAGATACACCTGCAACCAGATACTGTATACAGATATTGAGTGGAAGGACTCAGCATGCAGTCTCAGCTTTTAAAGGAGGAGTGGGACAGTGAGAGTGGGAGGGGGGGTGTAGTGAACTGGTAGCACGGCACGGTGTCATTCACACCCACCGCGTCACAGCAGAACACCCACAGCACAAAAACAAACACATACAACAAATAAGGTCTTCAATATGTAACAGCATACAGTGCATGTGCTCAGTCTCTGACATCGTACCTCAGAAAGAAAGGAATCAGTTCTGCTCGCTGCCGATCAGCAACAATAAACCCATTAAACAACTGCAGACTCACTCTAAACATAATGTCATTCAAAGATTTCTTCATATAAATCATTTCTAGTAATATAGAACCACCACAGCGCCATCTGAGCACAAGATATAGTACCAAAGGTCTGGACACAACTATGCACAAAACACTTTTTCTCTTTTTTTTATATACACTGATCAGACACAACATTATGACCACCTCCTTGTTTCTACGCTCATTGTCCATTTTATCAGCTCCACTTACTATATAGGTGCACTTTGTAGTTCTACAGTTACAGACTGTAGTCCATCTGTTTCTCTGCATACTTTGTTAGCCCCCTTTTACCCTGTTCTCCAAAACTCCAGCACCACTGCTGTGTCTGATCCACTCAGACCAGCACAACACACACTAACACACCACCACCACGTCAGTGTTACTGCAGTGCTGAGAATGATCCACCACCCAAATAGTACCAGCTCTGTGAGGGTCCATGGGGGTCCTGACCACTGAAGAACAGGGTAAAAGGGGGCTAACAAAGTATGCAGAGAAATAGATGGACTACAGTCTGTAATTGTAGAACTACAAAGTGTATGTGCGAATTTATATAGAAAAAATTAAATTAAATGAAAATCAAAGCTAAAAAGAGTTTAGCATGTCGCTGCTGTCAGAACCAAACCTTGCATCTCAATTTTTGTTATTTTTCAGTTTTTTACATAATTTGAAAATATGGACCAAAAGAAACGGCCCAAAATGGCTTGGAAAAATGGCTCCATTGACTTACATTAAAAGTAAAGTAGGTTTTTTTCCTTCCATTTTGGAGAAGAGGTTTTGTTCTGACAGCAATATGTTTGTTGGGGGGGGGGTTAATTTCTAAAAGAATCTAAAATAGAAGATTTTAAAAATAACATTTTTGATTCTTTTTGTTGTAAATGAACATTTTTGGTCTCTGTATGATTCCACAGTTTTAATGCCTTTACTGTTACTCTAAAATGTGTAAAACAGTAAACATGTAGGAACATTTTCTACAAGTAGGTGCGTCCAGACTTTTGGCTGGAACTGTAGACTCTGGTTCATGAAGCCTCTTCGGTTGGAGATCTGCCTCAGAACCTCAGTTACGAGTAAGTCCACACTTAATCTCTGTCTGCTGCATCTTTAGCTTTCAGTCTATTACCATGGACAATAACCTTTACACGTCGCCCCAATGGGCCGTTTAGCTGCTATGGCAGTCTGTTTGCTACAGATGTGGCAGACAGAGACTAGACTAGTCCCAAAATTAAAAGCTCAGAGTCAAGCAGATTTGTTAGCTCCCAGTCCAGGTTTTGTAACACATTCAGTACCCCACTAGGGTGGAGTTTTCAGTGTGAAGTTTTCAGGGTAGGCGGAGGAACACTCACTTTCTCCTTCCCGGGAGGTTAGTAAAGGGCTACAGTTAACTACATTGGCCTCCTCCACGCCCGCGCTTGAGATCCGCGCCTTTTCAGGCTTCCAGTAACCTGTGGTTATAAAGGGGCAGGAGGTTTAACTCAGGTTCACTTCCATTGCTTGGGCTCTCAGCTACTTAGCGCATGCTCTACAGGCAAGACGCCATGCCGGAAAAAGAAAGACAGAGAGAAGGAGCCTAAAAGCCATGCTAAATGCTAACTCATGCTAAATCTCGACCATGCTAGCATGCACACATGCAAAAGCCAGATGATTATCGGAGTCTCATCACAGCCATGAGCCTCAACACATATAACAGCACCAGCTCTACTTCAATGAAAGGGAGAGGAAGAGAAAGGGAAGCTGTTTACGCTGCAATGAACTGAAACAAGCCATCCAATAAGCTCAACAGCAGGATTAGGCTCGTAACAGAACAGAACGGCTGTGACCGAAATGGACCCTCATGCCCTCTTTAGTCCTGTACTAGAAATAAGTGAGATATTTTGTTTACTAAACAGCAATAAAAAAGCATGAAAGGGTAAATCAGTTAGGGGTTAGGTGGTCTATGATGCTGCGACGTACATGATTAGCTTACACAGGCTCAAACAATCATCATGCCCCACTAAACCCACTATTTTATATTTTGTCGCTGTCCAACAAAAAACAAGTATCTCCAAAATAGTAACTTTACACGAGAAAGCAGAAGCCCGCTTACCCTATAATGTAAGTTAATGTAAAGAGATATTATTCCAAGTGATTTTGGTGCATTTCTATTGGTCCATTCATCATAAAATTTTCATACAATGTAAAGGGCAGCGGGTGTGCTAAAATGATGTAGAAAAATAAAAATTGACAAAAATGGAGATGCATGGTTTTCTTTGGACAGTGACGATATGCTTCTATGGAAAGTGGCTAAAAACAAGACAAACTTTGAGTGCATTGCAGCTGCACTAGTTACCAGTATAAAGGCTACATTGATGAAGACATGAGGGTTTGTGCCTGTGTTTTAGGGATCCCTTTGGAATTATCTGGAATGTTTCATTTCATATTGTTTTGTTCACTTTAAGAAAATTGGCCAATGTATATAATATTGCCCTAAAACACCACTAGGGATCCACTTCAGTCACAGCCAGCGTCAGCATAGCAGGCAGTGCATGGATGTTTGCGGCCAGCAGGGGGAGCTCACCTCTCCTCTTCAGTGATTCCGCTATGAGGGCAGAAATGTGGATGTAGCACATGGCAGCCTAAAAACACACAGCAACAAGACAATATGATACAGAATCAATGTTAGCACTGTTTACTTCGTGTAGTACAGTGATTCCTAACAGCTCCTCCAGCTAGTCCACATTCATGTTCCATTCCAGCTGTTGGAGCACCTACGTCAGGTAATTAACTTTTCATTAAAGAAAATGACGGGTGAAAACTCTCAGTTGCATAACTTTTCCCCTATATCAGGGGTCGCCAACATGCGGCTCTTTTACTGCCCTTTTGCGGCTCCACAGCAGAATTAGATTTGTAGGTAAAAATAAAATAATCCTCCTTTGCAGTAAAATAAAGCTCTGCTGATCGTTAAACACAGTTTAACAATAAATGGTCTTAAACGCTGGAGTTAATGTAGCCTATATCTGCTAATTCACCATTTAAGGTGGAACGGGAAAATTTGAACAAGATACTGCGAATGAGAAGCGACTTCAGCCTCGCAAAAGGTTGAATGTTGAATGAATGAATGAATTTTTTTTTTTAGCCTATACTAGGACATTAACACATACTGAGACCTATTTACAGATAAGATGGTCAAATGGACAAAATGTTGTGGCTCCTAAGGTGGATTGATTTTTTTTTGAAAGGACAAAATGGCTCTGCTCAACATTTGGGTTGCTGACCACAGACCTATATCCTAAATGTAGTTCTCCAAAACATGTTAGATGTCTCAAGTTTGCATCTTTGGTTGTGCACTAGAGGCTAATACACCTGTCAAGAAATGGAAGCTTGTATCCCACCGATTAGCATGGTGCTAACTGCAGGCCTAAATATTGACACACATGACACAGAAATTGTTAAGTAATCTCTAATAGATTATATTCTGTGGTTTCTGTCACCGTTTATCTGACATTTACCGCCTGTAGTTCATTTTTATGTTGTAGAATCATTAGGCTTGCATTATTTATTTATTTATTTTTTGTAAATATTGTGATTTCATTTTAAAGTTTTGGTTGAAAACAAACAGGCTTCCCTTCTCCCCCCATCACTCAATGCGATGCTAGTCAGCCCAGGCTGACGTAACAGCAGACATAACAGATCTGGCAGTTGCCGCTTTCCTCCGAGTGTGTTCAGCTGTCCAATGACGTTGTGTGAGCGGCAGTTCGAAAAGATGCAGTGGTGCTTCACAGGTCTCAGAGGAAACCTGTGCTAGCCTTTACCCTCCTAGCGCTCTTGGTACTGTGGGACTGGGGGAGTCCTAACTAACTTGGGGAAAAATACCACTAAAAAACAGAAAACAAACAGGCTAAGATCTTGAAATGCCAAAAACAAAACTGTCCAATCAGTATTTTCTTTCCTGTGCGGTATAGGTAGATATGGCAAAGTGAGCCCTCCCATTGGTTATGACTGCAGTACTAAAGGCCTTACTAGTTAGATTAACTCTCAGTATAATAAGGAATTGACAGAGGAATCAACCAATCATGTTTTGCAATGGATGGGACCAATTCTGTGAGAAAAATGTTGTTAGGAATGTAAAACAGCGGCAGCAGCTCTATGTCAGGACACTTTACTGAAATAGTCACCGTAACACTGATACATACGAGCTCAGATATATGATCATGTCTGTTACAAGCTTCAGAAAAAACTCATGGAATGTCTTTTATAAGCCGCAAATGTCTGTGTTTTTAATCTAGAACAGCCAAAACCTGTTCATTTGCAGGAATGTTAGCCATTTCTTGCCTGAACTGAAGACCCAGCTCTAATAGTCACATATCTTCCTGTTTTTGGCAGCTAAACCGTGAGGCTTCTCAACTCATGTGATTGGCTGCCTCCTACCTCAGACAGGTCTCCATTGCGGACGTGGATCTTGGCCATGCTCTCCAGCCAGGTGCGCCGGAGCTCAGGAGTGCTGGCATAGGAGTTGGCCAGGCTGTACTGCAGGTCCACTAACATCTCCGGATCCTTCTCGTGTTCCTTCATCTGTGAGGTGGCCATCAGGACGGTGCGGATCCGTTTCGTCAGGTCCTTTACCTCCGCTGGGAACGATGTGCTCTGACCAGGCAAAAAAAAAAAGACCCCACTTCCACTTTCATTTGACCATTTCTAAAGATATTTGAATATCTAGAAGAGTTGAACAATATTTGGGTAGGAGGTCAAAAATTTGGCAGCTCACAGAGGTTTACATTTGAAAACATGTAATATTGAAAAAATAGCCAAAGGAAAACTGCTTGTCATTGGGCTTGAGAGGCTGCCCCTTCAGATGAGCTAATGGGGTCATGCCAACAGTAACGCCGAGTCCCATTTCATATTTTTACCCCTACCCCTTGTTTTCGAGCGTCGCCTTGCAGAGGTAGGGGTTAAAATCTTCCCTGTGAAATGAGACCCTCATATAAAAAGAGCATTACTTCATTAACAGCTACTAGCGCTGCTCACTTTTATAGGCTGCTCTCCATTATACACTGAAACAACATTAAACTAAAATAATACGATGGTTATCGTAATTTTTAACAGAGAAATTTTCTCAGTTGTGGGTTTATTTGGTTGCTAGCTCAGTCATTTTGCCGGTTTTTCTCTTTTTCTCATAACACTCTGTTTGGAGTCTCTGAAAAACCTCCGTTTGGAAGGCCATGTAGCCCTAACACTTCACCCTACCCCTCTATCTCAACAAGAATCGGGATACGCTCAGGGCTAAGTGGTAGGTACAAGGGGTAAAATGGGATTGGGCCTAGAACTAACCGGTGCACTAGTAGATAGCGATGACTTGTGCGCGTTTACTGGTTTTCATTTTGGTAATGCTAGTTAGCCTAGATACAGTGATGCTATCTCTGGCCTCTGAATCACATCCTTAATATAATATTTTATATTGAGTCTTAAATATGAGCAAAACTGTCACACTTTACAGTCCTGTCAAAACTGAATTGATTTTCCACACAAAAACTCAAACAGTGATTTCAATATTTAATATTGGCACCTGGAACGCTTAATTAAGTTCTCGCTCACAACACTAATTTCTACTGTTAAGTGAGTAAGAGTTAAGCTAGCTGCTGCCTTCCATCAAAACATGGTTAAGCCACATGCACATACCCTCAGTGGAGCGTCTCCATTGGCGAAGTTGTTGATGATGGCCAGGGACTGCTGAAAACGCGATCCTCCAATACCTGCATCCGCAATCAGCTGACTCACTGCCTTGATGACCTGAAAGAAGAAAATAAGGAGAAATAAAAAAACATTATGATTTTTGAATATAAATACATCTTTTTACCTATAAAAGAAGACATTTCACAAAAGCAGTCTGGAGCTATGACGCTAACAAGTTGCTAAACTTTTCACTTTAATGAAATGTGGCACATTTTATGTTTTATTAGTTTTCTTATATGTTACATTTAGCAAATGACCCCTGTGTCCTCTGTAGGGGATGTGTTACTCATTTCCGCTCACAAAAACAACAAAACATGTAATTTGACCAGGGAGTGTTCAAACCTTTGCATACGACTGTACAGAAACAGCGCACATCTATGTATAATGTAGGCCTGTATAACTATACCCCTTCGGTTGAGCGGTGATAAATTTTAGCTGAAAGGATGAAAATATGTCTGGAATGCAGCCTAATTAACAGCTAGATGAGTTCCACCTCCACACCACGTTGCAGCGAATCAACACAAAACAGACAGACGCACTGAAACGAGCCAGTGGAGCAAACAGTGAATAGATGATTGATGGCCCAATAAAAGCCAAGCACGGTTAAACAGTTATGCCGCAGTGAGAGTCAGTGACCATCTCCATCAATCACTGTCAGTCAGTCAGAGATGTTTCTGAATGCATGAAAGTAGAAACACAAGCTTTGTGAAAATAATGTCTGTGTATCACGAACTTTCCTCGGTTTCTCTGAGGAGGAGGCAGCTGTGAAAATGGCACAACCATACAAGCACGCCGAGCAAAATGATGTACCTTCAGATGCACTTACGCCACACTACTGCACTAGTAGAAGAAGGTAGAGTCATATGACATGGACTTGAGTCCAACTCACACACACATCTTCTAAGCCACTTATCCTTCTGGGTCACAGGGGGAGCTGGAGCCTATCCCAGCAGTCATTGGGTGAAAGTCAGGATACACCCTGGACAGGTTGCCACTCCATTGCAGGCAGACAGACAGACATACACATTCCCACTAGGGGCAATTTAGAGTGTCCAACTGGCCTGACAGCATGTCTTTAGACTGTGGGAGGAAACCCACTCAGACATGGGGAGAACATGCAAACTCCACACAGAAAGGACCCTGGTTGCCCAGCCGGGGACTCGAACCGAGGCCCTTCTTGCTGTGAGGCGACAGTGCTACCTACTGTGCCAATGCGCCCTCACTCAGCACTTAAACTCCAGCCTTACAGGAGAAACTGACCAGGCGAACTGACCATTTTCCTCATGGTAGTAAAACTAAAGAAGCACATCTCTCTGTATCTGACCAATTTTAACAGATTCTGCAGGTAAAAGAAGCGCAGCATTCACTTTTTATTTGCCAGCTTCATATTGGAATTTGCTGTTCCACCTGAAATGGTGCAGCGAAAAAAGTCAACTTCAGCTTCGTACATTAACCATCATTTTGCTGTCTTTTCTGTAAACTTTGTTCAGCTCAGTCGTTTTGGTTTCTGTTGTCCTCTAAATTTAACTCAAACTAGTGGCTGTTTTTAGTTGGCTGAGCTAGGTTTTATTTTAATCCTGGGTGCTGAATGTTCCCAGAAATCATCGAAAATAATATTTAAATGTAAAGTTTTTCTTTAAATTAAGTTCAATAGTACTTTAAAATTCTTTTCGTGTGTAGCCGCACTACTCTTTGTGTATACAGTCTGCCTGTCATGGTTATCTGTGAATGGATTTTGTATTTTAGCTGTAAGAGTAAAAAAAATAATAATGAATCTACAACCATACACTACTAACATGCTGTCATTAAAAGGCTATAGTACTGTTACCATTATTCAGTGCTGTGGCCTTCAATTAGCTGAAGAATTCATACTGACTTGTTTAGGACTTTTTATTGACTTGGGACTTGACTTGAGACTCATCTTCACCGACTCAGGACTTGAATCGAAGCTCAACTATCTTGACTTGAGTATAAAGACTTACTTGTTACTTGCGACTCAGTGACTTGTTCCTACCTCTGATAATTAGTGTGCTCTCATTTTTTTAAATCTGAAATTTTGGGTTTGGTTTGAAAATAAATGCTGACCCTTGATCCCTCAGACTGACCTGCAGGTGGGAGCGGACGATGGACTTGCCCTTGGTGTAGTCAAAGTTCTTCCTCATGAGGAAGTAGAGCAGAGCAGAGGCCTCTGTCTGAGTGCTGCTGGAGCGATGATTACAGCACTTTAAAATCTCATAGCACAGACAGCCACACAGGTCAGCTTTACCCTGAAAAAACATGCAGGGGAACTAGATAGAGAGAGAGAGAGAGAGAGAGAGAGAGAGAAAAAGAGAGAGAAAGAGTGAGAGAGAGAGAGAGAGGGAAAGAGAAGGAGAGAGAGAGAGAGAGAGGGAAAGAGAAGGAGAGAGAGGGCGAGAGAGAGGGAAAGAGAAGGAGAGAGAGAGAGAGAGAGACAGAGAGAGAGAGAGAGAGGGAAAGAGAAGGAGAGAGAGAGAGAGAGGTTATTTCTCCTCAGAATGCACAATTAGGTTTTTAGCATTTAAACTTGTTTGTCGCACCTTTGTAGAGGGGTGACCGGTATGGTACACAGTCCAGGTGGGTATTTAAACAAAAAGAAAAGGAAAAAAGAAGAAAAGAAAAGAGGGCTGGAAAAAACAAAAGAGAGAAACTGCCCCAAAACTAAAAACTACAAGAAGGCTTGAGCTACAAACGGCTCCAAGCCATACAAAAGGTGTTTGCTCCACTAAGAGCATAACATAAAGTCTACCTTCCTCTCATAATTACAGAGGAAGTAAGTTTTGTTTTCTGATTATGTTTTATTTCTAGATCAGCTGTTGTTTGAACACGCTGCTTTCAGCATCCCCTTTGTTTGCCCATTTTCCTGCCTTTTTATTTCCAACTCCTTGAGGTGTTTTTCCCATTGTCGCCTGTGCTTCCTGGTGGCGCAGCGGGAACTCCACAGACTGCCGATCAGTACATCTGCATTTTGAGCCTGGCTCTGGGTCACCTCAACTCCAACGTGCCAAATTCACACTCCATTGCCTCAAATTCACTTAACACCCTTTCTCACACCTCTCTGCTGTCCCGTAACAGATTCCTGGTTCTTCGGCAAGAGAATGTACAATGTTAGAGAGAAGACTCTAATATATGTGTGTTTACCTTCTGTATGAAAAGGCGCAGAGCAGCGAAGACGTGTCTGAGAGTGGTGGTGGACTGGTTGATCTGGAAGAAGAGCAGGTACGTGTCGAAGACTTTCTTCATCAGGGAGTTCTGACCTTCGTCCTGCAGCAGCTGTTTCTGTAGGAGGAGGAGAGATGAGGATAAGGACTGGATACTTATTTATTACAAAAACAATATTAATAGCTACTATGGTTTTAACAGTGCATCAATGCATTGGGATACATCGGTCTGGCAGAGGTGATTCAATGGCATCAGCTTTGAAAGGTTAACCTCTATTACAGTTGAATATAATAACATGTATGTATTATCATTAAAAGGAAATATTTTAATTGTATATTCAGGTTGTGTAAGTAGTTACAACAGTCATAGATGTGTACTCAGTGAATTTTTAAAAATAATTCTCAATTATGTTATTAAAACCTGAGATTACATGATACACAATCACTTCAAAAAGAATTGGAATCTAATAAAACTTCTGTGAGGTCAGATTTCATAATTGTTACCTATGTATTTTTCCATAACTGTAACTAAATATTAAAGGGCCCATATCTTCTGTTTAATCCTTAGAGGCCACTAATAAAGCTTAAATAGGTCTATGTACCAAACAGAGTTGTAATTCTTTGTGGTCATCTTCCAACCTTTTGAACCAGTCTTTAAGACTAATATTTCGTTGTTGTTGGAATAAAACCTTGCATCTCCAATATGGTAACTTTACAGGTGCATGAAAAAACATACTTTACTTTTAATGTAAGTCAATGGAAACAGACTTTTTACTAAGTCATTTTGGGCTGTTTCTTTTAGTCCAATCCAAGAAATTTACACACAATGTAAAGGACAACAGACATTTTCAAATTATGTCAAGGACAAAAATGGAGATACAAGGTTTTGTTCTGACAGCAGAAATATGTAAATGATCTGTGTTCTGACTGGCTGCCCCTACATTCAAAAAGCAAACTCCTTATAACTGAAACACTCCTTGTAATATCAGTGTGCTACACTGCTATAGGCGTACGTGGATATATGTAAATGCTCTGGTTTTTATTTTTGATGTCACAAAAGCAGCTTATATTCCATATATGGACTGTGTGGACTGGCACAAACACAATATTTTGAAACTTTAACAATACTCCTTTAAGTGAGAGAATGTTGTTGGTTTTACAGGATATGGTCCCTTTAAAACTTTTAACCCATTTACATAAGCAGCACACACAAATGTCCAACCTGGTCTCATTCAAGAGTAAGAGTCAGTAAGTGTTACAGCAGTGAAATCGCCAAACTGTGCTAAACTTTTCCAAGAACAGAACATCCCTACTGAAGATGACTGACAGTACTTTTTCCTTCCACCAGGTGGCACTGTACATCCACCATAAAGGCCTGACCAGCTCTACAGAGGCTCAACCTTCATCCACTCACTGAGCTACATTCTACAGTTCCATTCACAACCGCTAGCACATCAATTATAGTATCTCTGCAGTTGGAGTGAATGTGACCTTACTGACCTTGTGGTGATGCACGAACAGTTCCAGAACATCAAGCACAGTGAGGGCCACCTCTGTGGAGAGATTGGCCTCGATGTCTGTCGGACTGAAGGTGCTGTCATTTTCAGGCGCATTTCCATCTGATACAAATGTACAAAACATTAAATGGAAACAGATCTTTAATGTGTTTATCAAGTTTTAATGAAAACTCTGCACATTTATTACTGTTGTTATTGTAAGCAGTAACAAAGCCTGTTAAAGGAATACTCCAGTGGTTTTCATTTTCATATGTATATGCCACTTATATGATTGAAAATCATAGACATTAATTTCCCCTGAGAAAAGCTACTGACTCAAATGACAACTTTGAATAGAATTTAATGGGAAGGTGTATTTGTTGGACTCCATTATAAGACTGCTCAGAGTTTTTATGTTGCTGCTTTTTTTTAATTTTTTCAAATGTCAAATTTATTGTCTGTCATTTCACAGATTTTTCAAAATTCTGTGCATAGTTAAATGTTTAAGATGTAAACAGTCATTCAGAGCGGTTTGGTGTGAATTGCTCTGTTCTAGAGAAACCGAGTCAGAATTGTTCACAGTGGTGGTGATAGGAACCAGACGTCCACCTCTAAAAGCTCCCTCACAGAAAGTTATTACATGAAATTGTTATACAATAATTTTGGTTTTGGCCTAAAATGTATTTTTAAAATACATACAGGTTGGTGCAAGAAAAAATAGTCCCCAAAGAAACTAATTTGTTCAGACTTATCGCTATTTTACTATCATCAACATTCCATATAAACTCAGAAGACTCGTGTGGGTTCACTGGTGGTTTAGATGCTAAATAATATGCCTATATTTGTGTTGTAGTTATTGCGACCCCTGCTTCCCATCACCACCACTGTAAAGACATCTGAGTCTCTACAATCAGCCATTTCACACCAAACCACTCTGAATGACTCTGTTTGAATCTCAATCACTTAATTGTGTAGAAGTTTTGAAAAACTGATGGAATTCCAGACCAGCCTTTAAGTTTCAGCGACATTCTTCATTTGTATTTATGTGTTGGGTGCATGTTGCCTAAAGACGTTTACCTGTTTCCATCATCTGCAGCAATTTGGGGTTGGTTAAGGCATTCTTGCCCCGAATGATGGGCATGGTCTGTGAACGAGCATGTCTGTGCCCATCCTGACTTGACAGCATCCTGGACACGGAGAGCAAATAAATATATAAAAGACATAACAAGGAGGCTCGTTTCAGTCTTAAGGAGATGCTAATGTGGCCAACAAAAAACTACAGACAAATTGAACGTAGCAAGAATGAGACACTGTTAGCTCATTAGCACCTTTGGCCCAGTACCTTTTTAACCTTAATGAACGGTTTTGAAAAGCTCTTCTATTAAACCATTATATATTACATGTGAAAGCTGACTGAGATGCGCTATTTGCCTTGACGTTGCTCTTTAGGTAAACACGTTTTACAGCCTGCCAAGGCAGATTTTGTCAAGTGGCATTTGTTTTGGTAGAGATATCTAGTTTTTTATAGGGTCAAATCAATGTATTGAAAAACCTTGGAAACGGCCCTATATATCCAGGGCCCTATGTTCCCCAAGCTCTGTGTTCCCTCTTTGTGATTTTGTTCCCATGGAAACAACTCTACATTGCCGTGACCCCATATTTCAGCCCCAGGTTGCCTCATTCATGTTTCCTTGAGTTCTTTAGGAGCAGGATTTTCCCAGCTATCACTGAGGCAAAAGTCATTTAATCTATTAATTAATATTTCAAATCTATGACATTTAATTTTACCACTTTTAAACTTGGCTTGATGGAGTAAATCAACTTCCTAGCTAGCTAGCCAAGAGCTACACAACTAGCCACAAAAAAGGAGGGCAATGCACCACAATTCAACCAGACAAAAGCAATAGTTCAAAAAGTATAGGATGTGCAGTACAGGCTTTCTCCAGTCTGACTTCACAAGAAAGATTTGCATTACAAGATTTGCTTAGCTAAATAATTAGCTAACTGAGGCTAATACAGCCAAGGGCAAGTGTGTTCTGACTGAAAACTTTGTTGTTCCCGTATCACCTAATCATGACCTTCGGGACCCTTTTAAAGGTTTCCTTAATTGAGTTATGATGTATCATATAAGGAGCTAAGAGAACCTAGGCCCCTGGGAACACAGGGCCTTGGGAATATAGGGCCCTGGAAACATAGGACCTTGGGAATATGAATATAGGGCGTTGGGAATATAGGGCTTTGGGAATATAAGGTCCTAGGAATATAGGGCTTTGCAAATACAAGGCCCTGGGAATATAATGCATTGGCAATGTATGGCCCTAGGAGTACAGGACCTTGGGAATATAGGGCCTTGGATATATAGAGCCCTGGGAACAAAGGACCCTGGATATATAGCATCTTGAGAACATAGAACCTTGGAAATATAGGGCCTTGAGAATATAGCACCCTGGGAATACAGGACCTTGGAAATATAGGGCCTTGAGAATATAGCACCCTGGGAATACAGGACCTTGGAAACATAGGGCCTTGGGAATACAGGGCCCGAGAATATAGGACAGTGGTAATATAGGACCATGGGACCATAGGGCCTTGGGAATATATTTGTTGTCAGCTGTTTACATGAACACCTTCATTTGTTGTTCTCTCCACACAGGCTACATCTGGTTGACAAAGACATTGTTTTTAGCATATTAGCTGTTTTAACACAAAAGGGGGTTCCATTTACACATATAGAAGGAATACAAAGTCACAGAGACCGGCCATTCACAAGAGACTACACACAGCAGGTCAGGGGAGACGGCCATGCTGGATACAGACAAAATGGCTGCCACACTGTGTCACAGGATAACTCTGTAAATTTGAGGACATTAGCACAGCTGTGATGAAAAAATGATGAACCAAAATGTTTCACAGAGGACAAATGATGTGTGTTCTGTGAGCTAAGATATCGCCAGGATTATTTATCTTATATTATTTATATTATATTATTAACAAACTACATACTGTAGCAATTACATGCTATATAAGTGACTAATTTTTCATTTATTTTTAAAAAAATTATTAGGGACGTAACAGTACAGAGTATTGTCTTGAATTGTATTGCAGCATATTGTATCATTGTGTCATGGCTAGAATGTTAGCCATGGCTAAGGCGTTAGCTTGGGGCTAAGATATTAGCATGTCTACCTTTTTTAATATATGTTAAAATATATATTTTAAGAAAATACCTCCACCTATATTTGAGAACATATTGCAATATAAATAATGTATTTATATATGACTGAATCTATTACAAAGCATTTGTCATATATTTTCTTTGGCATAATACTATAGTTTTATAACGGTGAATGCTTTAATAAATTGAAAATGGGAACATCAACATTTTAACATGAGGCACTTTCCTTATTTTGGCTTTACTGAAAAATGTGTTCAATCATTTGTACAGTATCATATGGAAACGTACAGTTCTTGTGAAAAATGCTAAAGACTCCTGAACCTGTGAAAATACTTTTACTAGATTTGTTGCTAACAGAAAAATGCTAATAGCCACAGAAGAATGCTAATGTTACTCTGTTTAGTCCATACAGTTAAAGAATTGATGGGAATAGTAGGCCTGGGGGGGCGTTGTTTACCATTGGGGCAGGAGCCCTGAGGACTGGGAGGAAGCATTCGAACCCTTCAGTGTGCCAGTGCCCTGCGTGGCCTGCGCCAGCTTAACCGCAGCTGCTAACTTCCTGTGCACAACGACCCAATCACAGCAAGGAGTTAAGGGCATCGTCATCATCCTCACGCTTTTCATCACGTCTGAAGCAGCCGGGCGGTCAAAAACGAAGAACTTGATGCCAAGCTAGCAGGCCAGCATTCAGAGAAGGTCAAGGTTCGCGCTGGTTGTTACTATGTTAGTGCATCGTTACCCTGAAGCGCTAAGCAAATGTTAGTGCAAGGATGCAATCAAGCATCTTATTTGATGCTAGCTGTGTCCTGCTGGCGTGTGTGTGCTAGCAAATGAATTTTAATTTCATATCAGAGCCCTACAGTAAGCGCTGTATTTGTTTTGGAAGATGGTTTGAGAGACAAACGATGGAGAGAGGGACTGAATGGAATGAGGAGAAAGCTGTTTGTCTAAACATGAGATGGAGATGAGGAAGCAAAGCCATGCGAGACACGCAAACATGCCCACACACAGGTTCCGACAATGCATGACCATTTTATATCAACATCAAATAGCATTTATTTCACATTAACAGTACAATCAAAGCAGGATTCCTAGTCAGGGTAGGTGATGTAGTTTTGATATAGGCTGAAGAGCTATAGAAATGTACTATACACTAACTTATCTAAATATACACTACTATGCAGCTATGAGTACTATGAGTTCCAAAAATGTGTTTTATTAAAACGTGATCAACTCCATGAGCAGAGAATGTGCTTCACATTGCACACTATGCAGAACAAAGTGGGGAGAGTATTGCATTTGTTGCATCACATTTGCTCACACTTGAAACAGAACATGTGAAAAATCAATAAGCTACCAGAGAGAGAGAGAGAGAGAGAAAGAGAGAGACATTAATGTGTCAATAAATGGAGTAGTAGAGGGGAGGAAAACATATAACAATAGAGAACATCTACTGTCTACACTATAAATCAATCCTCTCTCTTTCACACACGCACATTTATTTTTATTCGTTATTATGTCAGGATATGAGTCCCCTATGGATTATACAGCTGCACTCAAAATTATTCAACCGGTCAGGATGTGCAAATTCAATGTTTATGAAGACCCAGACAATTTTTACACTACCTGTGTATTAACTGAGTGACCTATTCAAATTGATAGTGAAAATGTATTATGTCATATTATATATATTATAATACAGCCATGTCAAAATGATTCAACCTCTATTCAATATTGCGGTTTTTTAAATCACTGCTAGTCTATGAGGCTACAAAATTGTGCTACAACACAATCAAGCCCTTAGAAACTCTACAAAGACAGTTAATTTGCTTCAGCTGTGATACATATATAAATCCCAGCCATGCATGTGTTCAAGCCCAGCAGCAAACATGGAAAAAAGGAGGATTGCCCCAAAAAGACAATGGATGCAAGAAGATATCTGAGTGCAGCTGTAAATACACAGGGCTGGGCAAGATGACAATATATATCATTACTGTGATGAATTACATCACAACACAACAAGCATTTTTTGGGTACATTGTGTATATTGTCAGTACTTAAAGAACACTGACCTACTGCATGTTTCATAACAAAGAGAGCACCATTAATCCTGTTTAACTGGAATTAGTGCAGCGCTGTATGTGAAATATTGCATAAATTCATTGTTTTTATTGTCTTTAGTGTTTTTAAATGTTGTACCCCTGGTTCTTTTTTGTCTGTTCCAACTTTTAGATGTCAGAAAAAAAAATACAAAAAAATATTATATACACTATTATGATATTATATTTTCAATGTATCACCGGCAAGTTTCTGTAACGGATATCACCACATGGGCTTGGACAAACTTTTTGTGAATAAACACTTCATTGCTGCATCCACAAATGCAAGTTAAGGCTGTACTGTGCAAAGTGAGAGTCACATATCAACAATGTCCAGAAACGCTGCCAACTTCTCTGGGCTCAAACTCATGTGAAGTAGATGACTTTTTTGGAATGTGTTGAAGGAATCAAATTTGGAATGTGTGTGTGTGTGTGTGTGTGTAATTTTCAGCACCCCTGGTCAAACTGCATGTTTTATTGATATTCTAACTAAATGTAAATATGTAAATAAGTTAAATCAACCTCTATAGAGAACACACTTTCACATTTTAATGCACAGTTACAATAAATTTAACATTAAGGGAGAATAAAACAATGTGCAAAAGTTATGGCACATTTTACATATTGTATACTAAAACATGCAGAAAAATGGCATATTTAAGTTCCCAATAGAGGACCTTTTTTCATGTAAAAAAACCAAAACGTCATTCGACCAGTGGTGTTGAAACATTTGCATGACTGTAAGTCCCTGTTTGTAATAAGACTTTTCTAAGCCCCACCCTAATCTTAACCTCCGAAACCAAAAGAGTAGTTTTGCTCTTCCAGTTTTAAAAAATAAAAAAAAAGCTTTTGCTAACAAAGTTAAAGTGTTTTGGTGGTCCTCATCTTGATTATTACTCCTGTTTGTCTCTGGAACAGCCTGTTCATACTGGGTACACAACAGCTACAGGCAGATCCATAAAGAACATTAGTTTTTGTTCACGCCTAAAGATCAATTAATGTTCATCAGCTACTTCAAATGCGTCATTCGATTACGGTGACCCGATCATGTACGCTTTCCATCTCCATCAGCCTCTCATCTGCGAAAATCACACAGGCAGAAGAGCACACAGCGACTCCACCGACAGAGCGGGTTTGGAGAGGTGAGGAGAAAAAAGGAGGCGAAAGAAATGAGCGAGGCGGCTCCCTTTGAAACGGAATATGTTAGTGGAATCCCTCTCACTCTCTGCCTGTGTCTGTCTGCACAGCCTTCAAACGGTGGAGGAGTCTGAGCCTTGTTTCAAAAAAAAAAGCTGCAGACTGGCATCAAAGGCTTAATTTTCATGCCTGAGAGTGAGAGAGAAGGGGGGCAGATCCTCTCTCAGGCTGGCACTGAGGGTGTGAATCAGAGGCCTCACTAATGCCTGACACATACAACAGCCTCGCTTTGGAAAAGAGCTGTAATCCCATTCACAGGTAGAAGAACGCAGTTAATTCAATTAGCCACGAGCTAGAAAAAAGTGCCTTTATCATACGCACACGTACACAGATGCTTATTCACGTTCTCTAATAATTATTACATTTCTTGTGCAACCTCTCAGTACAGCTTGCATTGCATGCTAGGGCTGCGTATTATATTGCTTACATTATTATTATCATTTTGCAATATTACTAAATTCGATTTATTTATTTTGCCTTTCAGTAAAACTTAATACTACAGGGTAATGAAAAACACTGAAATGTTTACATTAAAAAGTTACACAAAAATGTTATACCAGGGATCTCACCCAATCTGGCAACTCACAGGGTGAGTTTTTTTATCTATCATCTTAAAAACTGAATGTCATAAAAAAACAGAACTATTCATTTTTATAAAATACATATTATAAAATACATATTACATCAAACAAAATTTGTTTAGCACTAGACATGATCTCAGGACCTGCGATGGACTGGTGACCTGTCCAGGGTGTATCCTGCCTTCCGCCCAATGACAGCTGGGATAGGCTCCAGCACCCCACCGCGACCCAGAAGGATAAGCGGTTTAAATGATGTATGTATGTATGTATGTATGTACATATGTATGATCTCAGGAGATTCCGGATTTGCGTATAACACGGAAGAAGCAGCACAGATGTAAGTAGAATGTGGATAAATCTTATCTGGACATTATACGGATAACGCCTATCAAATATTTTCATTTCTGAATATTTTATAGAACACTGTCTAGAATATTTGACTATTCTACAACAATAAAAGACATTTTTATTCTTATTGTTGGCTTAATTATTATTATTATTATTATTATTATTATTATTTGCACAAATTTAAAACTTTAAAACTAAAAATACTACACAGTATTACTGTGATAAATTATTTAATAGCAAGTTGCATTAAAATCTTGTTCCTTCCCAATCTGGCAACCCTGATCTGGCTGTGTTCGGTGGTAAAGAGCAGAAACAGCATCTTAAAACAACTTTTTGAACTTGTCAGTGAACAGGGGAGTGATTAGGGTTTTTAAGACGCTCAAAACCGGAGCACGCGCTAAACTTAGCCCCGTCGGCCAGTGCAGTCTCGGTAATAAACGTAATTGAGAGCCTGCTAGCATCATTTTAACACCAATCTTTGTGTTGATGATATTACGCTGTTCAACAACATGATTACATTTCATTCATTTTTCTTCATTTAAATTTTGCCCACAACATCACGAGAATACCAAACAGTGAACCCAGCATCGGTAATCAAACACAAACCTGGATCTCAAGACCCCCAGAGGTATTTTAATCTCAGTATGGTATTTGGGCTTGTATGCTGTGTATGTTGTGTGTGTGTGTGTGTGTGTGTGTGTGTGTGTGTGTGTGTCACTAATAATAAACCCTTCCTCGTCCTTCCTTTTCAAGCTCCAGACAGCAGGTGCTCTCTTTTCTTTCTGTTTTCATCTCTCCATCTCTCCCCAGGTCTGGCAGGAATCCCTTTAATTCTCACATTTTCTCTCACCCTTCGTTCTCCTTCCCCTCTCTCTCTCTCTCTCTCTCTCTCTCTCTCTCTCTCTCACACTCACTTATTCACTCACTCACTCACTCACTCACTCACTCACTCACTCACTCACACACACACACAGAAAAGCACAGAAAAGCACAGACTCCTTGGGCTGCACAATACATCATTTGCTAATCATAACTGTGATGATGGCCTTTTGCAATAGACTTCTGAATTCGTGCCTAATCCTGTAGTCGTCATCATGCCCATATTAGGAATTCTGGGTCCAAGCTGTTTTTCTCTGAGTATGTTTACATGCACTTAATAATCCAAAAACTGCAGAAAATCAGATTTTGTCAGTAATCTGATCAACACGTTTACATGCACTTGAGTAATCAGATAATGGGGAAACTCTGGGTCTACATGAGTAAGAGAGTAATCAGATTTCTGCTTTCTAACCAGCCAATAAACTCACAGAAGCAGACGTGACGTAAACATAACGTAAAACTCAAACTTCATGCAGTGGCTTTTTTTAAAACATTGCGCCACTTTACCTGAAAATATAAACATACGCCATCTAGAAGATGAAGAATATTTAAATCCTTAATTTCGTGTTTGGTTTCAGCGCCGCTCCAAAAGTGTTTTGCTGCGTCTCGCGACATCCACCATCTGTTTTCGCACATGCGCAGACTGAGAAATCCGAAAGAAATCAGAGTAAGCGTTCACATGCAGTGAGAAATCTGATTACTAAGATAAAATCCAGTCTCTTTCATCGGATTTTGTAATCAGATTTATAGAACGGAGTATGCCGTTTACATGACCATTTGAACAACAGGATAACTGCAGCAATCGGATTATGATCGGATTACTGAGTGCATGTATACGCATTCTGTGACGAAAAATAAACGGCATTTTCAAAAATCGCTATGGTCCCCTGAGTCAAGATGTAAATGTACTTTGAGTTATAATATATTTTGATGAAAAAGTTAGATTAACCCCTTAACTGTCCAGGCTTATTACACACTGAGGCTTATTAATCAGTAACTACAGAGACGTCAGTGCAAACTAATGGAGCTGTTCTTTGGCCGCAGGTCTATGGCTTTTTAGAGCTGTGTGACGGCAGACATCAAACATTTCTTCATATGTGCAGCCAAACAGATCTCCTTAACAGAACCTGTTCATCAAAATATTATAACTCAAAGCATGTTTATTTTTGATACTTAAGTACATTCAGGAAGCTCTTTTGTACTTTAACTAATGTACCCATAGAGAAAAACAGCACAGACTCCGAGTTGCTTATATGGCACTGAAAAATGAAGACACGTCCAAGAAAAATCGATAATTTTGGTTAAAATAATGCAAGCTAATGTTAACTGTGTCGCATCATTAGTTCACCCATGAAATATTACTACACTACTGCTATTTGTATCCGTATTGTGCAGCCCTATAGACAAAAGCAGAGCTTCTCTCTGAACTGTAAGTCGCAGGTGCTCAGTGATGCGAGGCTTACCTACAGCTGGTCCAAAAAAACCTGCCGGACTAAAAGCTTTCAGATGAACCGTACGCATAAACAGACATTTCAGTGGTCAGTGATCCTTCGCAGGAACTTACCTCGCTATGTGACGCTTTCCCAGAAACCTGAAGTGCTGGAGACACAGTCTGTGAGGATGAGACGGAAAGATGAGGAGAGCTTTTGCGAAGTTTTTATGTATAAACACAAATTTCATCATTCTCTGATGGTTCCCGACTTATCTTTTTCTCCTCTGTTCTGCTCCGATTCGATTTTTACCTAACTCCTTTATTCTAATCTCTGCATATTTATCATCCAGCCAATCATCAACCATTTAACAGCGATGCACCAAAATTTCAGCCACCTGAAATTTTTGCCCAGAAATGGTCAAAAATGTCACGTTTGGTTTTCTCCTTGGAAGCGAAAATCAGCCAAAAATGAAATAAAACAAAAAATAGGCCTAAGAGTGAAGTGTCAAAATCTACAACTGTGCAAACTTTTTAATGGTAATGGGCAGGAAATTCAACCCAAAATCTGAGACTGAGCTAAAATAGAATAGATCTCATCATGTTTTAAGACCCTTTTAACACACAAAATACCACAAATCAAATCTTCACCTCAGAACTGTAAACCATATGAAACCTGAAATCTCTCCACACCACCCTTTCCACCCTCACTGCTCACTAGCAGCTCAACACAGCTGATTTACCTTATTTATGTAACTGTATACTATATGCCAGTGGAATGGCCACTAGGGGGCCTGCAGAAAGAGGTGGCCTTGCTCTGGCTCTACCCCTTAAATACAGATTCCCTTTTGTGTCGTGACAGCCCTACAGTCCACCCATCTATAGGAAGTTAGACTTACTCTAGAATGTTGAAGAAGTCTGAGATCTCCTGGTGAATGGCTCGGTGCCAGTAGGCCACCATGACCTCTGTAAGACAAAACACACATCATTCCCACACCATTACACGTTACATAGGCGCAAATAATTAGTAAATGTCTATCAGTCAAAGCAGTTAATCATGTGGGCTGAACTCAGAGGACAGCTGATGTGGGTGAGTGCAGGTCTTGATCTCTCACCCTCTGATATGGTCTTCATGATGTGTAAGAAGCACATGAGCAGGCTGCGCGTCTCGGCCTGGTCCAGCTTATCGAAGCGCGAGCCAAAACCAATCAGGGACTGTGGCCTGGGGAACTGCACGAAAAACGGTTCAAAAATATTACTAGGAGCCACCAATCCTCAATCCTATAATTTACGACAAACAATTCACTGAGTGCGTTTACATGCAGTCAATAATCTGAACATAATCGGATTTCTGCAGTTATCCGATTATTCAAATGGTCGTGTTAAAAGCTCACTCTGATTTCTTAGATTAGAGTAAGGTCTGGAAATCCGATAAAGAAATCCGATAAAAGGCTGGATTTTAGCTCAGTATTCAGATTTCTCAGTGCATGTAAACTCTTACTCTGATTTTTTTTCGGATTTCTCAGTCTGAGCATGTGCAAAAACTGACGGCGGGACCAGAAATATGCGAGCAGCGTCGCAGCGGGATGCAGCAAAACACTTTTGGAGCTCATGCCAAAAAAGTATATTGAAACCAAATACATGCTTGACAAAAATGACGGACTTAAATATTTTTCATCTTCTAGATGATGTATGTTCATATTTTCAGGTAAAGCGACGCGATTTTTAAAAAAATAAAAAAGCTGCAGCATGAAGTTTGAGTTGAGTTTTGAGTTTATTGGCTGGTTGCAAAGCAGAAATCTGATTACTGTCTGACTCATGTAGATCCTGAGTTTCCCATTATCTGATTACTCAAGTGCATGAAAACGTGTTGATTGGATTACTGACAAAATCTGATTTTCTGCAGTTTTCGGATTATTAAGTGCATGTAAACGAACTCATTGTTTTCCATGTAGTTACGTAATAATAAACCTTAGGATGTAAAAAGTGTGGGAATTTAAGGGGTTAAAAGGCATGCTTATCAATTAGCTATTAAACTATTATTAAAACTCATCATTCAGTAGCTGGGTGACTATAATTGAGGGTGTGAGCCCAAACATTCGTTGTAAAGGCAATATTTGACGCACAGTCTTGAAAGAAAGTGTCAAAAAAGGTTCTTTGATTGACGCTAAAGAAGAATTACTTTAGCTTCCCTGAAGAACGCTGTTTAAAAAAAGTCCCTCAATGAGTGGAAACATTAACAAGTACAGCTAAATGGCTAACAAAAAAAAAGGAAACGTTTCTGGCTATTTTTGTGGAAACACTGACATCATAAACACGAGGCCCTGTTAGAAAGTCCTATAACTGGAGTTCAACAGATCAAAAAGATCAAAAATATTAAATGTTTCATGCTGTTCTGCTTTGGGAAAACTGCCTCTTCGGACGCCAAAACAGGCAAAGCAGTAGGGCTACTGACTGATTTGCATGCTTCACATCCAGAACTGCTATCACACAATTAATTTCACATATCCAGAACTTCAACAACTCGAGGCAAAGTTCTGTGAAATTAATTCTGGATGTGAAGATAACAAATTAGTCAGCAATGCTACTGCTTTGCCTGTGTTGGCCTCTGAAGAGGCAGCCCCAGAGAATTTCTAGTGAGAACTACTCGGCAATGTCTTCTGGGTTGGTCAGACACTAGAGGGCGCTCCCGAGCGATTTCAAAATGAATGAGACAAATGCGCAAATTTTCAAAGGCCGGTGACACAAAACAAAAAGCTAATTGAAATGCATAGAATTTTACTTACAAAATGTCCCAGAACTGAAAATTATACCAACATACAAACAATAAAAAAGGGACCAAAGGGTAAACTGTGTACAGACATAAGCAATGCATGTCACCTTTTCACATCCGTCCATCTTCTCGCTGTTGCGGTCACTGTTGCTGGGGTTGGACTCCACACTGATCAGCGAGCCTCGCGAGTCTGCGTTGTTAGCTGTGGATAAGGCGAGGGAGGAAAACGCTAAAAGGAAGGAGATGAAAGAGATGTGATGGAGAACGGACACTCACACAGTGCAACGACATGATCAATCCTGCATACAGTGAACAACTAACACACTGACACACACTTCATGTACATGACTGATGACAGATGTTCTGATAATAATCCTGTGCTGAACGAAGTAAAAACGAGGCTGTGGAATGAGATGTTCTGACCATTTGCTACAACCCTAATACACAAAGCCACAAACACACACCTGTAATGGAGTTGAGCACTTCTTTGGAGAATGCAGCGTCCACCGAGTTGCCGTGAGAAATAGTGTGGACAATCTGACCTGCCAGACCTCCTCCTACGCTGAGGTCATCTCTGGAACCCTGCACAGCAAAACAGATTAAAACACTTTAAAGGCTTGTTTAAGGTTTTCTTAACCTGGTAGAGGAAGAAGTTAACATAAATTAAAACATACACAGTGATTTCCTCACCATTTCTAATGGTCTGATGGAACCATGATGGCCAATTTCCACCTTACAGGTCTTTCAGTTGAACTGTCCTTTTTTTTTCTTCAGTAATGTTGAAGCGAACTGTATTTTCAGCTTTATAGGTAAGAAGCAAGTAAACCTTTCATAAACCGTTGCTTTTTTTAAGCATGTCAGTTGTGCAGGATTGTTTGATATGAAGAAAGCTTCAGGTGCCTGTTTTATTTCGGCATGGCTGTCTTTGTGGAGAGGTGTGAATTGTTTTTCACAGCGGGGGTTCTTCCCTTTTACCCCCCCTTTGCTTGCTAGCAGCTCAACACAAAGTCACATCACTGAATGTTTAAAAAAGTACAATTTAACAATTTACCATTAATGCATTATTAACATGTTAACTTTGACACAACTTTTTTTATTTACTGTTCAAAGCTTTTATTTTCTATGGTTCTCTTATGTAATATTTTCTTAAAGTAAGTATTTTGAGCTGCATGATATCTATGATGTTTATGTGGACCATTCTACTGAAGTAGTTCAAATGGCGGTGCTACATAAAAAAACTATGTTTAAAGAAACAATGAAGTATTCAGACCTTAGATATTTATAAGGATTTTGTTATTTATTTTAATTCAAGGCATTAATAGAAATCATAATAAGCTAAACATCTACAAGATCATCAATTATGGGGTACTTTCTGTTGGGAGGTGTCTGACCCAAAACCTAAGCCCTAAATTTATACTTGTGGAAATATTACCTAAATCTTTTTTGCATTTTTTCCATTCTTTTAGATTTTTTTTAAAGAGAAGTTAAAAGATTTTGATTTGTCATAAATTTAATTCTTAACTACAGAAACTTTATTTTAAAAATGCTGTCCCACGTTTTCTTCACTTCACACTACCAACACAAAAAAGTTTTAGTCTGTAGGCAATTTAGAGCAGGAAGTGAGGCTGCATCCCTGTCCCTCATGCACACATGGTGAGCAGTTAGATCCCATTGTTTTGAAGTAAATGTGTCCCAAAGTCTGGAAATCAGTGCGGAACATTAAGAATTGTCACTACCGAAACAGATTTTCTGCAGTTAAGTAGCTTTTTTGTGTTTTAATTAAAATTATGATAATTTTATGTGTGTACAGCTGTTTAAAACTGTGTTTGCGAGTCATGTACTGGATGCATTTTTGAGTTCTGCTCAAAATGATCTAAAATTGTCATTACCGAAACATTTGGTAAAGTTTCAGCAGAGTTATGATTGTTTTGGTACTGAGAAAATGGAATGTTTAATCATGTATGTTCAATCATGTATATTTAAGGTACAGAGTCACTCAAAGTGAAAGGATTTTAGTCTAAAGTGCAAGATCAGTTAAAAGTCCCAAATGTGTTTTCAGCTTTGAACTTTGAACCAATTGAACAATCCATATAGATAAAGTGGATTATCAGCATTACTATTAGATCTGTCCAGTACAAGATCAGATCCAGAGATTGAACCAAGAACCTTTCACCACATTCCTGTGTATGTGCCGTGTACAGCTTGTTTACCTGGTCACTGGAGGTCAGGTAGATGGGGAAGAGGTCTCTGAGGAAGAATCGTGGCATGTTGTCGAGGATGAGGCCGTACAGAGGCAGATACAGAGATGCTATCCTGGCCTGCTTCTCCTGTAAACTCACACACAGACACACTGACTGTGAGAATTAACCCATAATTATAACAAGAATAAGCCCAGCCCAGCTGAAGTATTTCTCCTTAGATTGAGTGATTGTGTCTCATATCAGTAAACAGATGTTCTTGTACTGCAGCACTAGCGGCATTGAATATACTGTGTGTTTGTTTATTTATGTGCCTTTCAGGTTTTTTACTTCAAAACTCCCAAAACGAAAGTGTGACTGGCTGAAAACATGACCGCTCCAGAGATCCTGCTGGTGTGGGTTTCCTCCCTTGCAATGATGGGAAAATCTATTTGTGTGCTAAATGCACCCCCTTGCAGAGAATTCATTCATTTATAAACCTGATGTGTATACACTGCTGGTACTAAATATGTTATTTCAGTAGTTTTAATAAAAAGAACAAAATATATAATCTTAATATGAATAAAAACCACATCAGAATATAATACGGACTTTGGAGAAACTAAAATAGATTTCACCGCCCTGTTCACTCACAGCTGTATACGGTGTTGACTTTAGCACAGCTTCTCAGAGCAATCTCTCAGTCTGGCTCCGACTCAGCACCCATTCATTCATCACATACACACACACACACACACACACACACACACACACACATATCCCCGCCTCTACACACAGGGGTGGAGGCTCCAGGCTTTAATAGTTTCCTGCTGTTCTCTACTCTCCTTTCCAGCTCTGTGCCACACAGCTTTCTAAAGTGGTTTCCTGCACAATAGCTGGATTAAATCCATTTAGAACTTAAGCGGGTCAGAAAACATGCTTGATTCAGATTATACAGCACAGCATTATAGCAAAGCATTACAAAGATGTTCCACAATGCTTAGTCCAAGCCTCAGACGCTCCGAAGTCTCTGATATTCATTGCATGTTAAGCTGGCCACAACTACGGGGATTTCGTCAGTTGCATTCTGATTGGCTGACTGGAAACAGAAGCAGTTCACTTTGTGAACCAGGGTGAGTATTTTGGAGTAAAGATCTAGGTGCTAGTTTGTGAATTTAAGTCCATCCCTTGCTTAAAAGTGATTCAAGAGTGGGTAGTAGTCAGTGAGACATCCTCGAATGTTTTCAGATGCATATCAATTTGTTCCTTGTGGGTGTTTTTGCCCTATTTTAAAAGCCAGCTACAACAACAGTGCATTGCTGGTTAATTTCCTCTCAAAATGGGCCGTTCTCGGCTGCCTTAAGAGACAAAATGTACCAGACAGTAATAGCATTATCTCCATCTATGAAGGGATGACTGGTGCTAAAAGCCAATGAGTGGACATACAGTGAGCCCAGAATAAATTCAAAAATAATTTTGAGTTTAATTTGTACAGCTCAGTGTTCTACAACTGAAGAAGCAGCGCACAGTAGGAGCTGTGTGATTACTACTTTTCACTAGTGGCTAGTCATTCAAAAAATTAGCTGATTTGTCATTTACTACAGTTACAAAACATAGACAGCAGTCCAGACATCAATGAAAAGTATTTGGTTAGTAGCAACATTTTGTGGTTTGTCATTATGTGACAAGTACACACTGAATGCTGATTTAAATTCGATTTTTTTAAAAATTATTAATTACCTATTAAAAAAGGGGGTAATTTGGGCTTTTTTCTACAAACTTTAAGAACCCCTTTCACATTCACTGCGTCAAGGGACAATCAGCCAATAAGGAGACGGGAGCAAACACAAAACAAGGAAGGGAGAACATGCCAGTTCTGCAGTTTAAGGTGACTTTTTGGAGCAAGTTATCAAACGGACACCAAACAGAGTTCAGCAGCAGGAGTGACCCACGGACTTGCACTGCTATTCAAACCAAAGAGGTGGTGAGCAACCAGGTTAATGAACTTGAGTCCGCCTAGTCTCAGCTGTGGTCATTACTCGCCATACAGTCTCTCCCTTATTATTTTGCACTTTTGGAACTATGAAAGTTGGTAAACATAATCGCTAATTCCCAGTATTGACTCTTATTCCCAACGTCTCAATCTCATCTTTGCACTGACTTAATGGGAGTATGGGGGAGGACTCACTTGTAAGTGTTACATTAAATGCTGCTGTATGCAGATTGTATGTGTGGTGAGCTTGATAAAGTAAGGCATATTACGCCGCCCCAAACTTAAAAGATGTTAGTAAGAGCGTTCCCAGTGGAACCTCCTTATAAGCTACCTTTATAACCTTATGGTTTCCATTTATTAAAGGGTGGAATTACCTGGGGTGCTTGTTACAATTATGCATGTCAGTCAAACAGCCCGTTTCTGTTAAAGTAGACGGAAACAGTGATTTGTGGACCCTCCTCCTGCCTCTTCACACCTGTTTTTCTTACCACTGTATTTCTCAAGCACTGCCCTAAACTAGTTCATAGCCACCCACAGCGTCCCCTAGTGGACATATTAGTTAATTTGTTGACCCTGTATGGAATAAACTGGGCACCTTTAAGTGACAAAGAAATCCATACAGTTTTGTGTGAATGTAATTGATCATCCAAGGCATGCTTGATGTCTTTACTCTTGCTCCTTTAGTTTTAGCACTGGACCTAAGAGGCTAATGTAGTTAACAAGTAACGGAAGCTCATACCCCACCAATTAGCATGACAGGCCTAAATCATCACTTGACTCAAACTGAGTGAAGGTGTTCAGTAATCTTTAAAAGAATTGTGTGGTTTCTGACACTGTATGACACACTGTTATCTCTATACATGGAATAAAGTACATTGCAAAGTTAAAACCAGCTCCTTGACGTTTTTTGGGTTTTGAGGACTGTGAAAGCTACCTTTGTGGCATAGCGTGAGTCCAAAGAGTGCTTAGCCATTAGGTTCTTCAGGTTGGCCAGAGCCAGGTGCCGAATGTCCTGCTCGTCTTGTAACGCCAGTCCGAGCTCCCTCAGCAGCAGACCGGTCAGAAAATGCTTTCTGCAGAACTCGCCCGTCAGGCTGTACTCTGGCATGTCCACTGGGGGGGCGAGAGAGAGTACATAGATATGGATGAATAGTGCCAGGAGGTCATCTGCAGTATATTCACATTTAACAAGGTGAGCTGAGACATAATATGGTTCACAGTTACACAGTTGACACAAACACAGGAATGTATGTACAGAATTTTGCTTATATCTAAAACTGTGGTTCACCATATAAAACATTCATTTAAATGAATACTGTAGTGCTTTTCCAGCCTGCTCAGCGTACAGCGGATTGCCATGGACAATAATTTTGATCTGAACTTTAAGGACAGAAAAACCAAATGGCATGAAACACACATACAATAGAAGCCAGTGGGCAGGTGCTTTTATTTTAAGCGTGTTTTGTGTCAAGTCGAATCGAAAGACAATCTGTACAAAAGATTAATATATTGAAACAATATCACAGCATATGTATAAATATATTAATATATTCTATCTCTATATTCTACTTATATTATGGAATTTAAGCTCCTTGGACAAAAATTGAGTCACATGCATCATTTCTTCACAAATACTTGGTTAAGCACCTGCTTACCTTAAAGGGGAACTGAAATTATTTTTTTAAATTTCTGCATAATTAAATGGTTGAGATGCAAACAGAGTCGTTCAGAGTGGTTTGGTGTGAAACGCTCCGTTCTAGAGAAACTTACCGAATCAGAAATGTCTACAGTGGTGGTGATAGGAACCAGACTTCCACCTCTAAAAGCTCCCTCACATAATGTTATTACATGAAATGGTTATGAATTCACTCTGTTTACATCTCACACACTGAATTATGCAAAAAAAAGGAAGTGGAAGTCTCCTTTAATTACAGCATCGATCCTGTCAGGTAGTGATTACAGCAGCATCTTGAGACAGGTCCTGTCCATTTTAGTCCACTCTTCCACTAACTTTGTGCTTCATGTCTGAGCAGAACACAACACTAACACTCCCACATTCCAGGACGCCAGCTGTAGGGTGTCTTTATATGACTGGTTCAACAATGGGCCGGCCTTATGGCCCATAGAGAAAAAAAATATATATTTCAAATGTATTTATCAAATATATTTTTGCAATGCATGAAAATGGCCAAAAAACGTATTTGTTAATTATATTTTAAAAATGGATTTATTTGTATGTTTTATCATTTTTCTTCAATTGTATGTGTTTCTAACAAAGCTTAGATACAAATGGTACTGACTTGTGTTTTGCATTGTACTTTTTTTACATATGCAGTAAGACACTCACACAAAATGTATTTCAAATAAACAGGATATTAAATCATAACTGTAGTTTTACAGAGTATCAATACCTACAACAACCGCTTTTGTCATGTTAAAGGTTCATTTGATCATATTTAAAATTAAGACACTGGAATACAAACTCATTTTAAAACGTCTCAAAAAGTGCATTAGACAGGATTTTGGACATTTTCATACATTTTAAGATGTATTTGATAAATACATTTACACACATTTATTTTTGTCTCTGTGTAATATTTTTCCACACATTTTAAAATAAATGTATTCAAATATATTCGGTTAATATATCAGTAATTCTGAAATATGTTTTAGTGTTTGGAATGTATTCCAGCAAGAACTGCAATGTATTTGAAATGTATTTCACATATATACAAATACATGTCCATATATTTTTTTTTCCATATGGGGGACGAGCAAAATCACCAGACTCTCAATCCTCAATTCTCATGCTGGAACAGCAGGTGAAATGCAGAAATAAGCAAGAACCCCCAGCTAATATGTGCACAGTTACAGGAAGAGTAGACTAGAGTGGACAGGAACTCTCTTACGAGACTGGAGGAATCATTGCCTGTCAGGCTGTTATTAAGGTAATTGGCTGCTTGACCAAGTTTTAGAGAAGAACCGATGCGTGTAACTCATTTTCAAAGAAATAAACCACGAGGTTTAATGCTGAATAGTTACCCTTAGCATTCTGCGCTTCCGGTGAGGCCTTATCTGACATGAAAAGAAATGAAGGAGAGCATTAATGAGGTGAGGTCAGTGTAATGAGGACTCAGACAAGACCAGTGAGGTTGGAGCGAGACGTGGCGGTGGAGCTGGCTGACCTGTGATTCGGGCAGAGGGGATGGGCAGGCTGAGAGGGATGTAGTGCTCGTGGTTACACACCTCCCTCAGGAACTCGAACTTGAACTCGCACAATGTCTGCAAAACAGCAACAAATGGGCTGGAATGGAGTTTAAACATACTAGCCTGACCAACAACATTGATTCTTAGGTCTACACTCTTAAAAAGATGTTGCTAGGCTGTTACTGTGTTTTCCCAGGTCGTTGCTAAGGTGTTTCCCTTTGCTTTAATATCCCAGATGGTTGCTAAGGTGTTGCTAGGCTGTTGCTGTGCTATCCCAGGTAGTTGCTAAGGTGTTTCCCTTTGCTTTAATATCCCAGATGGTTGCTAAGGTGTTGCTAGGCTGTTGCTGTGCTATCCCAGGTAGTTGCTAAGGTGCTTTCCTATGCTATGGTATCCCAGATGGTTGATAAAGTGTTGCTAGGCTGTTACTGTGCTATCCCAGGTGGTTGCTAAGGTGATACTAGGCTGTCATTATGCTATCCAAGGTGAATGCTAAGGTGTCGCTAGGCCGTTACTGTGCTATCCCAGGTGGTTGCTAAGGTGTTTCCTATGCTACAGAATTCCAGATGGTTATTAAGGTGTTGCTAGGCTGTTACTGTGTTTTCTCAGGTGATTGCTAAGGTGTTTTCTTTTGCTTTGGTATCCCAGATGGTTGCTAAGGTGTTGCCAGGCTGTAATTGTATTATCCCAGGTGGTTGTCAAGGTATTCTCCCTTGCTGTGGTATCCCAGATGGCTGCTAAGATGAGACCAGGCCGTTATCATGCTATCCAAGGTGAATGCTAAGGTATCGCTAGGCTGTTGCTGTGTTATCCCAGGTGGTTGCTAAGGTGTTTTCCTTTGCTATGGTATCCCAAATTGTTGCTAAGGTATCGCTAGGCTGTCGCTGTGCTATCCCAGGTGGTTGCTAAGGTGTTTTCCTTTGCTATGGTATCCCAGATGGTTGCTAAGGTGATACTAGGCCATTGTCGTGCTATCCCAGGTAGTTGCTAAGGTGTTTTCCTTTGCTGTGGTATCCCAGATGGTTGCTAAGGTGTAGCTTTCATGGTGTAGGATTTATGGTGTAGTGTCCTCTAAGAGAGGAGATGGTTTAGGACTGTGCTACCTTGTTGTCGCTGGCTGTGATCATATTGATGTAGTTGTTGATGAGCTTGAAGGTGAATCCTCGGTCCATCAGAGTGAAGCAGCGCTATGGAAAAAGACACACTGTGTTAGTCTTTCATTATCTCTCTCTCTCTCACTCGCTCTCTCTCTTTCTCTCTCGCGCACACCAAATTACAACACGTTAATAGGCTGTATGAAGTCTCCCCATCAATAAGCCACTAATGAAAAGGAAGCTGCTGCTTCACTGACGTCCGCAGGCAAAAATAATTCACATCAACACGAACAATAATCTTCAGAACAGCTGAATTCATCCAAGCATCTCAGCTCAAATGCCCCCCTGCGGCAGTTTGTTTTTCCATACGGCTTGGTTATAATAAAAATGCCCTCAATTTCAAGGGGTTACCTCTCGAACAGACGCCTCGGCCTGAAGTATCTAAATTAAATCATCCACTGAACTATGACAAAATTAGGGCTTCGAAATCGTATCTCTGACTTAGGAAACAACTCGCCAAGTGCAGAAAAGACAACGTTCTATAAACAAGCAAGTGTCATGGATAAAACAGAATATGAACATTTAATTTTAGGCAGGTGTGGTTTGGAATGTCCACCATTTCGTTCTGATTCGAAATGAGTGTCAACGGTTACCAAAATGTAATTTGATGTCATTTCTATTTACTTTAAAATTGTTCCAACAGTTAATTGAACAGACTGTGTACTATGTAAACACTGTTAAAGGTGTTTTTTCCTGTATTTTATTCTAATTACTAATTAATTAGTAATTAATTTTTACCTGACCATTTTCCAACCTCTCTTTATTAGAATTAAAAAGTTTTCGCTATTGTACCTTTCAACTCTGGTTTCCTCCCACAGTCCAAAGACATGCAGTCAGGCTATTTGGACATGCTAAATTGCCCCTAGGTGTGAGTGTGTGTGTGTGTGTGTGTGTGTGTGTGTATTGTACCTTTCAGGCTGATATAGATCAGATTCGATTAGATTAAATTTTATTGGCACTGTGCAGAGTACAGGTACAGAGACAATGAAATGCAGTTAGCACCCAACCAGAAGTGCAAAATACAGTATTATTTACATATAAAGTGCAAGAAAATGACTGACAATTGACATGTACAATAAGTACAATTAAGGACAGTAGAGTGGTAAAAAATATAGATATGCAAGTATAAATATAATATACATATACACCAATCAGACATAAAATTATGACCTTGTTTCTACACTCATTGTCCATTTTATCAGCTCCACTTACTATATAGGTGCACTTTGTAGTTCTACAATTACAGACTGTAGTCCATCTGTTTCTCTGCATACTTTGTTAGCCCCCCTTTTACCCTGTTCTTCAGTGGTCAGGACCCCCATGGACCCTCACAGAGTACGTACTATGTGTGGGGAGGGGGTTGGGGGGGGGTTCATTGGCTGCCTTGTATTGTGCCTCAGTGAAAAGGCAGTGTGAACTGAAACACTCCCTATAACTTCAGCCTAAATGGGTGGGTCTAAACTGTTGTAGGCTGAATAGGTGGGTTTAAGTAAATGTGTTGGTTTTTGTGACATCACAGATACAGTGAATTCCAAACATGCTGTTTTTGCAGTTTAGTTTCAATATGGACCCAGGAGTAAATGGTATGTTTTGAATGTTTTGAAAGGATTATTTGGCTGCATGTAAACGTAGCCACCAGCATAACTGTACATCATAACACGTTCTGGATCCGGGCTCGATCTGACGGTTTTGACACTGAATCTTTCTTTGCTTTCTTATAGCTTAAAAAACAAAGTAATAAAAGCTTCAGTAAAGCTTTGACACTCACTTTGACGAAGGCGGCCACAGCCTGGTTTGCGCTGCGGGTTTCCTCAGGCAGCTCTTTGCTTTTCCAGTAGATGTGGTCTGACATTGTCATGATCAGAGCCTCCAGGTGGCTCTGGAAGGTGCCGGGGAACCGCTGCTGCCGAGGCACCTGAAAAACACAATGACAAGGGAATTTGTCCTCCTTTGCTGCAGTAACAGCCTCTACTCCTCTGGGAAGGCTTTACACTAGATGTTGAACATTGCTGTGAGGATTTGATTGAGCATTAGTGAGGTCAGGTACTGATGTTGGATGGTCAGTCCTGGATCACTCCAACTCATCCCAAAGGATTTGGACGGAGCTCCATCACTCCAGAGAACACAGTTCCACTGCTCCACAGCCCCATGCAGTGGGCATGGTGAGCTTAGGCTCATGTGCAGCTTCTCCAGAGTGTCCAATTCTTTTCAATTCTTTTCTATAATGATTATACAAGCTGTGCGTGCACAACTGAATGAAATGGCTCTGCTACTGTTTACTGTTCAGATTACAATTATGTAAACAATTATGTCCTGGTACATGCTCCGCACGGAAACTGTAGGCTACAGTCTCCTGCAGACTTTTTAAGAAGACTGTAATCACATCTGGTCAGAATTACTAAAATGTTAAATGGTTATAATTATCCTCGGGTTTTATACTGCAGCATGTGATTAAAACCAGTAACTGTCCCATCATGTCTAATCCAGTCTAATCATGACTGCCAAAGAAAAGCATGTAGAAAAGCAAAAAGCAAAGATAAAAGGTACAGTTTGTTTAACGTTACCTTCAGCTTTTCTGAATCCATCAGGTGCTGTGCCATGGACTTCACTATGATCTCCAGGAAGAACCAGGAGAACTACACAGAGAAGAGAAGAGAAGACAAGAGAAGAGGAACAGAGATGAGAAGAAAAGAGAGGCAACAAAAAGAGAAGAGAGGAAAAGAGGAGAAGAGAGGAGAACAGAAGAGATGAGAAGAAAGAAGAGGAGAGTAGAGGAGAGGAGAAAAGAAAAGAGAAGACGAGAGGAGAACAGAAGAGAGAAGAGAGAAGAGAAGAAAAGAGAAAAGGGGAAAACAGCAGAGAACAGAAGGGAGAAGAAGAGAGGAAAGGAGAAGAGATCAGAACAAAAGAGAAGAGAGGAGAGAAGAAGAGAAAACAGAGAAGAACAGAAGACAAGAGAGGAGAAGATAGGAGAAGAAAAGAGACGAGAGGAGAAGAGAAGTGAAGGACGAGACGAGAGGAGAACAGAGGAGAAGAGGAGAACAGAGGAGAACAGAAGAGGGGACATGAGAAGACAGGAGAAGAGAAGAGAAGAGAGGAGACAAGAGGAGAGAAGAAAAGAAAAGAGAAGAAAAGAAAAGAGAAAAGGGGAAAAGAGCAGAGAACAGAAGAGAGAATAAGAGTTGAAACGAGAAGAGAGGGGAACAAAAGAGAAGAGAGTAGAGAAGACGAGTAAACAAAGGAGAAGAGAAGACAGGAGAGGACAAGAGAGGAGAGGAGAAGAGACAAGAGGAGAAGAGAAGCGTAGAGAAGAGGAGAACAGAAGAGAAGTGAGGAAAATAAGGTCATATAATATTTCAATCAAATGAAGACTGTGCACAGACAGTGTTAGGTATCGACTGCAGGGTGCGCTGGTCAGTTTTTTCACCTTGAGGATGTTCTTCACTGCTGCCTGCTCATTGCTCTTCAGGTCAGAGGTCATGCCCTTGGCCAGTTCTTCATGGACGGTCCGGAATCCGTGCGCCTCAGTCTTAAACACAAACTGTTTAAAGACACACAAACAGAACATGTTGTAACATGGAAAACATGTAACATAGAAAACATCTGAGGATGTGAGTGAATTATCTACTACTGTCATCATAACTTCACCAGTATAATGTTGATTTTGAGATCATTTGAGACATAAACATCGGGCCAGACCTTTTTGAGTCCATATGTGTGATATTAATACATAAAAACGTACAACGTAGTGTGAAAAACAGCCGACTCGACACCTCTGACTTTTAAATGACTATATTAGGTTTTATAGAGTGACTCGCAGCAGCACACGCACACTTCTTTCAATTTTAACAACACGATCTTACATAGTGCAGCTTTAAATTCTTGGTTTGTGATATCAGAATTGGCCACTTTTTCAGTTAGCATATTGGCCCAGAAATTCCATATTGGTGAACCTCTAAAAATAAGTAAGAGACTTTAAAAAGAGATCTGCTGCACCTCAACAAATATCTAGCATTGTCATTTCTCCTGCAGGACAGTACAGTTGTGAGTAAACAACACCCTATGTACAGCATTCACACCCCCACACCACAGTGCAATAACAGCAGAGCAAGTTATCTCAATGTGCAAAATATACAGCTCTCTCTCTCTCTCTCTTTCTCACATGTTTGTTTTTATACGCTGTCAGGACATGGGATCATATATATATATATATATATATATATATATATATATATATATATGTCCCTTATTTATTATATCATTGTTGTCGGAACACCTCGTATCTCCAAAATGGTAAATTTACAGGAGAAGGAAAAAACACACTTTACTTTCAATGTAAGTCAATGGAACCAGACATTTTCCCAAGCCATTTTAGGTTGTTTCTTTTGGTCAACTATTCATGAAATTTACAAACAATGTAAAGACAACAGGCATTTTCAAATTGTGTCAAAAACTGAAAAATGACAAAAATGGAGATACGAGGTTTTTTCTTCCGACAACAGCGACATATTTACAACTATGTTCATGTGAAATGTCCTTTATGGTACTAACAGAATTACTAAAATATGTCTGAGAATCAAAAGATTCTGTGTCATTCAAAACCAAATTTCAGTCTCTGCATGCGTGAGCCAATGAGCATGCTTTTTTTTAAATTCTAGCCTGCTGATTGGCTGTCTAAATTACATTCTGTGTGTATGTTATTAACGTCAGTGCTTCTTGATTAGTCTGCAGCCTGTAACAGACAGAAAAACAAGGTAATAATAGAAGTGTTGCTCGGGAATTGGTAAAGAAAGAGTTATCAGTATTGGTACCAATATCACACACATAACAAAAATGACAAAAATGGAGATACGAGGTTTTCTTCTGACAACAGCGATATATAAGTATCTGTAAGTAAAAGCTTTTCGGAATAAAAGCACTTCATAAACTCAGGATATTTTTGCGAATACATTAATGTGCTGCTATCGATGTATGTTTTTAAATTTTATCATTCATATGTTTTTTGTTTTGATAGACTGATGATTAAATGTTGTGATATATTTGTGAATCACTAAGAAACCCAAAGTCATGTGACTAATGGAGAGCTGTGCACCTGCATCACCCACATGTCCACAGCGATGCCCTAATAAAGGCTTGTTTTAATTCAGTAAAGACTGCTGTGGACATTCATCTCGCTTTTTGAGGATGTTTCTGACTTGAAAACGAAGGAAAACCAACAAACACACACACATGATTGATGCACGATGTGGAGGGTCTAGACGGCTGCTTTTGTTTTCATGCTGCGCTTCACCTCCTCACAATACCATACTGATTCTCTCTCTCTCTCTCTCACTCCACTCTCTCTCTCTTCCTTTTCCCCATCTCTCTCTCTCTGTCTCTGTCTCTCTCTCACCTCTGTCTCTCCCTTTCTCTCTGTACAGGCATTAGATGTGGATGTTAAACCTAGATAAGAGTTACACTGACCTCCAAAAAAATAAAACAGTGACCACACACAGACACACACACAGACACACACACACACACACACAAACACACACACACACACACACACACACACACACACACGCACACACACTTTACTGCAGCTCTGCAGTGTGCTGGAGAAAACCTCTCCACTGGCTACCAGCCCAGACACCATACCAATCAGTTGCCATGGTAACCCCATCTCTATTACACCATGCTTTTCATCAGTTTCCTCCTGTCTCTCTCCCTTCATCTCTCTTCTTATCCCTTTCTCTCTCTCATCTCTCTTCTTATCTCTCTCTCTCCTCATCTCTCTCCTTCTCTCTCTCTATTTCCTTATCTCTCTTTTTCTCTCTCCTGTGTCTTCTCTCTCCTTCTCTCTCCCCATCTCACACTCTTCTCTCTCCTAATCTATCTCCCTCCTTATCTCTCTCTATCCTATCCCTCTCTCCATCTCTCTCTTTCTCTCTCTATCCTATCCCTCTCTCCATCTCTCTTCTCTCTCCTTTCCCTCCCCATCTCTCTTCTTCTCTCTCTTCCTCTCTGTTCTTCTCTCTCTCCCCCCATATCTCTCTGTCCTCTCTTTTTTGCTCCTCTATCCTCTTTCTCCCCATCTGGTTGTTCTCTCTTCTCTCTCCTCATCTTTTTCCTCTGTCCACTCTCTCATATCTCTCCCCAACTCTCTCCTTTGTCTATTTCTCTCCTCTCTCCTTCTCTCTCTTCCTTCTCCTTTTCTCTCTCCTCTGTCCTCATTTCTCCTCATCTGTCACTACCTCCATAATCCCTACCTGTCTTTTCTCTCTCGCTCCACACACTTTTATCTCACCTCCCAACTCTTCTTTCTCTCTCTCCTCTTCTTTGTTTTCTCAGTCTCTCTCCCCCTTCTCTCTCCTCCGTCTGTCTCTCTTTCCATCTATCTTTCCCCATTTCTCACGTTTCCCTATCTCTCGATCCTCTTCCCTTGCTCTTTATTTCATTCTCTCTCTCTCTCTCCTCTATATATAGAGTGCTCTCTCGATTCTTTGTAAGGAAGGTGATGAAGGTCCTGTTCTGTTGTCTCTCTTCTCTAATGAGCCACAGAACACGAAACAACGCAAGATGCTCTACAAGATGCTGTAAGGCAGACGACTCTCCTCTCTTTCCGTCTGTCCTAATCTCAGTCTAATGAGCAGCTTCTCCTCTGAAAATCGAACCTCTGAGACGCACAAACCATTTTTCTCTCTGCAGGCGGATGCTGCTCTTCTATCTCCACTCTCCATCATGTCTTTATAGACCCCAGTGGTCAGACATAGTCTGCAGCGAGGGTCCGTTTTCCTTCAGGAGAGTAAATTTTCTCTCAGCTCAGCAAAGAGAAAGTCTCCTTTATGCTTCCCTGCTATAAAACCTGTATCCTGGGAAATGACCTTTTCTTTTGGAAATATGCTGCACTTCACCAAAAGGTCAGGCTTTCTGCCACTTAACAGCTGCGAGAGATAAACGTTAGTATCGTGTAGCGTTTTTTTATGATACTACATCACAGTATTTATGTTTGTTCTGGCATCTGATAGGTTAGAAGAAACAAAGTAAGCTCACATTTAAAATATACTAACAAAAACTACAAATTAAATTATTTGTATTCAATTAAACACACATATTATCTGTGCTGCTTATCCTCCTGGGTCACTGGAGCCTATCCCAGCACTCATTGGGCAAAAGGCAGCAAAACACCCAGGACAGGTCACCAGTCCATCACGGGGCAGACACACAGAGATCTACACACACACTTAGGAGCACTTTGGCATCTCCAGATCGCACTGTGGGAGGAAACCCATGCAGACATGGGGAGAACAGGCAAACTCCACACAGAAAGGACCCTGGTCGAACTGAACCCAGTCCCTTTTCGCTGTGAGGCGACAGCACTACCCATCACGCTGCCTAAACCTGACTAAACAGGCCTAATTATTCTCTCTCTGTAATCAGACATGCAGTCGGGAAGGTGTTTTTAAGTTTTTAATATCCACATTTTGTGATGCAATTTATCACAATACCGATAAATGTTGTCATATTGCCCAGCTTTAGAGGCCAGTACACATACCTTTATGTAAGAATGCAAATAGTGATCCATGTTTTCTTCATGGCACTTGGCAAGGATGTGAACCAGGACCCTGTAGAAGAGAAATAAAAAGTGGAGTACAGCCACATCAGCATTAACGGCAATAACTATTGTGCTGTTATTTATTTTAATGATCTAAAGGATTCATTTTCATACCGAAAACGATACAGAAAAAAAGTTGATTTAAATTGTATTTTGTTCCGATAAAATGTTTAACTGAAGGTCCAACAATTCATTAAAACAAACGTGATGTTTCAGCTATTGCACAGATTCTGTTAAGGAAGTCTGTGTTTTTCTTGGTTTTTCACATCTGCAGCCTCACTGCTCTCCTTAATGTCACTTGTTCATTAAAATAATATTATACAATCTCAAATCTTTTCATACTTCAGTACATTCATTCACAAAATACATATTATTAGTAAAATGAAGGCTTAATTTCTGTCTTACACACAAGACTAACTTATTTATAACATAATCAAGTACAATTCTACATCATCTCAAAGATGCAATCATTAAAACTTTTCATTAAAAGAGCCCATATCCTCTGTTTTTCATTTTTTTGTGTTGTTTTATGTACCAAAATAATATTAATAACCATTTTCCAATGTCTTATCACTTAGAATCTGATGTATGTAAATGAGCTCTGTTCTGATTGGCTGTCCTGTATTGTGCCTCATTCAATTAGCGCTCAGAGCTGAAAATCTCCTCAGAACTAGGAGAATAAGAATAAGATATGAATGGCTAAACTAGACTTCAGCTAAACTGCTATAGGCTGAACAGTCTGGATCAGGATTTATGTAAATGAGTTGGTTCTTGTGACATCACAGCACAGTACTTTCAATACAGGCTGTTTTCACAGCTTAGTTTCCATATATGAACTGTACGGACCGGAGAGTGAATGGTGCGTTTGGAAACGTGTTCAATGTTCACATGCTGCAATCTTAAAAAAAATGGTTCTTCAAAGGTTCTATGGTAAAAACTGTGGTTCTATATAGAACCATAAACACTCAAAGAACCATCTGCATGCTTAATTGGTTTATTGCATGGTGAAATGGTTCTTCGGATTGATGGAGAATGTGTTGTACGTGGTTCTATTTAGCACCTTTTCGAAAAAGGGTCTACATAGCACCAAAAAGCGTTCTCCGATTGAAGCATGCAATAGCAGAGCCCTTTTTGGTGCTATATACAACACAGTCTCCAACAATCTGAACCATACAGTATGTTGTGGAACTGAATTGTTCTGTGGATTGTTACACTCCTCATCTAGCTTTTTATGCCAAAAAAAGCAAGAAAGATCTGTTTTTCCATGTTACTGGCCCTTTTAAAAGCTGTTTGTGGCTCCTTTAATACCTGGTGGTGGTGTTTGTGACGTCATCTGAGTCGTTCTGGGTGAGAACTTTAAACAGCTGGTTGAAGAGGACTGGCAGGAAGCGAATGATCACATGGATCCTCTCCATACTAAGGAGGCCCTGAAGGGACAAACCGAATACAATCAGAGTTACGTTACTCAAAATGAACACAAGACGATGCACTGACATTCAGTATAATGTCAAGATAATTGACTACGTTCTAATTAGGGCAGTCACTATTATTTGCTAATACTCAATTACATGCTTTTAAAAAAAGCTTACATTTAATATTATCAATGAATTTGCAGTCATCAGTTGGAAGTTTGAATTATGGTAATGCATATGTTAAAGGGACGCTCTGGCCAAAATGAAAAAGTTTTACCATCACTACATATGTTGTAAACATGCCTACTTGCCCCATGCGGCAGAGCAGCAGCAGTGTCTAGAGCCCATGTGTCAGTTTCATTTTCTGTTAAAATTAGCTCATTTCACAACTACAATTCCCAGCATGCACTGCAGCATAATGTGCATAATGTAATGTAACGTAGCCAGTTTTAATGTGCATAATGTTGTGTAGCCTTTTTGTTCATTTATTTATCTATTTATTTATTAATATTTCAATATTCATTATGTAATATTTCAAGATTCACTACAACTGCCTTTATTTTGATGTCAGTGTTTTGGCTTACGTTGAATAAATAATGACCAGCTCAGGTTACAGCAAAATGTTCTTTAATAATCAAATAAAAACACAGATGTTCTCTGGTCCACAGATTTGTAGTTTGAAAAACATGGAGAACCTCCTTCTGATGATGCATCTTGAAGGTGGGAGGAACTTCTAAAAACTACTTTTTAGGTAAGTATTTGAAGGACAGCAGTTTTTTCATAAAGCACAGTGGCTATACTAGCAGTCAGGATGTCTCCATTATGACGTACTTGTGTAATGCATGCTGGGTATTGTAGTGAGAGAACAGTGTTTTCGTGTTATTTTTAAATGTATTTTTACTGACTTCCTAGTTCTTTTTCCAATTATGTGTTCTGTAATTTTTGTTAAGTTTGCCCCTTTTTTGTTGCTTAGTCTCCAAAAAAAACTCACCCAATTACTAACATAAACAATAGTGACAGCCCAAGTTTTAGAGTGGTATAACTGTTGAATTTCTTTATTTAAATAAACACATTATTGTTTCTTCCGGTTCATTTACCTTCAGGCAGTTGATAAAGTTTGAGGTAGGTGGTTGTGAGAGATCCGTCTCTCGTTTTTGGCACTGCTGGAAGAACCGATTCAGATGGGGGTCCTGCAAAAGTGCAACCAACAGCTGCTGCGTTCACATAACAAACGGACACATAACAAGAGCTACCGCATGAAGACGGACCTGCCAGATTCCTTACCTGAGTATATACGGTGGACAGTACGAGTGTAGAGACCTTGAAGATGGGCTTTCCTCCATCTACCCACTTTACTTCTGATCCATTCTGTTAAAAAAAAGAGTTGAAATTTAAGTTTTACTGATTTGATGTTAGTTTGTTGGCTCTAGCCATCAGCAGCAGCTCAGGATCCAACATCTCAAATCATTTTACAAGTGCAGAGGAATTTAACTGTGTTCAGGCATCACACAGTAATGGCAAAGGCCAACTGTCTCACTGTCATATAAATAGCCAGATTACGATTAGACTCAGAAATTACATTTCAAACAGCCACTGTCTTTCTGGGATGTGTGCAAATTCAATTTAATGCTTTAAGGCCTTTGAAATATCAAAAGGATTCTTAATGTTGCTTTGAGCTACTTGTTCCACCATTAAGGCTAACAATTTCAATGCAGTATAAAAAAAAAAACCCAAAACAATAAACCTTTAAAACAATGTATTGAAATTAGGGCTGTGAAAAGATTAAATTAATTGCAACTAATTGCTTATTTTTTAAGTCAGGTATGACTGAAAACACAACATTATCAGCACCTACACCTCTCTTGCTCTCACCTTGTTGGATGACGTCTCCTTAATCTGCAGGTAGCTGCTAGGCAGAGTGCAGGACACTGGCACGTTGAACTCCTGAGAGGCTAAACGTCCTTCCTTCAGCAGAGGCAGCCACGCATAGCCCACTGTTCAACACAAACACACAGAGCAGTTAAGTTTACGATTACGATTTTTGGAATCTGGGTCTGAGTGGATCAGACACAGCAGTGCTGCTGGAGTTTTTAAACACCTCAGTGTCACTGCTGGACTGAGAATAGTCCACCAACCAAAAATATCCAGCCAACAGCGTCCTAGAGGATAGAGGATGACCAGCAGCAGCAGATGAGCTATCGTCTCTGACTTTACATCTACAAGGTGGACTGACAAGGTAGGAGTGTCTAATAGAGTGGACAGTGAGTGGACACAGTGTTTAAATACTCCAGCAGCACTGCTGTGTCTGATCCACTCAGACCAGCACAACACACACTAACACAACACCACCACATCAGTGTTACAGCAGTGACGAGAATGATCCACCACCTAAATGAAACCTGCTCTGTGAGGGTCCATGGGGGTCCTGACCACTGAAGAACAGGGTAAAAGGGGGCTAACAAAGTATGCAGAGAAACAGATTGACTACAGTCTGTAACTGTAGAACTACAAAGTGCACCTATATAGTAAGTGGAGCTGATAAAATGGACAATGAGTGTAGAAACAAGGAGTTGGTCATAATGTTATGCCTGATCAGTGTATATACACATTAGACTCTAAATATATACACATATACACAATATACACATTAATATATACCACTACTGCACTATTTCTAATGTACAGTTATGAAAAGTAATATAGTTATGAAATAAAAAGCTATGATATGTACAGTTTTACACATTTCCATGTGTGCAATTTGTGAGTCTGAGGTAGATAAATGAGATCCAGGATACAAAGGAATGGAATACTGATATGTACATATCTAGATTATGTAAGATATGAGTAGATGTGCAAGATGACCATCTATGTGCAAGCATAGCTTTGCTAGACTGAAGTTACAGTTGGACCAGTCAGAAGAAACCAAACATGTGCTGCATACTCAACCACAACTAACTGACAGGCTGACCGACGTTCACGACTCAAGCCAAAAACAAAGTATACAATGCTGTTAAAAAAATCAGTTAACATCCTATCCAGGCCTGATGCCAGAACTAAACCATAAACGAGGCCTCAGAAACCCATGGAAAGGCCTGGTAAGGGTGGGGGGTTGGTGGGGGGGAGGCAGCTGAAGAAAATATGAGGTGAGAAATGTACAGTGGATCTGTCCAACGAAGCCACATATTCAGGAGAGAACCAACAGAAGAGCCACATTAGCAGCACATCATCAAAAACCAACCCACTAAGGAGGTTCATTTGCTGATTTATCGTCCCACAACGTACAGCACATGTCTATGTTACAGCCAGTACAGAGTGATGCATTCAAACTCTTCAACGTAGCCTATTATACAGCATGCACAGTAAGTTGTAGCAGCGTCCACAAAGTTTAGTCTCACTTTGCTTTTTTGCCTTTTGTTGCTTTGGAGGGATGTATAAAAAGTTGCAGGTTTGGTGGGGGATGATGATGGGTCAGGGGGGCACTGCCATCAAATGACACCCCTAACACCGAGCCTCAATTTCTGGAAAATAATAATGATGGATTAAGTTGGAACAATCCAGAACTAATCATCAACTAATCATCCAATGTGGCTGAATGCAAACAAGTCCTCACAGCAATGTTCAACATCTAGCGTAAAGCCTTCCAAGAAGAGTAGAGGCTGTTACTGCAGCACAAACTCACTATTAATACCCTTTATTTCAGAAGAAACGCTGAAGTCTACAGACTGTTGGTCATGTAGGTGTTCATGTACTGAGCCGTTAGCATCAGTTTCAATGCAAATCGGACACATTCTGTCCACGTTATGCACGAAACTGGCACACAAGCCTAAACGTGGAGTTTATGGGCTGCATGTATGGAGATAACGTGAATGCGCTCCTCTTCCTCGTGCGTATGCATGTGAAAAACACGTGAGAGGGTCGTGAAAAGTGGGTGGAGATATTAAACATGCGCCTGATTACATATTCCACTCGATTTACTAAAGTTTGAGCAAGTCATGTGGGCCAGGTTTGCGTAGATTTACCTCCAACTCTTAAAAACTGATTCGCATTTGGGTCTCAGAAGACATGTAGTTGAGAAATTTCCTGTAATAAGAACAGCATCACGGCAGCCATACGGAGACACAAGCCTCAAGCATGAGCTGAAAGAATGTTTACCACCAGAGTAACACTGAGTACGTTTACATGCACCTAATAATCCGATAACTGCAGAAAATCAGATTTTTGTTAGTAATCCGATCATCATGTTTACATGCACTTGAGTAATCAGATAATAGGGAAACTCCAGGTCTACATGAGTCAGACAGTAATCAGATTTCTGCTTTACAACCAGCCAATAAACTCACAGAAGAAGACGTGATGGAAACGTAATCCAAAACTCAAACTACATGCTGCGGCTTTTTTTTTAAATCATCGCGCTGCTTTACCTGATAATATGAACATATATCATCTAGAAGATGAAGAATATTTAATCCGTCACTTTGTCAAGCATGTGTTTGGTTTTAGCGTCGCTCCAAAAGTGTTTTGCTGTGTCTCGCGGCGACGCTGCTCGCTTATTTCCGGTACTGCTGTCTGTTTTCGCACATGCTCGGACTGAGAAATCCGAAAGAAATCAGAGTAAGAGTTTACATGCACTGAGAAATCTGATTACTGAGCTAAAACCCAGCTCTCTTTATCAGATTTCTTAATCAGATTAGCAGACTTTATTCCGATCTAAGAAATCGGAGTATGCTGTTTACATGACCATTTGAATGATCAGATGACTGCAGAAATCTGATTATGATCAGATTTTTGAGCGCATGCAAGCGCACTCACTGTTTTAAGTCTTGGGACTAGACGCATGTACATGAGAAGATATATGATACAAAATATGATGCGGTCGCAATATTGCAGTCTGTACTGAAAACATATGAAAAAGTTTTATTTCATAGCCGAATTAAAATCCCAACTTTGTAGAATGATTTAGAGATTTTTTAAGACTGTTATCTTTTCATCTCTCAGTGGGCGGGGCTACGCACAGTCTGAGGGATAAGCTGCATTTTTAGTAAATGGAATCGAATGCTAAATTGAGGCACATTGTGGGCGCAAACTGCAGTCGCATTAAGGCTCGCTGTGTGATGAGCCTGTGTTCCTCTGACCAAGAGTGTTTTTAACATACTTTATCAGATTCTGAGATTAAACATGTTCCAAAACTGCACCTGGAGTTTCAAGAGCCTCTTTCTTTTTGGAGCTGGTCTTGGCATTGATGTCGCAGGTCACATGGAAAAATGAGAAGAGGAGATGGTGTTTCTCATGAAGCTGTGTGGGCAGCTCAATCTTCACCTATTTTCAGGATGAAAAAAACCTTTTAGAGCTCAGCAAATCCATCAGAGGCAAACAGAATCAGTGGAAATGTAGAGGAAAGGGGCTGGAACGAACCTCGTCGTAAAAGTCAGGGTTCTGCGAGTGGTGAAGAACAGTGGAACAGGCAGCTGTGGTGAAAACTGGACCTCCTGGCTTTCCGTAGATGCACTGCAGAAACAAAACGGACAGCCAACGCTGACTTTTCTGGGCAACCCTTGATTAAAAAATGTCAGTGCAGAAATGGAAAGTTTGGAAGGCCTTACCTTGAGTGGTTTGGCGTGCTCTTCGTCAGAGCTCCGGAACTCCACATAAACTGCAAGGTTCCGGGCCTGAGAGGAAAAGGAATGGATACAACATGTCAAATTATCGCATGCTAAACTGTACAGAGTGGACAAAGCACTGATTTCTTCACAGAAAGAAAGAAAAGTAAAACACAAGCAAAGAAAAAGGCACATATATATCGGTACTACATATACAGCTCATATACAGTCATTTGCAAATACATTGTGACTAATAAAGGTTCTGTTCAGGTACATTTTTCATTTATCAAGGTACAAACAATGTAAATGTTCCCTCAAAGGTACAACAGTGGTTTTAAGGTCCAACTGTGAACCTTAAATAAGTTTTTTCCAGGTGAAAAGTTTGTATTTGTACCTTTTCATAATCTAATGTTTTAAAACAGAACAGTAAAATAAAAAGCCTGGAGACGAGACGGGGTGTGTGGAGTCAGTACAGCTTAGAAAATATCATTTCAGTGGATTATGGTACAGTTATGTTCCCTGATTAAAGTTACAGAGATGTACCATTGAGTCCTGCCCCAGAGAGTGTATATGTATGATAATTTGTTAATACATCCTGTACAGAGAACAGACTTAAATATCGCATTTTTCTGCAAATTCTGTTTAACATAAAATATAAATTCGCCACAATTTTGCACAGGCCACATGTAACGGTTTTCCCCAATATGTTAGATTCAGCAAAAAATCAGTAACTGTGCATTAAAATGTGTTCTCTGTGGAGGAAGTGTTCACTTATTTTCACTTAGAAAATCAACAAAACACTGAATTTGTCCAGGGACACTCAAACCTTTGCATACAATTGTATATGTTGAAGCAATTTACTGATTTATAATAATTTACTACAAGTTGTTATGGTCAAAATGCAATGTTACATGCTGTTAGCAGAGTTAGTAAATTCCCCATTTAAAAATCCTTAAACATTTGAACTGGCTAAATGGTTTCTTGCATCATGACACAATCCAAAAAGAATGCAAACAGAAAAGCACTGAGGACTTTCAGAGCTACTGCCTACTTACAGGTGGTGACTGCTGAATAATTTTATTAACAAATAACAAATATACTGAATGAAATCATGGAAGACCTGATGCTGATCAAGAACAATTGGGAGTTTGGAGGCCAGCGGCCTACATGGAGATTTCTAATTAGCGTTTCTGTGCTGGAACAAATAAAGAAACTGTGCCCTGTTCACTATATAGTGCATTTTGAAGCAGTGTCTGAAAACGTAGTGCAGGAGCTCTAGTGCACTCAAACAATCCCACAATGCACTGCAATATGTAAGGTACAACTGATGTACCCTAGCGGGATGGGGATACCCATTATGCACTGATTTATTTGGAGATTCACACACAGCTTGCTTGAGGAGGATTAGAGAGCCCAGCTACGATGGCAGTGTCTCCAGTCTCCTCTTCAGACCTGATACAGATGTAAGTCAGCTCTTCTCATGTGTGCGGTCAGCGGATGGACTGACTTTTATAGTGCTTATGCGACTGAATCTGTTGTCGCACAGCAATGAGCAAACCTGTATGATGTAGTGTCTGAAATCGTTTACTACCATCACCAATTATGTAAAAATATAATAATGTTTTACATAGTGATCAAAATTTCTGAATGTAGGGTGTAGCGTAGGGGTCAGAGACATGCAACTCTTTTACTGCCCTGTGGCGGTTCCACCGCAGAACTACATTTTTAATAAATAATAAATAAAATAATCCTCCTTTACAGTAAAATAAAGCTCTGCTGATCGTTCAACACAGCTTAACAATAAATGGTCTTAAACACTAAGGTTAATGAAGTCTACATCTGCTAATTCACCCTTTAACCCTGAAGATTGGTTTGCAGATTGCTGGTCACCATGGCAATGCAGACAACAATCTCGCCTAGCTAGTAGATAACGAAAAGGAAAAGAGGAAGATTTAAGATGAACGTTGATAATCCGGAGACGAATGGACTTATTTACATTTATAATCACTCCAGCTGGTTTCCTGATACGTCTAATCTGCAGTGAGAAACTGTCAAACACTAAAAAGTCACAAGGCTGAAGTCAGATTCTCATTTGCCAGCTTTTTGTTCAATTTTTTCACCGTTCCACCTTAAATGGTTCAGAAGGCACCAAACAACAAGCTGCCAAATGAGAAGCGACTTCAACCTCATAAAAAATTGAACGTTGAGAGACATTTTACAAAAAACTGTTCTACTTTTGTAAAAGTTTCCTGTCAGAGATGTGAGAAAAGTGGCTGAGCTAAAACTTAAAGCAGAGCAAAGTAAAAGTGCGTTTTCGTTTATATTACATTTTTAGCCTATATTATCACATACTGAGACATATTTACAGCCAAGATGGTAAAATGGACAAAAAATACTGTGGCTCCCCAGGTGGTTTGATTTTTGCTGAAAGGATTGTGGCTCTTTTTAACATTTGGGTTGCGACCCCTGGAATAGTGATTATTGGACCATTATCGGATGCTGTTTCAGCTGATGGTCAGCACCCACCTTTGCAAAGCTCTTCTGGCTGTCGTATTTGAGATGTTTAGGGTAGATGTATATGTGGTTCTTGTAAACTCTGTAAGGCTGGGCGAACTTCGCTGAATCCTGCAGGAACTCGTCCACCTCCACCGTGGGAGCGTGCAGACCGCACTCCTCGAACGGCTTCAGGGGAACATAGGAGGATGTGACGCAGTCTGAAAGGTACAAACACAAAGTTTACATTATCTTAATATAGCAATATTTACACAGCATTCTAGAAATGGATTATATGAAGCTAGGAAAATCATCTGCCAATAGAATTAGACACTTTCACAAGATAAAACAAGAAAAGAATGTTGAGAAATAAGTTAAGTACTTCTATATTTTTCACATAACAACCTCATAATGACAAATATTATATATATACTACAATTAAGGTGTTTTCACTTGCTAAGATGTCTTTTTTGCAGTGCAAGACATTTTCTTTGAAGCATTTATTGGTGTGCAATTTTTAGTTTTTTAATAACACTTCCTTTTCTACCATTTTCTAACTGTATGTTGTTCCCAAAATGCTGTAAACTGTAAATAAAGTGTCAAATTTATAGCATTTCAATCCACAGTGCATTACAGAATAACAGTTATTATTGCATCACTGAGCCTTACTGGGATGCTCCATTGGGACACAGTCCACACTGATCTCCAGGCTGCCGGGTATGGTCTGCAGCTTGCTGGTCTTCTCTGCCCTGAAGAACCAAGAACGCACCATTTCACTCACTCCACAGGTATTAGGGACATGCTGCTTATCTATAGTGATGCTAAGGTCTTGTCATCTTTGCTGTACCTTCTGTACTCCGTGATGAGCTTCAGTAGGTCCTCAGTGGAGATCTTATTGCTCTCCTGCTTGAAGAGGGGAGAGAAACGGGAGTCCCTGTCCACCGTGCCCTGGTTATCCTTAAATACTGACCTGAGGGAGTGAAACAGAGAAAGGGTCAAATTAGCTTTGCAGTATAAAACTACTTTTTTTTCATAGTTAGAGTGGGATAATTATGTCTTTAACCTCTTCAACTCCTTGGGACCACCGGTGGTTCCAAAACGCACTTTGTCATATTCCTTACTTCATAACTTTCATAATTTATAAGCTTTCAAAAGGTGGGGGTCATATGAGAGCTGTAACTGTCTTCTTTCCAGTCAAATAGATGGGTGATGTAATTTTAAACCCTTATAATAAAAGAAGCTGAACTCAATTTTTTTTTCTACTGAAAGTCGACCCATTTTTGCACAAATCTGGGCTATAAACTATAAACAGATGGCGTCTCTTCAGTGATCTGCTCTATAAAAATTACTTTTATAAAAAATACCAAGAGCATCTAAGATTTTTGGCTTTCAGCAGTAAATTGTAAGCATATGGCATTATGTTTATGATCATAAAACACATTTTCTGTTCATTTGAGGGGAACAAAAAAAAACAAAAAACAAAAATTTACAGTTATTTCATGCAGTTACTGAATAATTTGCTTTACGATTTGGGCCTGTAAATTCAGACGGAAAAACCGAAATATACGCATGAGCATAAGTGGAGTACTGCAATGTTCTGCAACATAATATCTGTCTGTAACATACAGTCATTCATCAGACTGTAACTGTAATGCATTTCTCTGCACTTAGGAAATATCAGAAAACATGTTGACTCAAAGCTCACTTATAATAGAAGCTGCTTCAGCACCCACTGACTTTCAGCATAAGTGTGCTTTGAGTCAACAGTGGTCTGTTCTTTACAGAGAGATGTGTTGAAATCATTATCCATAGTGATCAACTGTACTAGGGATGTCCCAGTCTGATCCAGAGGACTGAGATCGAAGCTCATCCAGGCATTCTGTAAGGGAACGTTACTGATTTTTTTAGACCCGACTAGTTTTCGTGCTCTATCAGTCACAGAGGTGATGTCTGTCACTCATTAGTCACAGCTGGTTAAAAATGAAACTATCATTGAAACCCTCCGTTTTACAAGAAGCAGTGCTGCCCGCCTTTTTTTCTATTTTAAAACCAACGTATTCAAAAGGAGCACACAAGTAAAAAAAATATGGAATAATTTTATTTATATTAAATACATACTGATTATTTATTTCCATATTTATTCTTTGTCTGTTTATTCAATTGTATCAGATGTTTAAGCTATCCAACTGTATGTCTTCACTAAACTTTTTCATACAGTTTTATTTATTTAAAAATAAATGCTCTACAAGTAGGTAGATATGGTCCCAATTTTCCAATTAATTTTACTTTATTGTAGAAATGTTTATCCATCGCACATCTGCACATATGTCAATGAACAGTATCAGCCCACAATTCCCATATTGGTGCATCCATACCTCTTTGAAAACACAAACAATGAAATGCACTGGCTAAATTTTAACGAGTAAAAACATCTTAAATGTAGTCAATATATTTAATATTTCTTTTTATGAGCTTGTTGTAAGAATATAAAAAAATATTTAACATATTTCTAGACATACTTTTACTTGTTTTAAGTCATTTTATTTTATGAAAGTGTCATTTGATTAGCAGATCATTTTATTCATTATCAGATCATCATCTGCCAGCAGAAAGAGACACTTTTATAAGATTCAACCACTTTAAATGAGTAGAAATGTCTAAAAATGAGTTGAATAATCTTGCATTCACAACTACCTCATAATAAGAAATATCAGATGTGCTAAGATGTCATTTTTTCTGTGAAACTCTGCCTCTATGGCAGCTTTCCCTCACTCTCAAATGCAAAACATACAAATTAGTGTTATTATTTCATCATAGATACTAAATTATTCATAGTAGTTATGGTTTAATAAGCCTCAAGTTCACTAACAGAGAACATGATATTTACGCAGTCCTAGATTTCAGTGGTTTTGGTTTTGCAGCATTTTTGTTTCTCTACCAAAAAATTTTGATTTACGAGTGGGACTTGATTTGCGAGTGGGACTTTGAAGGCCTGTGTGATGATGAGATTTAAACTGGTGGAGAGAGTTCCAGAAGATCCTACTCACCTTACAGACCACGCAAAAGGCATGCGGTACTTCCCCAGCTTGCTGCAGAACTGCTTGTTGGACTTGAGCATCTTCTGAACCGTCTAGAAAAGAAAATAACATAAAGGAGGGATAAAATACTGCGATAGTGGATATCAAAGAAAAAAAAACGCTCTGGTGTTTATAAAGTGAAAAGAAGCCAGAGAATTCTTTCGTTTTGACCTAGATAATGAGCGCGAGTTTAAATCAAAGCAAGGTGTCTGAGTCTTGGCCGGCGGCAGCGGAGTCTGGGGGATCCATTTAGGCGAGTCGAACAAAAGCCAGGGTTCCACAAAAAGGGAGTAGAGGGGCATTCTAGGTCATTCTAAAACCATCTGTCCTCTCAGTGATGAAGCACTTAAAATAGGAGTTTACAAGATACTCCTTCTGGAACCTTTTAGGTAGAGAAACACAAACGAAGCCGTGTTCTCTGTAGTGAGACTTTGGAGAAATGAAAAAGCCTCTGTTCTGCAGCATTAGTTGAGTTTCTATAGTTCTGTTCCATAAAACGTGGGGAATGTATGGGGGAACACGGAAAAAAGCACACAGTACAACGTTCCTGTTAAACGCTATCGAGCGAACATGGGAAATTCATCATGTGGTTCTATGAATCTTCCCTAATGGGAAGGAAATGAAGTGCAAATGTTGAGCGCACGGTGCAGAACTCTAAGCTGGAGAGGCGTGCTCTCTTTTTAGTTTGCAGAACTGTGGTCTATCTTTAAACACGGGTAAATTAAAAATACGAAAGAAGGAAATGAAAGCTGGCAGAGATGCTCAGCACAACGCCAAGCTTTTCATTCATTCAGCTGCAGCAAAACACTTAGGAAACATATGTTTAAGTCACTACATCACATTTGAGTCAACCTTTTAAGGAGTTTTGTTTTTAAAAAGATCCTTTTAAAGTTAAAAGAATTATATTTATCATATGTTTAATTTTCAAATAAAGAAAAAACTTTATTGTAAAAACGCTGTGTTCAAGTCACTAACGAAAACACAGAATTTTACTCTGTGCCTTATTTTAGAGCAGGAAGAGTGAGCTGTTAGACCCCATTGTTTTGAATTAAATGTGTCCCAAAGTCTGAAAACCAGTGTGGAACATTAAGAATTGTCACTAGCGAAATACAGTTTTTTGGGAATTTAGTTAACTTTTTTGTGTTTTAATGGAAAAATATGATGATTTTTGTGTGTACAGCTGTTCAAAGCTGTGTTTGCTGCTCATGTACCGGCTGCGTTTTTAAGTTATGCTCAAAATGCGCTAAAAATGTCACTACCGAAACATTCAAACGTTTAATCATTTATTTTAATAAACTAAACAGAATTAAGGTACATGGTCACTCAAAGCAAAAGGATTTTAGCCTAAAGCTCAAGTCAGTTAAAAGCCTAATGTGTTTTTAGACTCAGTTCAGCAGAAATATCATGACATTCTGTGTAAATGTCAGATGTTATGATGTTTTGTTTTTGCCGTATCGCCCACCTTTAGCCGAGTGTCTTAAAAGGACGGCTGAAGCAGAGATGTAATCAGATGTTATGTTACCTTGCTGTTGTCTGTGTTCTTAATGTAGGGCTCCGTCCCACTGGTAATATTTCCCATCAGCACTTTCTCTACGCGGGCCACCATGACGATATCTGTATGAGGATTTGTGATGGAGAAGACAGCCTAGAGGTGCAAACACGTAAACACACACGCACAAACAGACATGTTGTTCAGATGAAAAGATAAACCACCACAATGTTTCCTGCATCTACTGGAAAACAGTCTCCTTCCAATCAAAGCGTCAAAACCAATGCTGGGTGACCCTGAAAAGTTGCACCCAATGCTGGGTGACCCTGAAAAGTTCAAAGTATTTTCAGAATATATCACAGTATCTGAGGATATTTAAGTATAGAATAAAGTTAATGAACACAATATTCCTGAGTGCTGCTGAAAGAACCGATCTAGCTTGTTTTCGTCTTTTGAAATTACACCAAAGGAAACTTTTCACAGTATTGTGAAGATTAACCAGACACACAGATTTCCAGAAAGGAAATATGCTCAAGATGATGGACAAATTACAGGAAAAACCTGAATAAACGACTGGAAAAGAGGGATATTACAGAAGAGCTGCAGTGCATAAATGATCTTCAGTGCAGAAATGATCTTCTGAGAGGCCACTGGTCTACAGGGATGTGGAAAAAGGTGATACCATCAGATAGGTCTAGAGTGCAGGGGGGGTCTGCTGGCTCTGTTAAGCTGTGGGAGGCATTTTGCTGACATGGTTTGGGTCTGCCTGTCCACTTAGAGGTCTCTGTAAACCTGACTGATCACCTTTATCGTATGATGGAACAGTTCTGCACTGATGAGAGTGGACTTTTCCTCCCCATTCACTGAACACAAAGGCCCAATCCCATTTCACCCCTCACCCCTACCACTGAGCCCTTAGCCCTCTGTTTTGCTGATTAACGTCTAGGGGTAGGGTGTCCCAATTTTTGTTGAGATAGAGGGGGGTGAAGTGTTTGGGCTACATGGCCCTCCAAATGGAGGCTTTTCAGAGACTCCAAACAGAGTGTTATGAGAAAAAAAGAAAAACCAGCTAAATGGCTGAACAAGAGACCAAAGAAACCCACAAAAGTGAGAATTTTCTCTGTTAAAAATTATAATAACCACTGTATTATCTTAGTTTAATGCCGTTTTAATGTATTATGGTCCTTTTCTTCATAACAAGCATAAATAGTGTGCTAATGTCTGGATAGCTAGCTAGCTAACTTACCTGTTCCACCTTAAATAGTCCAGCAGTTCTGACGCCTGAAGCGGCAGAATGTAACTGCTGCACCATTTAAGGTGAAACGGAAAATCTGAATGAGAAGCTGGTGAATATCTGACTTCAGCTTCATATCACTGAAGAATTAGGAGTGGGCGATAATAAATCATCGCTTACAGAGCAGCGCTAGTAGCTGTTAATGAAGTAATGTTCTTTTTTATTTGAGGGTCCCATTTCATAGAGGAAGATTTCAACCACAACCCCTTGTAACTCAGTTCCAAGGGGCAACACTCGAAAACAAGGGGTAGAGGTAAAAATAAGAAATGTGTTTGGGCCAAGGGGTCACTGAATGGTCTGATGAGGATGAAAATGATGGAAATAATATGCTTTGGCTTTCACAGTCATCAGATATCAACCTAGTTGAGCTCATATGGAAGAAACTGAGGCGTGTTTGCTCGCATTCTCCACTACTATCCCATCATCAAACCACCAACTGAGAGAATATCTTTTGAAAAAATGGTGTTCCTTCCATCCACTACAGCTCCAGAGACTTGCAGAACCTATCCTGAGGCCCATTAAAGCTGTCCTTGTGGCCCAACACCTTACTGAGATGCTTTATGTTTGTTTCTCCTTCAATTTGTCACTTGTGTATTTATTTAGCTTTTTATGGATTTTAAGATGCTCTTTCAAGAAAATCTGAAGCACTCAGTACACGATACACAATGCAGGCAACTGTCAAGTCTTGGATATCATGAGTAAAACACACAAAATAGAATTCAACAGCTAAAAGGAGCTAAAAACCACTTGGCAACAGAGACATTTCTATCATATAGGCCTCATGTAATACTACTGATACCTGTTTTGGAAAGCATAGCCAGTTCTCCAGTTCCTGACTGAGCTGGCAATCTCCGCTTTTCTTCTCCACAGGAGACTTCAGGCCATTTTCCTGTGGCCCGCTGTGACCTCCGGGCGTCCCGTGACCTCCAGGACTCCCAGAGCCACTGAGCATTTTTCGCACGGCCTCGTGGTTGAGGTCCACGTGGAAGTCGGCTGAGACCTTCCTGTTCTCTCGCATGTCCAGCAGCGCCACGGTCACAAAGAAAGGCTCGATCTAAACAGATTTTCTCAGATTAAAACAAGTTTCACTACCAAACAAAGCAAATCTGCAAATCTTTTAAACAGTGCAACTGCGCAATAAACCTGAACTGGCTTGTATAAAAGCTTATACAGCTGGTCTAAATCTTCAGAATTGAAATATATAAGTCAATATCAGAATAGCACAATTCAAATATGTGCAGAATCAGAGTCTGACACTAATGCTGCGGTTACATGTGGGGGTAGATGGTAGAGGTCTGCGCTTCTGCTGGACTCACCACAATATCTTGTGGCGGGGGGCTAATTCTCAGTGTGGCATGTGGGAGTGGGCATTTAACCAGCCCAGTGCAGGTAGAGAAACTAATCAATAGCCCAAATAAGTAAAAAAAAAATTCAATGACATAATTAGAATAAAAAAGAAAATAATAAACTCATTCTAAATACCGGCCATGTTAACGACACACGCATTCTGTAAATGTGCCAGTTTAGCCAGTTCAGCTAATTTTTTTTTGTAGTCCCTGGGCAGGTACACGAGGACCTGCAGCCAGTTGCACCAGCTGGGGAGCTTGAACTTAAGATAGAATGCAAAGTATCATCCTAAACCTCACGTTGAGAGTAGTTCATTTAAAACTAGCGACACACAGAATTTTGGTTGCACCACAACCCGACATAAACAGGAAACATTATCAGCATGAACTCCACACTCAAAGCGTCCGTCTCTTGTATGTGTTTTTATTCTGTTCTGCTGCTGGAATTGTTCCGATGTTCTAGCTGGGCTCTCGTGCACAACGTTTTAACAGCGCTTTATCACTGAACAGTCTGTACCGTTAGTGAAGCTGTGGCTGCTATTCGAATCTGCTGAATGACAGAAAGGTGATGTCAGCTATGTTAGTTATATTTTAAAAATAATCTGTGTCATATATTCTATGATAATAAGGTCAGCGTCACACACAATCTGAGCTCTGAGGAGCGACCCTGTAGTAAAACATCTCAGTGCCGGAAACAAAGTAGGAGGGCTTCGTTACTGTCTGTGTTGTGTTAATCTGAGGCAGGAGGTCAGTGATCTTTTCTATCTCCGATCAACGAAAATAGGTGTAATCTATCCTGCAGAGTCGCCGATGCAAACTGAGCTATATTTCATTTTCTTGCAAGTTTTCCCTTCTATCAAATGGACCAGCCATTTAACTGATTTTTACGGCAGAACTTACAGCTACTATAGGGTATGTGTAAATTTGGAGTTATAATTTAAAGCTACGTTGAAACTATTTTACATGGTGCAGCCGGTTAAATTCTAGTAGCTCACAAACTTGAACGTAGTGGCAGTTTACGTTTAAACTAGGCTACGATCAAACTTACGTTCAGCTGGTGCAACTGGCTGCTGATCTGGGAGCCATGAACACCAAGAGTCTCACTGTTGAAGACCAGGTTCACCCAGTATTACACAACAAAACACTTCATTAAAAATTATTATGATACCGCAGTTCTGACATAGTAAGTCCTTACATTATTTCAACTTACTACGACACTATTTTGACATCTTAGTCAATATTTAGAGTAAGTGAGTAACTATTTTGAGAGATTAAGTCAAAATTTTGAGAAATAAAGTCACCATTCTAACATAGTAAGTCAATAATTCTGGGAAAATAAGTTTTTTGAGATACTAGTTATAATTTTGACTGCTGGAAGAGGAGGCCACTCATTCTCTCTCCGGGTGGGAAAGGGCTTCCATACGTATCACTGTGAGGCTCAGAACACCTTGTTTTTCAATGCCAATATGTATAATTAAGATACCGTTTCTCCATAAAAGGCAGATACTCATATGTGAGCCTAATTTTGTGTCTCACGTTAGTGACCGGCTCCGTCTCTGTCTCGTTCACACAGCCCTGCAGTGTGAGGTTGAGGGAGCGGCAGTAGATCATCAGTTTCTTCCCCAGCTTTTCCTCGAAGGGACGGATGGGCGACGGTTCTCCACATTCCCCCCTCGGGCTCCTCAAAACCTACAACAGACAAAACTGATCCTCAGGACTGCACTCAGAGCAGAGCCTTCTTGTTTAAAGCATTATCAAGCAGAGTGTGTTACACTGCAGTTGGAAGAAAACCTCTCCGTTTTTTGCTGTTTTTCAGTTTTTGGCATAATCTGAAAATGCTTGTTATTCTTTACATTGTGTGTAAATTTCATGATGAACGGACTAAAAGAAATGACTCAAAATGACATGGAAAAAAATCTGGTTCCATTGATTTACATTAAAAGTGGAGTATGATTTCTTTCCTTCTCCTGTAAAGTTAGCATTTTGGGAGATACAAGGTTTTCTTCCGACAACAGCGATATATATGTATAAATATGACTCTGAGCTAAAGTGTGGCTTGATTATGTAAGAATCATAAAGAGGCTTTCTAGGGTAACTGGAGGCATTTGTGGATGATGAGAGACGTACAGGAGTGTCAGGGTCGAGAGAGAACAGGTTCAGCCTCTCTTCTCTTCGGGCTGCTCTCACCAAATCCTCGGTTTCAGTGATGTACTGATGGACAAACAAACACTGGTTAGCAGAGTCATACATTTAATTAGTATAAGATGGCTGTCAGCGGCTCATCTTGACCTAAAAGTTACCTTAGCTAATTCGGGATTGATCCCATTTTCTGTCGTTTCATCATTTTCAGGGACACAAACGTGATTCAAGGACACATCAAAAACATCTGAAAAGATTGCAGGAAAACAGATTAACATCACATTTACATATAACATCACAAATCAAATCATTCAAATTGATAATTACATCACTATTTAACCTTAACAATGACAAGGTTACGTCTCTTTAGGTTTTTTAGCATCACAAGAAACAGCTACCATGTCTCCAAAAGTATCCAGACAGCTCTAATTAGTGAGTTCAGATACACCAACTCACATTTTTGTAGACTCCAGCGTTTCTTCTGAAATGAGTGGTATTAGTAGTAAGTTTGTCCTCCTTTGCTGCAGTAACAGCCTCTACTCTTCTGGGAAGGCTTTACACTAGATGTTGAACATTGCTGTGAGGATTTGATTGAGCATTAGTGAGGTCAGGTACTGATGTTGGATGGTCAGTTCTGGATCACTCCAACTCATCCACTCCAGAGGATGCAGTTCCACTCTATGCAACTGAGCACCATCAGCAATGAGAAAGAAAAGAAAAGCACTGATCTGATAGAATAGGATGCTGGAGCAGCTGCACATGAGCCTAGGGTCACTGTGTCCAGTGCCAAGCGTGGCTAGAGGGTATGAAGCCCTCCCAGCATTGGGCCGTGGAGCAGTGGAACTGTGTTCTCTGGAGTGATGGAGCTCCATCCAGTACCTTTGGAATGAGTTGGAGTGATCCAGAACTGACCATCCAACATCAGTACCTGACCTCACTAATGCTCAATCAAATCCTCACAGCAATGTTCCAACATCTAGAGTAAAGCCTTCCCAGAAGAGTAGAGGCTGCTACTGCAGCACAAACTCACTATTAAAAGCCTTCATTTCAGAAGAAACTTTTTCAAACATTTCCAAGCATTTAAGTATTCTAGATAGTCTGATTTCTTCATTTCCACAGAGAGGAGAGAGAAGTGAGAGGCTGAGCATGAGAAAGAGAGAGAGGGAGGAAGGGAAGGAACATTAAAGGGTGTGATCTGGTCTTCTGCTCCAGGGCATGAACTGACTCAGCTTCTCTTAAACCCTCATTCTGCAATTTTACTCCCTTTTTTAAGCTTTAATTTTGCTGAAACAGAGAAACAAACTGAGTGTCATTATTTATGTATGTAGAAAAGGGCAAAAAAGCTGAATTTTTCCCAGCAAAGAACCTCAGCTTGCTAAACATATTAAATCAGCACTCAAAATTTTAAAAATTAAGTCAATTTCTAACTAATAAGTTTGCCACATAGCTCACAGAATCTGAGCTCCTCTTTTATGAGGACTAAAATTGCTGCCCTGCTTCTGAGAAAATGTTCACTTTATTGAACTATGAAGGTCAAGGATTCTGTGACTGTTGGCTATTTAAGCGTTCTTGTTTTGGTCCTACAAGCTTTAAACCAGCAACATATGTCTGTCATGCTCACAGAATCTGTGTAAACACTTATTAGTTTACTTTTATTATGCTTTTTCAAGAGGGTTAATTAAAAGCAGTAAGCCATTACGTCACAAAGAACATGTTTCGTTTTACACAGGACCTTTTATCTCTGTTACTGATAAAAATCACTAATGATGGAAGTTTATAAACTTTAGAAGGCTCATTAATATGCAATGGTAACATGCAAACTTAGTAGTAATGGAATATATCACTGTTTTTGGAATAAAACCTCGTATCTCCAAAGTGGTAAATTTACAGGAAAAGCAAAAACATTCTTCACTTTTAATGTAAGTCAATGGAACCAGAATGTTTTCCAAGTCGTTTTGGGCCATTTTTGTTGGTTCATTCTTCATGAAGTTTGCATACAATGTAAAGATCAACAGGTATTTTCAAATTATGTCCAACGACAAAAAAGGAGATACCAGGTTTTGTTCCGACAGCAGCGATATGTAACAGTATTATGTAATAAAGATAAACAGGTCACTGTTTTCTGTTACAGCTCCAGAAAAACCACAGTAATCAGGTTACAGATACATCATAAAGAGAGTAAATGCCAGCAGGATTTACATTAAAGCCACTGTTGCACACTGAATGCACTGAATGATGAAAATGTACTCGACCTCCTGCTTGCAAACTTTTTCATCTGATGTGATTTATTTCACACCACCAATCGCTGTTGATTCTGTGGTTGGCACGGTAACAGCCAAGCTGATGGTTTTGTCTCAGCAACTCGTCAAACGATATGTCCACTGTTTCGCCACATATGCTGTGCATTTCTGAACAGCTCAGTTTTCCTCTTTGCCATGTTTAAAAATGTCCTGTTGAAATTAGTTTTAGCACCGCAGAATCTCAAACGGCTCCCTTCTCTCTACATGGTGCACATCTGAGGTCTTAAAATGCCATCTTTTATCAAATCTACAATCTCTGTAAATAATGGTGTGTATCAGACCTGCTCTAATAACTGGATTACCTGTCAGGTTCCGAGAGCTTTTACTGAACTGGGGAATCTGATTTTAGCTGCAGTGCACCAGCAAACTGGAAAACACTACAGGAAACTCCGCTCACTGGTGTCACTCGACTATTTTAACTTTTAAAATAGTTCAGCATTCAGCCTGCAACTGTTTTATTTGATGATAGTTTCTTTTTTGCTCTATTTTATTTTATTTTGCTTTTAAGTTGTTTGTTTTTCTATCGCTTATTATTTCATTCTTTTACTTTTTTTTTGTTTTAGTTCCTTGTTTAACCTGCGTGGCTACAACATAAATGAGCATCACTCTCAATGCTCTTCAGTCAAAATAAAGGTTGACTGATTGATTAAAATATAGATTTTTGGCTTGCAAATAGTTCCTAACGTCTAAAAGTGAGCGATTTGGAATTCAGCCACTTGTGCACAATTTCCTTCTGAGCACTATTTTGGTGAAGAAGCCAACATGTCATAATTGATAGAGTGCACTATATAGGGAATAAGAAGCCATTTGGGAATCAGCCTTTGTCTTATTTCTATAACTTTAAAAAAGACAAGCAACCCAAAAGTAATAGGAAGCAATCAGACTCCACTACTTTAACATGGTAATCCTTTGGATTATGTTACAGATTACAGTTTCAGCAGTTAGTCAGTAATCTGTACTAGAATACATTTCTAAAGTAACCCTCTCAAGCCTTGTGCGAACACTTTGTCTATGAATGAATGTTTAAAAGTAGTAAATATTCATTCACAGCACAATGTTACATTAAAGACATTTATTATTTCATGGTAAAAACACTTTGACCGCTACATGAGGGCAAGGTTAAGTTTACACCCGTGGTAAAAATATCACATGGACCACCGTTCCAGACTCACCGTGCTTGGTGTCGGTCAGGTCCATGCTTTTGCGGTCCAGAGCCGGACCCTCAGGCGGGCTTATCTGGAGGATACGGTTCAGCGTATTGATCCAGTCCTCCATGTCCTGCTCGCTCTCCGCCGCAAGGACAAAGTACGTCACCTCATTCATCTTCAGCTCAAAGGCGTGCTTCCTCAGCCGGTTGTTCTGTGACATGAAACCCAGTCAGAGCATTTTAAGCACATCGGACATTATAGCTGAAAGATTAATCATGTTTATATCAAAAAAGAGCTGCAATGTTTATTATAGAATACATTCTCAACAATGTTGTCTTTAGTTTTAAATGAGGAAATTTAACCTAATAACACAGAGCGTGTGAACTGGCTGTAGATGAGTTAGACCAGTCAGAAGCCACAAAATGTTTACGTTCTGTGTATGTGACATCACAACCACGACTAATTTGTAACCTGACACACTCAGTGTTCAAGCTTTATGTTTTGGGCTTCTTGGCCAAAAAAAACTGGCTTGGAAATGAATTTATAGAAAATAATTGCATTTACATTGAAACTGGGATAAGGGCAGAAAAATCGCAATTAGATATTTTCCCCAAATCGTTCAGCCCTACCAGACATCATCCTTAATCTGGATCATTAAAGGAACGGTTCAGTGGATTTCAACCTAATTACTATCTGATGCATCTGTAGTGTACAACCAATTATCACAGATAACAATCTCAACATATTTCACTGAACTTAGTAAAACAACAGAAAACCTGTTGACTTGAAATTCACTTACAATAGAAGTCAACGGGCAGGTGCTGAATCAAGTGCCCTTCTATTAAAGTCTTCTATTAAAATGACTTTCTAGTCTGGGGGTCATTGTTCAAGCTGGGTAAAGGACCGCATGCGTCGGGCACATTCAGATTAGGCTGTAAAAATGCTTAAGGCCTGCTTTTACCACTGCAATTGAAACACTTGGTGACTCTAGTGGATATTCTGGATTGATTTGGCTAAAATGTCCAGTACTGACCTGAACTACCCCTGTGCATGAGTCCAGAAATATGCAACCTTTAGGCTCCTTTGAGATTTTCTCGTCTTTGTAGAAGTTCATGATGTAGGAATTGTCCGTTAGCTGAGTCAGCTGAAAATATCTTCTCTTAAATGACTGCAAAGACACAAGCGAAAGCAGGACGGAGGTGAGAAGCTGTGATTGTCAAAAAGGTCAGTAGGGTTCACACATGGGGCAACAGTCAAATGGCTCTCAAACTATCGTTGGTAATGAAACGCGCGTTTCTTTCAAGCTGTTATACAAACAGCTAATGCTTTAAAACATGTTCACTAAGGCGACTTCTTTATCTCATAGAAATAGTTACAACAACTAGATTTGGTCTAAAGAGGGTTAACAGAGCCAAGATTTAGGTCACTATGTTAAGTCTGTGCATCCTGAATGAATATTTTCACACTTGTATGTTGATTAGCTTCGAAGTAAACAGCACTAAAATGTGGAAACAATGTCAAAGAAAAAAAAACACTACAATGAACTTGCATGCAGGAAAAAGTGAGTTATTATCCAGTCCATGCATTAAAATACCTAAAATCACATTGTGGCAATGAAATCATCTTAGATCCAGTCAAAATATGTAATATTTATTATTATAAGACTGTTGTAATGAATTTTATACACTTAATGAACTTATTTCTAGACTTTATTTGTTTTTCCAAGCATTGTTTATTGAAATGACTTGTTAATGGACTAAGACATAACTGATTATTTCTAATGCATAATAACATAACTCATTATTTCATTTTTCAAATTTAAAAGTAAAAATGTCTAGAAATAAGTCAAACCTAAAAGTCAAATGTTCTTTTAACAATCTCAAAATGAAAAAGATGAGATATTTCTATTTCGACTACATTTCGGATTTTTTTCAATGTAAGTAACATTTATAGAATACCAGTAGGCCTGCCTCATTAATGATGCTTCAGAGGATTTAATCATCTTGGAAATATATGGAAGACAACTTCTTTTTTAAAATATGTGTAGAAAATATTTAAACATTATGTCAACATTTTTGCAACTCACTCATTTACTCAAGCACATGTAGCAGTCTCAAGTTTCTCCAGCAGGGGTAGCATATACATAGCATTTGTTTGCATTATTCAAAGAGAAGAGCCATGAACCTGCACCAGCAGGAGCTCATGAATGTAAAAGTTTGCAGAGTTTCAAAACGAAAAGAAATAGTTTTCAAAACATGTTTGTTACTTAATATTACATTATTTATGGTGTCTTTTTCAAGAAATATTTTTATTAAATGAGTTGATGTTAAAAACATAGAGCATTTGTTTAAAAAAATGTAAAATATAAATCAAAGACAGCACAAAATTAATGTCTACGCTGCAGCAGATGGTATGTGTATGTGTGACTTCTGTGGAAGGAATCATAATCAACGATCCAGATATTTTTAAAAATAAATATTTGTCCGAGGTATTTTTAGATTGTTTTCAGATTTATATTTAGCCAGTGAGTCAGTTTCTAAACTGCATTTTAAAAAAATTGTAAAAAAAACACCAGACTAGTTTGATCATGATCTCAGTTCACCAACACACAGGCTTTGTCAGATGTGTTAACCTCAAACTCTTCTTGCTAAGTCGGTAGCTGTGCTGTTTTAGGCCTCGCTTTATTCTTCCAAACGTATCTATGCAGTAACAGGAAGTCTGTGCATCTTTATCAATGCATTCTGATCTACTTACAAGTATTTAGCAATGTGTACAGAGAGCTCCTCCCAATTCCTCAGAACCATATCAAGAGAAGCTCGCTTGGCTATGGTGTCTATTCAGCCTTTTCAAGCAAATGTGGAGTTAAAATGCTGAGAACGCTCTGACAGTCCATTAGTATACCGTATAGGTCAGGAGTCGGCAACCCAAGCTGTTTTGTCCTTCAACAAACATCAAACCACCTCTGAAGCCCACAACATTTTATGTCTATTTTACCATCTTGGCTGTAAATATGTCTCAGTATGTGCTGATGTACTAGTATAGGCTATAACTAGTATCTGCTTTAAGCTTAATCTCAGCTATAGCTGCTTTTCTCGCATCACTGGCAGGAAACTTTTCCTCAAAAGCAGAACAGTTTCTCTCAACGTTCAACTTTTTAAGAGGCTGAAGTCTCTTCTCATTCGCCAGCTTCAATTTCCCGTTCCACCTCAAATGGTGCCTAAGCTGCCATAATGTAACTGTGGCACCATTTAAGGTGGAACGGGAAAATTCGAAGAAACTGACTTCATCTTCGTGACTTTTTAGTGTTTGACAGTTTCTCGTTGCAGATTAAACATATCAGGAAACCAGCTGGAGTGATTTAAATGTAAATGAGAAAATATAAAAAAGTCCATTTGTCTCTAAATTATTGATGTTTGTCTTAAATCTTTCTCTTTGCCGTTTCGTTAGCTACTAACTAGGTGAGATCATTGTCTGTGTTGTTATGGTGACCAGCAGTCTGCGCTGATCTTCAGGGTTAAATGGGTAAATTAGCAGTTCTACATTAACTCCAGAGTTTAAGACCATTTATTGTTAAACTGTGCTGAACGATCAGCAGAGCTTTATTTTACTGTAAAGGAGGATTATTTTATTTTTACCTACAAATCTAATTCTGCTGTGGAGCCGCAACAGGACAGTAAAACAGCCGCATGCGGCTCCGGAGCTTCATGATGCCGACTCCTGGTATAAGCAATGCTCGACTAGCAAATTGTGAGGCTCTACTGCTACAAGGTCACCATAAGAGCCACAGCTATAAACTTGGCTGAGGTGAATGTACTCAGGAAGGAGTTTATAGAGTAGAAAAGGTGTGAAACTAAGAGTACAATAAGCCTATTCATATGAATTGAGCTCCTTTTTATGAGTGGTTTCATGAGTTTGTACACTGTTCCTGTCCACATCAATATCCATTCAGACACAAAGCCACACTTAATGCTATTCCAGTAAACCAATCACACCACTGAACATTACAACATTAGCTGGAAGCCAGAAACATTATTCAGACAGTAGAGTTCAGCATAATGGAAACACAAATGCGCTTCTACAACTAACAACTGTAAAGCTGCGTTAGAGGGTTTTACTATGACTGCTACTTGGTCACTGCCTCTTAAGTAATGTTCCTCCATCATTACTACTAAGTACTAATATGTTCTGGTGGTTTAATCAGAGAAAGCCTGTAGAATGAGCTGGAGGCAGGAGTCCAAATAAGAGAACCCTGGATGAGGACGGAAAAACGACTTTACCTTGATTTTTTTGAATAAAAGCGTTTGATGTAGTTGGTAAACATTATTAAAGTTTAAAAAATATACTGTTGAATATACGTCCTGCTCCGTACAGTCCATATATTGAAACTAAGCTGCAAAAACAGTTTTGAATTTGTTGATTTTGCGAGGTCATCAACTTTTTTACATATATATGCCTATTCAGCCTGCAGCTGTTTAACCCCACCCACTTACACTGAAGGAGTATTTCAGCTCTGAGCGCTTTCTGAATGAGCCACAATACAAGCCAATCACAACACATTCAATAAGACTACTTCTTTATCTCACAGTAATAGTTAAAAGATCTAAATTTGATCTAAATTGAGTTAACAGGGCCAAGATTTAGGCCATTGTTCACTTCCTGAATGAATATTTTCACACTCGCCTGTTGATTTAGCCTCAAAGTAAACAATACCAAAATGTTGAAACAATGTCAAAGAAGAAAAGACACTGCAGTGAATTTGCATGTTTGAAAAATATGAGTTATCATCCAATCAATGCATTACAATGCCTAAAATGATATCTTGGCAAGTGAAATCATCCTAAAACTATTTAACATTTATTATTGTAAGACTGTTGAAATAAATATTATACAATGCAAACTTATTTTTAGACATTTTAAAGACCATTAGGTGTGTTTTTCTGAGTATTATTTCTTGAAATGATTTGTTAATGAAATAAGACACTTTTTACTAGATAAAATAACTTATTTAAAAAAATATTTAAAAGTAAAAAATGTCTAGAAATAAGTTAAATAAACTTATGCTCTTTTAACAATCTCAAAAGAAAACATTTTAGATATTTAGACTACATTTCAAGATCTTTTTTTCAATGTAGGTAACATTTATGGCCAATCAGATATTGTGCCTTTATGAGCTCATTTACATAAAGGCACAATAACATAAACAGCCAGTTTAATTCTAATGGATAAAGAACGGTTGAAAAACGGTCATGTAAGAATGAAATGGGACAGTTATTGGTATGAAAAACCACACAAACATTGTAAGTGGAAATATTAAATACAAGAAAAAATGTAGGATATGATCCCTTTAATGTAAGTTAATATAACATGATTTTTTTGCAATTTTGCACCATTTCTATTGAAATCTAATGTAAAGAGCAGCTTGTATTTACAAACAGTGTAAATTAGCGGTTATGCAGAAATGAACATGTCTGTTTGGGTAAGGGGGGGGGGTGAGGGGCACTGACTCTAGATCAGCAGTCTCGCTGAGAGGTGATTAGATAATTAGTATGACCAGCTGAGTGGTCACTGAATGAAGCCTTTGGCTGGCGCTCTCACCCGAACAGTGATGCTGTTGTTGACCGTGCTGTTGAAATTGCCTTTGTAGAGCCAGCCAGACTTAAAGACACCGATCCCGGTCCCTCCACTGCCGCCGCCGCCCCCTCCGCCTTTGGACGACGACAGCGACGTTGTGTCCTGCGAAAAAAAAGGAAAAGCGATCTTTAAATGGGCCATTATGGGCGAACGGTCGCACTCTTAATGGCCAGGAAATGGTTAGATCTGTCAGGGTGTGGCTTTGAGTTGAGACAGAGGGTGTGCAAACTAAAGTACTATGGGAACTATTAGTGTTAAGTGGTGGAGGTGGAATAAGGTCACTTTACCACAGGATACCTGTTACTGATTCATACAGGATAAGAAATCTAGAAATATTTTAAAGAGATAAGAGGGGCTACTCGATACGCTCGGCAGTAAAACATTTAATTTAACCTTGTGTATCTTTACCTAATCTTAGCTGTCTTATGTGAATTTAGTGTGTTATTATTCTCGTCATTAATTTACAGTCTTAACTTTTACAAAATTTATAAAAATAAAATCTAACTTTTTCTGTAAGTTCACATTTTAATATTTGAGCCCTACATATTGATTTAAGCTACAAGGAAGACAGGTAGAAGCTTCTTTGAGTGCCTCTATAGTTGAGAAATACTGCGAAAACTCCTTTTCTGCAGAATATTTTAATTTTACTGCATGGGATTAGCATAACCTTGGTCATTTCTGCAGCTCTTTTTTATCGTAGGATTAATATAACCTGGGTCATTTCTACAGTTCATTTTGTAGCACAGGATTATTATAGCCTGGGTCATCTCTACAGTTCATTATATAGCACAGGATTACTATAACCTGGGTCATTTCTACAGTTCATTTTATAGCACAGGATCAATACAGTTGATACAGTTATAGTTAATACAGTTAATTTTATAACATTTTAATTTTTATAATATAACCTGAGTCATTTCTACAGTTTATTTTATAGCATGGGATTAAGATAACGTGGATTATTTCCACAGATCATTTTATAGCATGGGATTAATATAGTCATAATAATATAATATAGTCATTTCTACAGTTTATTTTATAGCATAAGATTAAATATAATCTGGGTTAATATCTGCGGTTTGTTTGAAAGCAGATAAAATCCACTGGAATCTTTGCTGAGCGATCAGTGTGTAAAATCACTGACATGGTGGATTCTAATGAGACAATATTGTAAAACTAATTGTGTGACAAGTGAGTAAAAATTATAGTACTGTAAATCTAAAACAGTGTATAATGTAAATCTCTAAGGCCGGTTCACTCCTCACTCTCCTCTGAGTCTGAATGATCAAGAACATTTAAAAAATCTCGACCTCAGAATCGAGAGTCGTATTGAATCCGAAAATACTCTGTACTGTACTGCTCTGTGCTGTGAGGAGCTGACTGAGGCTTCTCATAGATGCTCCCACAGGTCCTGTTCTGAGTTCACTTAAGTCAAGTCCTGCACACGTTTCCTTCTGAGCTTTGTGTTACATGTTTTTCCACAATCTGGAGAAGTGATTTAGAAGTGCGCTGAAAGCAGGAGGGCGTGTGCTGGACGTGAGGCATAAACTCTGACCTCATCCTTATCCACATCTTCATGGTCAATCTCGAATGAGTGGGAGGGCAACTTCTGAGCCTTATACAATTTCCTGTGAGAGAGAGAGAGAGAGAGAGAGAGAAAGAGAAAGAGAGAGAGAGAGAGAAAGAGAGACAGAGAGAGAGAGAGAGAGAAAGAGAGAGAGAGAAAAAGAGAAAGAGAGACAGAAAGAGAGAGAGAGAGAGAGAGAGAGAGAGAAAACATAAGGGGACGAAGATTAGAGTTATTACTTTTGACTTGCAGGGCTAATTTACATAATGAATTCCATGTGATTCACATTCTGCATGGACAGATTCAATCTGTTCTTATGATTTATTTTGTTTTATTTTTTTTTTTTTATTACACAAACACAGCAAAAATGTAAAACATTATTTTTCCTTTCAGCAAAATAAAGACTACAGGCTTAGCGAACAGCTAATCATCAGAGTCAAATCACTATAATATACACCGATCAGGCGTAACATCACAACCACCTCCTTGTTTCTGCACTCATTGTCCATTTTATCAGTTCCACTTACTATATAGGTGCACTTCGTAGTTCTACAATTACAGACTGTAGTCCATCTGTTTCTCTGCATACTTTGTTAGCCCCCTTTTACCCTGTTCTTCAGTGGTCAGGACCCCCATGGACCCTCACAGAGCAGGCACTATTTGGGTGGTGGATCAGTCTCAGCACTGCTGTAACACTGACGTGGTGGTGGTGTGTCAGTGTGTGTTGTGCTGGTCTGAGTGGATCAGACACAGCAGTGCTGCTGGAGTTTTTAAACACCTCAGTGTCACTGCTGGACTGAGAATAGTCCACCAACCAAAAATATCCAGCCAACAGCGTCCTGTGGGCAGCGTCCTGTGGGCAGCGTCCTGTGATCACTGATGAAGGACTGGAGGATGACCAACACAAACTGTGCAGCAGCAGATGAGCTATCGTCTCTGACTTTACATCTACAGGGTGTGATCCACTCGTAGGGGGCTAACAAAGTATGCAGAGAAACAGATGGACTACAGTCTGTAACTGTAGAACTACAAAGTGCACCTATATAGTAAGTGGAGCTGATAAAAAGGACAATGAGTGTGGAAACAAGGAGGTGGCCTTAATGTTATGCTTGATTGGTGTATCTCATCTTCCACTTACAAACACAAATGTGGTATGGATTGAAGGCTCTGCACTTCCACACAATTTCTAATGGTTCATCTAAAATGACTGCATGCTTTAATTTCTACGTAAAATAATAAAGCATGCTGTCAATCTGTGGAAGAGAACCCTGAGAAACTGACACATAGGCTACGTTCACATCACAAGCCTCATTACTCAAATCTGATTTTTTGCTCAAATCCGATCTCTCTGACACGATGGTTCACACTCGTTTAGGTTATTGATTCAAATCGGTCATTAATGTGAACAAACCGGCGTCCTGAAATGACCCACGTGTGCACATCCTACTCAGTAACGTCACATGAATGAATCACAAGCATCATCAGCACAAACTAACGAGCAGAACGAGCTTTGCTGAGAAGATAATTAACTCTGATCAGCTCTCAGCTTCATTATTAGAGCGAGACGAAGGAGAAAAAGGTGAGATGAGCTGCTTTTCCACCGTTTACAGGCTTTAACTTCTGTTTGGCGCTGCTGCCATGGTAACGCTGAATGATGGCGCACGCGCAGTGGAAAAAAAGCACATGAATTCCAATCTGAGCATCGCATTAAGGTCGCATGGCCACGAATCGGATACGTATCCGATCTGGGACCACATATGAAAGTGACTCAGGTCGGATTTGAAAAGATCAGATTTGTGTGTCCACACAGCTCTAAAACATCAGATCTGAGTCACATTAGGGCAAAAAATCGGATTTGTGCCGCTTCAACCTGGTAATGTGAACGTAGCCTCATTGGCTATCCGGTAGTGTTGTGGCTGTGCATTAAAAAGACTGATGTTGTTACTGTTGTCTGCCCTGCGATGGACTGGCGACCTGTCCAGGGTGTATCCTGCCTTCCGCCCAATGACAGCTGGGATAGGCTCCAGCACCCCACCGCGACCCAGAAGGATAAGCGGTTTAGATGATGTATGTATGTATGTATGTATGTTGTTACTGTGCCTTTAAGACTGACATATGCAAATAAGCTCTGTTCTGATTGGCTGTGACATCATACAAATAATGAATTCAGGCTGTTTTTACAGTTTAGTTTTCATATACAGACTGTATGGACTGGAAAGTGAATAATATGTTTATAAATTGCTCACGTACTACTTCAAACTCCTTTATTTTAAAAAAGGGAAGAAATCTCAGTTTTCATGATTTGGGTCTGGACAGCCCTGAGCTTTTGGGAACATCTGCTCTTAATGCCTGCACATGTTGGCAGAAGTATAAACCAGACTAATGGTCAACAAAGAAGAAGAGCGGCCAGAGTGAAAAGGGAAGAGAGAGCAACACAGAAGGAGACAAAGTGAGGGTGTTCTGCCATCCATCATCATTAGTCTAACAAAACAATGGAGAAGAAAGTGAAGGAGAGTGGAAGACGAGAGAGAGACAGAGAGAGACGTTCATTGCATTAGCTGCCATGCACCATTTCCACCATCCATCCCTCTCTCTCTCTCTCTCTCTCTCTCTCTCTCTCTCTCTCTCCCTCTCTTCCTCTGTCCTCTGTGATAAACCCGAACATTCTGAATCCTGTTTTATTCAATTTCCTCTCTCTCTCTCTCTCTCTCTCTTTCTCTCTCTCTCTTTCTCTTGCTCTCTCCCTCTCTCCTTCTCGCAGATGGTTGGAGAGCTGACAAATGGACAGGATGTAACCTGCTTTGACCTGTGCAGTTTGCATGCTGTGTGTTGGACTTTGGGCCTGACCTATCAAAACAGCTCAGACTGGCAAAACTACATTTCCCAGAGTTCCCATTACGGTCCATTTCCTGCATATGGTAACAGTCGATGATGTACAGTGCTTGGTTTAATGCACATTCACTTTTTAAACCTGTTTAGTGGCATTTACTCCCTTCACCCTTCAAACATCCACCACAGTCTTCAGAGCCCAATAACACTGTTATACATTACTTAACAATTTAGGGACTTTAAGCCCTGAATGTGGCAGGTTTGCTACCTGTTTAATTCGATATTAACTGTTTCTGACTCATAGCTTATTAAAACAAGTGGCAGAATTGTACGAAAAGTGCAAAGTCTAAACTTACAAATTTGAATTCTTTCAAATTCAAGTGAAGGATACATCACTGTATACTACCCAGGAGTCTTTTACAGATTTTAGAGTAACATCACTGCAGACACACCCAGAGAGGACAGACAAACATGGAGCAATCCAGCTATACTTTAAATTCAGTATTTTCTTTGGGTTTTAAATAATTTTGTGTTATAGTTTTGTATTTGGTGTAAAATAAAATAAAAAAAAACAAGGTTGTAGAAAAACACACAAACGTGAACAGGTGGGCTCTGTGTAGCATCTTAGGCCGTACTTTCAAGCGAACATTGTGAAAGGCTCATTTTGTCAATAGTCACCAAATTTAATGATGTTGAAAGCTGTCGCACTTCCCCAATTTCTGCTCCTTCTCTCCATTTATCACATTCCTCTCCTCGATCCCCCTGCGGTCTTCTGAGGTAGGAGAGGAGCAGTAGGAATGGAGGGGGAGGACAGGAGCAGTACGAAAAGTTTGGAGTGTCCCCTAATCTCCAGGCTCAGCAATGAGGGTTTTTTTTATGTCCAGACAGTTGAAGACCCCATGACAGACTATTAAATAGCCACACTTAAACACAGCCAATTTATAAGCATTACATGCTGGCCTTAAAAAAGCACCCCAAATATATTCTCTAAAGATCAGGCAGTCTCTAGAGACGACTGGATCAACAGTGTTACTCACTTTCCACATAAGAGAACTCCAAAAAGGCTTCAGTGCAAAAACCTCTATGAAAAATAGCCACAATTGCAGATCCTTAACAACAGACCATGGTGGAATACAGTTTTCAAAACAGGATTAACTACAGTAATTTAATCTATTAGCAAAACAGGGTCAACAATGGCTCTTATTGGCTGGGACTTGTGGGAATTGCAACCAAGGTCCGTCTATGAAAGGTCATGTGAACTGACCCTCAGTGGCCCTATGGGAGTCAGGAATGAAGCACTGAGGAAATAAGACCTCAACGAACTGTATGACCAACCGTCAGATGCTCCTGACTGAAAATATGATGTTAAAGTGACAGTTTGGCCAAAACATTTACACATTTTTCTCTTTTCCCCAAATGTAGTTGATCAGCCGAGGCATGTTTGGTGTCTGAAGTTTGCTTGTTTATAGTTTTGCACTGGAGGCTAATGTGCATCACAGACTTGGATGCTGTTCAGTATCATCATCTGTAATAGATATGATTATATGGTTTCTGGCTCTGTATGACACACTGTTATCTATAAACATGGAGACATCCAGCCTACTACTGTTTTTTGGCTATGCTCTGTACTTTTATCCGTGTAGATAACAATAGTGTGGCGTCTCGGCACAGGAGAAGAAGAAGCCATGACTACCAGCTCTTTATTTACACCAGCAGAAAAGCACATGCAAAGTCACTTGAACAGCAGATGGGTCATCCCCAGCTCTACGCTTCCTCCTTATGGTTAAGACACAACCCCACACTACCAAACCCCACTGACCAACACAACATGACACATTAAAACACATGCATCACAAAGACACACCCCAAAACTAACAGATAAGAACCTTAACAACACCAAACAACAACTGTCCCTTCAAATAGGAGGGGGTGGAGAACGCAGCACAGCTCTGCACACCATGCCTCTAGATACCCCCCCATACCCCGTCAATGAACTGGAGCAAGTGGTGCGGCTTCATTATACTAGTCAAACACCACATAAAGGAGTCACTGGACTGTGAAAGTGTTGCTTATATTAAAATTAGTACATCAGTTTTACATAAAAAATAAACACTGCAGCAATAGAAGGGGGATTATAAACCTGCTGAAATCCACCAATTTGATAATGATATTGTTTTTAGTAATCCTATATTTTTTGTTATGATTTTGGCTTCTAATGATTAGAAAAACAAGATGATTAAGACAAAATGATTATTGTGCCGCATCTCGTTTCACAATGATAATTTCATTTTGTCTTGTGTTTTAAATCCAGCACACCCCCTTTCCTTTACAGCGGTGTGCTTTTGCACCTCCCTAAAAGCCCACTCATCTAACTTATATATATATGTATATATACTTACTTATATATATATATATATATATATATATATATATATATATATATATATATATTTTGGATGCTGTTTTGGATGCTGGTAACTAGCAAAACCATACTGGAAGACCAGCTAAACCAACACCAGACCAGCACAAATCAATTACTTCAATTTTTCTGAGGAACTATCACCTTAAGACTAGCAGGAAAAGTGTGAAAGTGAACAGAATACAACAAGCAGGTTTATCTGCTCCTGCTATCCAAACGCTGGTGATGGAAACAGTTCAACACAAGGGTCAAGAATATATTTCAAAATATGTGTACATCAAATATTGGACATACATGGATAATATATCACATATATGTTTGACATGTGAGTGAAAACATGCATAATAATCATGCATTTACATCTAATATATAGTTGAATACATCCTACTACAGTTGTAACTGTTACTACCTTATGTGTTTGCTTTTAAATATTTAAACGTGTCAGTGAACGATCTTTTTATTCATTTAATGTTTTAATGATTTTATTGCATATCTAACAATGTACATGTTTTAGAGTTTAGTTCTGTAGCTATTATACACATTTTCACTTCATTAGGAAGTATGTGAAAGAACCAAGATGCTTAAGCTACTTTTATTACATATCATAAATTCAGTGTATAAGTAATGTATGCCATTCATGCATGAATAATGTGTTCTATCAGGTATGTAACACATATATTTTACAAAATATGTGTGCATATGATAACATATGGCTGAAATACGTTTTCCATATTTGAAAATGGCCAATTTCAAATACGTTGGCATATATGTCACACAGATGTCCATTTGTGACACATATTGGATAAAAGTTATATAAGGGAATCCTGTATATGCTAATATATGTCATATATTTGAAATCCATATATTGCCATATATCAGATTTCTGTATGGGAAGCAGCTGGTACCTGGGTAGCAGGCGGTAGTCTCCTGTGTACTCTTGATGCTTGTACTCGACCACGTGCAGCTGGGAGTTGTAGTACTGGCAGGCCTGAAGAGATAAATCAGAGGAAGAAAGAGGTGGAAGTTAGAACTACAGTACCCATCCGTCCATCTGAACAACCAGGTAACCACTTGCTGTTGTTGCACTGCTTGCTCTCACCAGTCTATGGCGAACTGTAGGTATGTGTGTGGCCAGTACAAGCAGAGTAAGTCATTGTTTTTGTTGTTTTGGCCTGATACCAATAGCATGTTCTAAGCAGGGATGTGTCATCTCATTAATTTTGATATCTGAGCATTAATAAGTTCATAAGGCTATGTAAGCCTTTCATAATATAAACCTACACCGGGGGGGCCCAATTCTGGACCTGAAGATCTACCGCCCTGCAGAGTTTAGCTCCAACCCTATTCTAACACCTGCTCCAGCCAGGTGTGTTGGTTCTGAACCCTCCAGGTTGGCAGATCTCCAGGACCAGATAATGTACACATTTATGAAGGCCGTTTCCAACAGACTTCAGCTGTCAACATTTTTGGGGGTGAAAAAATGGACTAAAGCAGCCTTTATGATATCTGATGCTTTCCCACATGCAAAGATGAATTCCAGAGCGCCTCTGCTGTAACGGCAGTTTTGTTAATATGTAATACACGCATATTTAGCGATGTAGTAAAAAATCCTAGTAAGGTAAGTTGGGTAGGGTAAGATGTCTTCCCCTCTTGATTTCTCTTCTGATTAAATGATCTGGTCTAAACACATTTACTGGATACATCTATACATATTGCAAATTGCACTGCTACTTCCTTTATACATTCATACCTGTTGAATATTGCACTGCTACTTTGTTTATACATCCATACATATTGCAAATTGCACTTTGCACCACTGCATTGTCACCTGCATATTAGTTATGCATTTTTACTTACTTGTTTTTGTACTGCACATTATATATTATGATTATTTTAGAATATTATATTATATGTTGTTACTGCTTCTATTTATTTTTCTGTATAATAGAGTATGACGATCCTTTTGCTCCTGCTTTACCCCATATCTATCTATCTATCTATCTATCTATCTATCTATCTATCTATCTATCTATCTATCTATCTATCTAATTTATTCAGAATTTTCAACTGGATCACTGCTTTCCTGGGATTTGCAGTCCTAGAAACCTTTTGAAGTCAGCTGATCTCATTTTTTGTCATTGGATAATAGTGATATATGCATTAATGTTGTTGTACTAGGAGACAAATTTGCATGTCAAAGCTAACCAAAGCTGAAATTTCAGGCGCAACCCGAAATGCAATGAGCGTTAAAATTTACTGGATGCAACGACGGCTAGGCTTTGCAGCCCTACAGTAAAATGAAGGGGTGACACCCCCCATCCCCCCTCCTTCTGCTATGACAGACAGAATGACACACTGTGCACTTGCTCAACTGAAGTGGGCTGCAGAAAGTGTCTGTGCATGTGTGTATAATGTTTAGACCTCCGTCCACATCTGTGTGTGTGTTGAGGTGTGGAGTGCGTGTGTGTGTTGACGTGTGGTCAACATGCATGTGCGTAAGCCTGTGACAATGTGTCAGTTTTGCTTTTTTTCAGCTCCACCTTTGTTCAGTTATGAAGATACTTCAGACCTGAAGTCTGGAAGAAACAGTAAATCTATAGACATATGGAATGGTCAGTTAATGGACTTAAAGGGCCTGTATCACACATTTGCACCTTTTTCTCTGTCCACTGATTACATTTGTGTGAAATTAATGATTAATTTTTACATCACTGTTTTCAACCTCCCTTTACAAGAAGCAGGCTGTTTGTGTTATCGTGCCTTTAAGAGTGATATATGCAAAAAAGCTCTGTTCTGATTGGCTGTCCTGCATTGTGCCTCATTCAAAAAGCAATCTTGGTTAATATACTCCTTCTAACTTCAGCATGAACAGGTGCTAAAATGCTATGAATGGACATATTAAAATGATGTGGCTTTTGTGACATCATAAAAAAAATATAATTTACGGACAGGGGAGTGAATCAAACTCTTATTTAAAAAAAATATATATTTTTATGAAATGAGCCCTTTAACTGCAAAAACATCTTGTAGAATAACACTTTGATGTAGGATGTAATTAATAATTGTTAAAGCCTCAAAATGTTAAAGTACTGGATGTTGAGAGGTGGACATGCCAACAGCTTCTCTTGTTTATCCTGGATTACGTTTTGCAGCCCATGCAGACTCTGGAGAGCATCTCCTAATTTCGGAGAGCATAAGTGAGAATTATAAGAGGTTCTGCTCTAACAATGAGCCTCATTCAGCTTCTGTAGGGCTGCCTAAGAACCTCAGACGCTCTGCAGATTTACCAGAGGGGATTAATGACTCAAAATTAATATGAATTAATTGTGTTCTTAATTACATTAGGCTGCGTTTCTCTCTGAAGCACAGAGACAAAGACAGGCCAGTGCACAACAAACAACCTGAGAAAGTTACACACCATTATACCGTACATATTAAAAACACACCAGTGTGGCACCATCACAGGTCCTGCAGCTTTTTGACCAAACCAATTTATTGCATGACAACAGTGATTCATCAGAACATCCACAGAAACTCATCTCACTCATTTAAATTTCTATTATTGCTATTATTGTTATTATATTACTACTAATATTCCTGCTATTGAATATTATATACTGTTTTTACGTATTTCCCCTTTTTTAATAATTATGTAATCTTTTAAATGTTTACCTTTTTATCTCATTTGTTTTTTAATCCTCTGTGAAGCACTTTGAGCTGTATCTGTGGTATGAAGTATTATACCTATAAAGCTTATTATTATTATTAGCATTACTGGAACTGTCATTGGCCATAATTATAGAAATATTAATTAATGTCAGATGAAAATCTACCAGTACCAGAGGTTTTTTATGATTTGATGTAATTTTCATTTTTTTATTTACAAGCAATTTAGATTTTCTACTGTTTTTTTTAAAACTAAAAATTAAAAATTCAATTTAACACCATAAATTAGGTGAATTAAGTAATAACTCATTTTTTACCCATATGTTTTAATCAATTTGAAAATTTTGTAATTAGCAAGCTCGGACATTAATGGGTTAACACATGACATTTTGTGCTGGCTAAGCACTGAAAACTTTTGCAATGAAATAATTTATGATTATCTGCATATTACAGATCACAAATTATGAACAAATACTGTATATAAACCAAAGCACAATGTTCCTGTTAAAAAAGAACAAAAAACAAACAAATGAATGTGATTAATTTTTGTTCCTAGATATTACATTTTAAAGAATTTTGTCTTTTAATTATCATTTAGAAATATGAGGAATAACTCCATAACAGAACTGCGGTAAACAGGTAAACTAGGTGTGGGGGTGCTTTTCATTTACCTTTTATTTGACCGCCACCATTCACTTCAGAGTTAGGAACCGTCCCAAAATTATTATTATTTTTATAGTCAGTAGCTGTAGTATAATCTCTGTAAGTAAATCAATGTTGTTTCCAGAAGCACCAGCAGATGTTCTTACAGAGATACCCTCACTATTACTACTAATAATAACAACAACAGCATCACTTTCTGTTCAATAATTTTGAGATGGTTCCTAACTAAAACAATAAACTCTATTCAAGCTGGATTCGTTTTAACCAGAGAGGTTGCTCAAACCACGGCACCTACACTGTAAAACTAATCCAGCTCAAATAGGGCTTTAATGTGCGAGCTGAAGCTTAATCTTTGCCAATTAAAAGAATAAAACAATACTAATAATAATAAGTTATGTAGAAGTTGCAGTTGATGTATAATGTCATCTTTAATGTGGCCCCAAATTTGGCTCCAAAATGAATCTAGTAATAAAAACCAGAACTATATATATCACACAGACTTTGCCACTCGATGCTCTGGCGTCTGTAGACGCTTAGCCTAGCCTGACTGTATGAGAGCTGAGACTGACAGTGTTTGATACCTGAAGCTGTTTTGTCTGATGTCTGAGGCCTGACACTGTGGTCTGAGGACGTCCTAAAACACACACCATAACATGGTGTGTAACATATGTTGGTACAGTAAATGTGATATAAATGTGGGCTATGACATCACCCAGCATGTTTAAAAGTGCTTACATGTAAAAGTGCTTAATCTGTGCTTACATGTGGGCTTTTTAAACTGGTGTAACAATACTGGTGTAACTTTTTAAAAGAGTTTTTAAATGGGTGTGACGAAAATAATTGCCACTGTCAATGTTGACGCATTAATTATTAAAGCTAGACTGTGTCGGTAGTTTTTCACACCACATCGTACATCGTACATCGTTCATGTATTAACGTCACACGCACTCCTTAGAAAGAAGGTCCGGCTTGATGTTTAGGTCTCAAATGATCTCAAAATCAACACTTTACTGATCAAGATATGATGACAATAGTAGATAATTCACTCACATCATTGGGAGATGCATCCTTCACCAAGTTTAGGCTCAGTTTTGTTTGAATTCTCTTTTAATCATCATATTCATCCGCTCTGGGAAGGGGTCCGAAGCACATCCCATGTTATAACTGTACGTTGTGTGCAATTACACATTTTCACCAGAGAGGTCTCCAGATCCCCAAATCTTACATAGTGTAATCATATCATTAGCAAAGTAAACTAATATACAGTAGTTATATCTCTTATTGGCTATTTAATCTTGTACACATACTAAATACTGATTTAAAAAGCTGGTTGCTAGGCAACAAGGAGATGTAACTGTAGTACCGTGGAATAAACATTTGTAAGGTGTCAACTTTTTTCAGCATCAACTATCAACGTATACAGTTCTACATGTGAGAATTTGACCCTGCGAGAATCTATTTTGCTTACACCAGTGGTCGCTGGGGGCTGTTACCATGGTTACGTGGTAAAACCGTCACCAGACACAGGCCTAATTACAACCGCTTAACAGAATTCCAGCTGTAGGAAATTCTTCTTACGCCAGTTGTTCAAGATCTGTGGAAGGTGACCCAGCTGTTGTCATCTGAAACGCACTGACCCCCACAGGAACAAACACAGAGAGGCCGCATTGTTTAGCGTCTCATAATCACAGACACGATAAACACACGCGACACAAACCGAAGACAGGCGTCCCATTCACAGCACACACACGCTCTCATGCTGTGACACGGCTGTCTGGTTAGTTTCCGTGCTCGATCAGCGTTCTGGAACCTGTCTCAGCAAAACTAAACAGGCATTTAAACTTCCTCCTGAAACACACACACCCTACACTCTACACTCTCCTACAGGCCACGCTGGGCACAGGATCTGCATCCCCACGTCTACCCTGACTATAACACCACTGATCAATGAAGAGAGACTGACTGATCACACACAGCAGTGAGACGATCTGAGTTAAACATTCAGTTAATTCAACTGAACTAATTAAACTCAACAAAGGACACAACATAAACAACACAAACAGACCTATCTGCTTCTCTGCCTCTCTCTCTCATTCTCTATCTCTACCTCTCTCTCTCATTCTCCACCTCTCTCTTGTGATCTCTATCTCTCTCTCATTCTCCACCTCTCTCTCGTGATCTCTCTCTCTCTCTCACTCTCCACCTCTCTCTATCTCTACCTCTCTCTCTCATTCTCCACCTCTCTCTTGTGATCTCTATCTCTCTCTCATTCTCCACCTCTCTCTCGTGATCTCTATCTCTCTCTCACTCTCCACCTCTCTCTATCTCTACCTCTCTCTCTCATTCTCCACCTCTCTCTTGTGATCTCTATCTCTCTCTCATTCTCCACCTCTCTCTCGTGATCTCTATCTCTCTCTCACTCTCCACCTCTCTCTATCTCTACCTCTCTCTCTCATTCTCTACATATCTCTCTCATTCTCCACCTCTCTCTCTCATTCTCCACCTCTCTCTTTCTCCACCTCTCTCTCGTTCTCCACCTCTCTCTCGTTCTCCACCTCTCTCTTGATCTCTACCTCTCTCTCTCTTTCTCTATCTCTCTCTCATTCTCCACCTCTCTCTCTCATTCTCCACCTCTCTCTCTATCTCTACCTCTCTCTTGTTCTCTTCCTCACTCTCTCGTTCTCCACCTCTCTCTCTTATTCTCCACCTCTCATTCTCTTTCTCTATCTATCTATCTATCTATCTATCTATCTATCTATCTATCTATCTATCTATCTATCTATCTATCTCATTCTCTTTTTCGTTCTCTTTTTCCTCTTTTACTTTCTGTCTTTCTTTTTCTTTTATCTCCTTCTCTCTTCCTACCTTTTTCTTACTTCCTCTCTCTTTTATATTTCTTTTTTCTTTCTTTCTCATTTCCTTCCTCTCTTCCTGTCTTTCTTCTTTCTTTCTTTCTTTCTGTAACCTTTCCTTCTCTTCTCTTTAACTTAGTTGTGTATTAGTTGAATATTATTATATCTCTTTTTCCCAGAGAGAGAAACATGACAGAGAGCATCTATTCAGCCATTTCCTCTCAACCACACACACACACACACACACACACACACACACGCACACACACGCACACACACACACACAGGCGTCGTTATTGAGGTCAGATCATATCTGGCAGCTGAAACCAAACCTGTGTGTGAGAATTCAGACACACGCAGTCACTCACCTGTCTGACCAGCAGACACTCGGCCTGTTCCTCTGCCCCCTCTGGAACAGTGGACTGCTGCGTTCTCCTCTCCTGAGGAACAGTGCACACCTGTGTGTGTGTGTGTGGGAGAGAGAACAAGAGCACTTCAGTTAGGGCAGCATTAAAATAATAAACGTTAGTTAATCAGGGCAGGCCTTTAAGGGTTCTTTAGTAAAGACAATTGCTCTATATAGAGCCATGTACACTCAAAGAACCATTTACATGCTTAAATGGTTCTTTGCATGGTGAAATGGTTCATCATAGGGAGAATGTGTTGTTTACAGTTCTGTATAACCATACAGCTCTGTAGAACCATATCGCTGTTGTCGGAAGAAAACCTTGTATCTCCAAAATAGTAAATTTACAGGAAAAGGAAAAAAAAAACATACTTTTAATGTAAGTCAATGCAACCAGACTTTTTTCCAAGTAATTTTGGGTTGTTTCTTTTTTCAGAAATTTTCAGATTATGTCAAAAACTGAAAAATGATAAAAATGCAGATATGAGGTTTTCTTCCGACAGCAGCGATATTCAACACATTTTTCATCAATCTGAAGAACCATTTCACCATGCAACCCTTAAAGATCCATCTTTCTTAAGAGTGTAGGTCACATAGCCTGGGAATGATCCAGTTCATGTATTGGTTGAGCGCCTGTGTAACTGAATTCACTCATTAGAAGGGCTGTCCGGATACTTTTGGACAAACAGCACTGGAATAGAGGCCACAGTTTATTCAATTTCCAATCAAAACATACAACTTATTAAGTACAATATTCATTTTTGTCAGTGTGTCACTCTTTCCCTTCATTGCAGCTTCCATTCCTTTGAGGAGACTCACTTTCAGTTCCTCAAAGAATCTGCAGACACACCTCCAAAGTTCAGTCTTAGAAGCTGGTTGATCATTTTTTTAAGTAATTAAACACATTCAGTGGTCTTGAGGTCTGGACTCTGGGGTGGTCCATTGTTCAGCTTTCTTTTGATGTGTCCGTCTCCTTCTCTCAGTGAGGTTCTGCTTGACAGCTACACATCCTTTCAGGCCCATAGCGCTGAGTCGTCTTCTCACAGTGGAAGGATGGACAGAAACACCTGTGGATGTTTTCAGATCTGAAGCAGCTTGATTTTCTCTTCTCTCTCAGAGATGAAAGCTTTAAGTGCTGTTTATCTGATGGGGGCAGTTTTGGTGTCTACCAGGTCTTCCAGGTGGTTGTTAGGAGGCCCATTTTCTCTGTAGCTTTTAATCATTTTTTGAACACCAGTCTTGAAAACCTCTTATATCTATTCTTATATCTAGTCTCCTTGTGGTCATTTTAGATGCGCATGAGAGAGAAATGCGAGAGGCAGCTGAGTTTGGGTAGGTGTTTGTGTGAATGTTAGTGTCTTTATGAAGGGGAATATAATGTCAGTGCGATCTTTGGGAGCAGCTGTAACTCGCTGGGTTTAAGATTAGAAGGATGGAAGAGTTAAAGTGGCACTAGGGGCACAAAAGTAGAGAGTGGACAAATTAAACAGTGAAATATTTGATATTATACATATTGTTATGTGGAATAGTTTGTTAAGTCTGGTGCTGTAAAGTGTATAACTTGCACTTATTGGCCATTTTGGCCAGAAAATACATAAACAAAAGGGTGGTCATAAACAAAAGGGTGGACTTTCGAACAGTACTGTATAGTGTAAATAACTACTTTGATAGCCAACAGTAATCCACAGTTTGTCATTAAGGCCAGCCTAGTAATATACACTATATGGCAAGTATGTGGACATGAACAGCACACCTATATGAGCTTGTTGGACGTCCCATTTCAAAAGCATGGGCATTAATATGGAGTTGGTCCCACTTTGCAGCTCTAACAGCTTCCATACATCTGGGAATCTTTCCACAATATTTTGGAGAGTGTCTGTGGGAATTTGTGCCCATTCAGTCGAAAAGAGCATTTGTGAGGTCAGACACTGATGTTGGACGAGAGGGTCTGGCTCACAATCTCCGTTCTAGTTCATCCCAAAGGTGTTCAGTGAGGTTAAGGTCAGGGTTCTGTGCAGGCCACTACAGTTCCTCAACACCAAACTGGTCAAACCATGTCTTTAAGGACCGTGCTTTGTGCACATGGGCTCAGTCATGCTGGAACAGGAAAGGCTCTTCCCCAATCTGCTGCCACAAAGCTGGAAGCATAGAATTATCTAAACTGTTTTTGTGTGCTGTAGCATCAACATCACCCTTCACTGGAACTGAGGGGCTCAAACCCTGAAAAAACAGCCCCAGCCCATCATCCCCCCTCCACCAAACTTTACTGTTGGCACTGTGCGTTTCGGTAGGTGGCGTTCTCCTGGCATCCACCAAACCCAGATTCATCCATCAGACAGCCAGATAGAGAAGTGTGATTCATCACTCCAGAGTCTAATGACAGTGTGCTTTACACCCCTCCGGCCAACGCTTGGCATTGCGCATAGTGATCTTAGGCTTGTGTGCAGCTGCTCGGCCATGGAAACCCATTTCATGAAGCTGATCATGTGCTGATGTTGCTTTCAGAGGCAGTTTGCACTGATGCAACAGAGGATTTGTGTCTTATCTGCTTTCTGTATTTTGAGTGGTCTACCGCCTCATGGCCAAGCTGTTGTTGCTCCTACATGCTTCCATTTCCCAACGATAGCACTTACAGTTGACCAGGGCAGAAATTTCACAAACTGACTCATGGCAAAGGTGGCATCCTATGATCTGAGCTCTTCAGCATGACCAATTCTACAGCCAGTGTTTATGGAGACTGCATGACTAGGTGTTTGATTTTGTACAGCTGTTAGCAATGAGAGCAGCCTAAACACCTGAACTCATAATTAGGAGGGATGTCCACATACTTTTGGCCATATAGGGTATTTGTAGGTTATATTGTTGGTAAATACTGCCTAACCTCACGCACTAATGATCTGGTTTTCACAGAGTGATCACATGCTCAGAAAGCTCAGTGCTGAATTTGCATTGTGCACCAGCGAAGATGAACTTTAATTAGATTTATGCAGTGCAAAGCAAGCAAAGCCTCAGAGGGCAAAAGAATTATTCCGTTTCGCTCTCTTTTTCCGCGTGTCTGAGGGACTGGGCATTCTAAACATCCAATTAGTGAGACTACAATTGATGATGTGCATTAGTGTGTTAATGAAGTCATTAATGAGCAAACATCCACAGAAATTAGTACCAGCGGAAAGGGACCAGAATGTGCGTACATGTTTTACAGGAACAGCTCACTGCTTTTTGTACTAGTATACACCGATCAGGCATAACATTATGACCACCTCCTTGTTTCCACACTCACTGTCCACTTCATCAGCTCCACTTACTATAAAGGTGCACTTTGTAGTTCTACAATTACAGACTGTAGTCCATCTGTTTCTCTGCATACTTTGTTAGCCCCCTTTTACCCTGTTCTTCAGTGGTCAGGACCCCCATGGACCTTTACAGAGCAGGTACTATTTGGGCGGGGGATCAATCTCAGCAGTGCAGTAACACTGAGGTGGTGGTGTGTTAGTGTGTGTTGCGCTGGTACGAGTGGAACTGTTACGCAGTTTTATGAGATCACTATTACAAAGTAGGACATGCTTCTTTGTGAACTTTTGCTGTGAACTAAAAACAAGCCAAACTTTTCTCTGAAGTGTATAATCAGAGCTATGCATAATCATGTCAAAATCAAGACGTTTTAACACAGAAAACATCAAAAATCAAATCTAATCTTGACTTCAGATTTGAAAATCACACCAAATCTAAATATATGTGCATCATAGTGCTGCGCAGTATTGATTAAATTCAATATGACAGAATTTTCTGAATATATCACAGCATAACAGTATCTGATGATATTTAGGTTTGCATTAATAAAGTTAATGAGCACATGGCATCTGAGTGCTGCTACTCATTCTAAAATAATCTTACTATCCTGATAAAGCTTATCTTGGCCTGTTTTTTTCTTAAAACCATACCAAAGGGAGCCTTGGACAGTAATGTATGATGTTAACTTTTTGATGTATTTGTAAAATAATCTGCTAAAGTGCCAAGTAAATTAAATAAACCAAGTAAATTACATACGTCAGAGACAACTTTCACATAAATAGTTTGTAGTTTTTGGCTTTAAAACTGCACAACATATGTTTATTTGAGGTTATTCTGGCTACAGTGCTTATCTTCACAATGAGGAAGGGCTATTTTCTGCTTTACCAGCAAGCCAGTTGACTCCTATGCACTGTTAGAAATAAAGGTAATGTTCAGGTACATTTTTCATTCATCAAGGTACAAACAATGTAAATGTTCCCTCAAAGCTACAACAGTGGTTTTAAGGTCCTTAAATAAGTTTTTTCAGGTGAAAAGTTTGTATTTGTATCTTTTTTATAACCGAATGTTTTAAAACAGAACAGTAAAATAAAAAGCCTGGAGACGAGACGGGGTGTGTGGAGTCAGTACATCTTAGAAAATATCATTTCAGTGGATTATGGTACAGTTATATTCCCTGACTAAAGGTACTGAGATGAACCCTTAAAGGTCCCACCCTAGTGACAGCAGGGGTCCTGCCCCAGTGACAGTTTCATACCTTTATTTCTGAGAGTGTGTAATATCTTTGGTAAAATGCATAAATAATATAATTATTCATTTAATCACGGATGTAATGTCCAGTATTAAATATATCGCTAAAATATCACTAACACTGCAAAGCAATATTATGTCAATATCAGCCCACCCAGCGCTAATGTATCCCTAGTAATTGTAGAAACATATGTAGAAACATAATAAATGTGGCATTGTGTCTATATTGTGCATCCCTAAGCAGAATATTGAAGTACTGCCTCAATTCCCCTCTAAACCAGAGAGCTAGAGTTTATCTTGATACACCATCTCAGTAAAAACGATTAAGAGCTACAGAGAAAATGAGACTCCTAACAACCACCTGGAAGACCTGGTAGACACCAAAGCTGCCCCCATCAGATAAACAGCACTTAAAGCTTTCATCTTTGAGAGAGAGGAGAAAATCAAGCTGCTTCAGATCTGAAAACATCCACAGGTGTTTCTGTCCATCCTTCCACTGTGAGAAGACGACTCAGCACTGTGGGTCTGAAAGGATGTGTAGCTGTCAAGAAGAACCTCACTGAGAGAAGGAAACGGACACATCAAACAAAGAAGCTGAACAATGGACTGACCACCCCAGAGTCCAGACCTCAACGTCACTGAATGTGTTTGATTACTTCAGAAAATGATCAACCAGCTTCTAAGACTGAACTTTGGAGGTGTGTCTGCAGATTCTTTGAGGAACTGAAAGTGAGTCTCCTGAAAAGAATGGAAGCTGGAATAAAGGTAAAGAGTCACACACTGAATACTGAAAATGTTATATTATGACTCAATGGCCATTTTGGAATGCAATAAATGAAGGGTGGTCTCTGACTTCTGCACAGTGCTGTGAGTGAATGGTGATGTGTTTGCATGCTTGCATGTGTGTGCAGTGCTGCGTGTGCAGTGGTTCAGTCTGTAGCTGAAAGAGGATGTGGTTCCTTGGCTGGGCCTCTGCCTGCTGGCTCTGTTTAGTGGGCCCTGCCTTTCACTTACACACATACACACACATACAAACACAATAACGCTGCTAATAATGTCACACACTGCGCTGCTGAGTCGAACCTGCCTGAAACAGTTAGTGTAGGATGTCTATATGATGCAGCAGCAGTTTAGGACCATAGCGTCACAGAATAGAAAGTGAAAAAAAAGACTTAAACAAGGACAGTCCTGTGTCTCATCAGTCTGTGGGCAGGAATTTCCCTGTATTCACACATACAGGTGAACAGATTCACAAAGACAAACGAAACAGTTAAGATGAGTCAGAGGTAAGCATGCGCTACAGAAACAGCTTGGTTCTCTCTCAGGAAAGGGCTGGAGAAACACACACTTACACCCACGCTAAGGACAGAAATGAACACTTTGTGACCACAGTGCCACTTTTAGGGAGCTAATTTATTGACCAATATAACTTGAAATCAAATTTGTACCTTGTTAGTTCAACTGTATAACTGGTCATTTTAAAGGGGAATTCAACCGATTTTGCAAATTTTCTACACAATAATTCAGTTGGTGTGAAATGGTTGATTGTATAGACTTTGCTTTTTCTTCCTTTACAGCGATTGTGATAGGAACCACGTGTTCAACACTAATATAGACATTTTATTTACTATCCAAAACCACCAGTGAACCTACACGTGTCTTCTGAGGTTTATATGGAATGTTGATGATGGGAAAATTGAAAAAAAAAAGGTTTTCTTTGGGGACTATTTTGCCTCACAACACCCTACATGTATCCCTCCACCATTAATAGACAAAAATAAATTGATTAAAATACATTTTAGGCCAAACTACCATAAAACAGTGTCTCAGACATCAGACAGTGAATTCATAACCATTTCATGTAGTAACTTTCTGTGAGGGAGCTTTTAGAGGTGGACGTCTGGTTTCTATCACCACCACTGTGAACAGTTCTGACTCTGTAAGTTGCTCTAGAACAGAGCGTTTCACACCAAACCAATCTGAATGACATTGTTTATATCTTGAACATTTAATTAAGCAGACTTTTTCGAAATTTGGAATTTTCCTTTGATGATTGTTAACTATATCATATAATTTAAAAGATTAAATTCTTGTTTTCTGCGATCTTCTAAATCTCGAAACTTTTTGTCTTGAGGTTGTGTGGGCCAAAAGCCAATAAGACAAAACAGTAAACAAATAAAAAAGGTTTCAAATCACACGTCTAAAAATGTATTTTGTAATATTATATTATGTTTTGGCACTAATATACTTCAAAAAGCATTAAAAGAAATTATTAACTTTAAAAGTTATACATAGTAGACCTTTCTAACTGGCTTAGAGGAAGAGAATAACTTATGATTTCTGTTAATTCACTTTCATTTTTCATTGTTCTTACCACAGAACGTTTATTTCATATGCTATCCTCATGCTAAATAAGTTATTTTAGTGTTTTTTATGTCAATAAAATGTTGTCCTGTGTTCAAATACAGCTATATATATATATATATATATATATATATTTATCTTTTATTCATTTATTAATGTATTCATCATTTCCACACAATAATGTAAACTCAAATAAGGCATGCAGTAAGTTTTGGCAGCGCATTTAATGCCTCTAAAATCTCCCTCATACAAAGTTATTACATTAAAAATAGTTATGAATATGCTGCCCGATACATTGTTTTCCAGTATTTTAGAAGGGTTTGGCCAAAAATGAATATTTTTTGGAATCCATTCATGGTGGAGGGATAAAAGGGTGCTAAAAACGTATTCTTTATATCTTTAGATTTTACAACCATCATCATTTCCATATAAACTCAGAAGACTAGTGTAGGTTCACTGGTGGTTTTGATAGTTAATAAAATGTCTATATTTGTGTTGTAGTCATGGCGACCCCTGGTTCCTATCACCACCACTGTAAAGACATCTGAACCATTTCCCACCAAACCACTCTGAATCACTCTTTATTTCTCAAACACTGAATCATGCAGGAAATTAAAAAAAAATGACTGGCATTCCTCTTTCAAATTTTACATTTATTTTACGACTGTTGTGAGGAACCCAGCTATAGCATGAACAGCTTTCATTACACTCATTATTTGTTATAATATGAAGCAAGCTATTTCAATATTGCTGCTTATTAGTCAGTGCTTTATTGACAGGTTGATAGCAATAATTCTCCTGAACCTCAATATCGGCTGATATTATCGGCCAACCCCTATATCAGTCAAGCCCTGACTCGCACACACAGTAAGGTGTACTTACAGTGAAGTCTTGGTCCGGGAAGAGCAGCAGGTCTTGGAGAGGATCCTCCTTAAGCTCAGGCTCCAGTTCTGAGATCACAGCCTCGTAGTCCAGAGGATCAATCAGCTTAGGCTTCTCCTGCTGTAAACACAAACACAAATCACAACAGCATGAGTAAACAAGTCACACAACACGAGATGACTGACCAGACTGGCATCACCTTCCTAATTTGGTTTGCTCACAGAATTCATCCAGCATTTCTTCTGAAATGAAGGGTGTTAATAGTGAGTTTGTGCTGCAGTAACAGTCTCTACTCTTCTGGGAAGGCTTTACACTAGATGCTGGAACATTGCTGTGAGGATCTGATTGAGCATTAGGGAGGTCAGGTACTGATGTTGGATGGTCAGTTCTGGATCACTCCAACTTATCCCAAAGGTACTGGAAGGAGCTCCATCACTCCAGAGAACACAGTCCCACTGCTCCACAGTCCAATGCTGGGGGGGGCTTTATACTTGGCATTGAGTATGGTAACCTTAGGCTCATGTGCAGCTGTTCCAAAGTGTCCCATTCTATTGGTCAGTGCTTTTCTATGGAGACTAAACAAGCTGTATCAGCAATGAGTAACTTTACAAGGACTGTCCACATACCTTTGGACATTTTGGCCTGTTGCAAGTCAGCTTTAAGAGTTATATCTTCCACTTTGGATATAGTATTGAAGTCTTTGGGAAAAAGACCACGCCTGAAGCTCCGCCTCCTTGCTACCTAACTTCCAACACATTCTTATCACTCCTTTCTCTTCACTGTCACACGGCACACCCTCCACATCTCCTCCTCACAACACAACCACAGACTAAATCCACTTTAAGCACACTTAAATAAGCACACTAATGAATTCACAAAGCAGGCATGTGTCAAGTTCACTTTCCTCATTCATATCAGAAGAAGACTGAAGCAGCCATGAACAATAATAGCACTTGAAGGCTGGAGCGGAATGTGCACTAGGTCATCTAATTCTGATAAGCCTGTTTCTGTCTGTTGCTGTGGCTACTGAAACACACTATATAGGGGGCACTGTGTGTATGGTTGTGTATATACAGTCGTATGCAAAAGTTTGAACATCTCTGGTCTATGGATGTGAAAATAAGGGATCAAATACAGGGATGAAATTTAAATCTGGCACTTTGCTGCAAATTTAAAAAATAAAACAAAATATTAAATATTCCATAACATTTGCACAAGCTACATTTTATGTTTTATTACTTTTTCCAATATGTTACAATCAAATAAACAATAATTGTGCATTAAAGTGTGCAGAAGTGTGTCTCTGTAGAAGATGTGTTACTTATTCACACTTAAAAAATCAACAAAACATATAATTTAACCAGGGGTGCCAAAACTTTTGCATAAAGCTGTGCGCTGAATTATTAGATCATTTTGAACATTAACATGAAATATTACAATTAATATTTAATGTTTTTATTTATTCTAATTTTAGGCAAAAAATAAAATTGTTATTATTATTATTAGTGCTTGTGCATAGCAACAATCTGGTAATACCATACCAACCACTTTGGATACCATAGCAATCACTGTGCAATGCCCTAGCAACCGCCAGCGATACCATAACAACCACCTAGCCATACCTTAGCAATCACCTGGGCAACCATAGCAACCTCCTAGACACTCCTTAGCAACCTTCTGGGCTACCACAGCAACCAACTAGCCACACTTAAGCAACCACCTGGGCAACCATAGCAACCACCTAGCCACACCTTAGCAACTACCAGGACTAACATAGCAATCACCTGGAATACCATAGCAACCACCTTGCAACACCTGAGTAACCACCTGGGACACTATATCAATCACATCTCAAAAACCCTAGCAACCACCAGATATACCATAGCAACCACCTAGCCACTCCTTAGCAACCACCTGGACTACCATAGCAACCACCTAGCCACACCTTAGCAACCACCTGGGCAACCATAGCAACCACCTAGCCACACCTTAGCAACTATCAGGACTAACACAGCAATCACCTAGCCAAACCTTAGCAACCACCTGGGCAACCATAGCAACCACCTAGCCACACCTTAGCAACCACCTGGACTAACATAGCCATCATCTAGCAACACCTTAGCAACCACCTGGACTACCATAGCAACCACGTAGGCACACCTTAGCAACCAACTAGACTACCATAGCCACCATCTAGCAACACCTTAGCAACCAACTGGGATACCATATCAATCACATAGCAAAAACCCTAGCAATCACCAGAGATACCATAGCAACCTGTTCGCAATACCCAAGTAACCACCTGGGACACCTTAGATACACTTCATCAACCACCTAAATTACCTTAGCAACCATCTGGCAACACCCTAGCAACCATCTTTGAATTACTTTAGTTGCACACTCTGTTTTCCTCAGGAAACACTGTTATTACTTATTTTATCACAGTTATTATAATAACCCCTTTTGCATTTGTCCTAATATTTGATTCAGTGTTGATACAGTGAAAGTTACTGTATACACTAATCACCTGCGGCTTAATAAAAACGGCAACTAAATTACTACCGGAATCATGAATCATTATGACTGCTAAATCACCATGACAGCTTTATTAGTGTGCCGTTTCAACTGTGTGTGAATAAGCGGAAGGTAGAACCAGCTTCCTGTTTCAGAAATATCCACAGACAGCAGGTTTCTGATGAGGTACATTCTGAACAGAGAGAACGAGCTGAAACCAGACGACACTGTAAGCACATTAGGAGAACAATTACAAACACATGCCCAGAAGCTTCTTCTCACATTTGGTTTAAACAAACTCCTCCAGAATGGCTTCTTTAAATAACTTGGTTAGTAATTGCTTCTCTCGCTCTGCCGACTTCCCTGGGACTTGAGGTTTTGGTCAGATATAAAAATGCCACAGTTCTGACTGCCTCTGTTCCACCAGAGATAAAATGTCCCAGATGAGATCACACATGTTGGTCTTTACTGATCTTTCCAGCGTGAGCAAATTTTTGTATAGCATTTCTCAAGTCAGTGGATTCTGAGAAACTAGGATATAACACCCTCTTCCTCCAACCCCCACCCCCTGTTTGTTGTCTTAACACCTATAACAAAAATAGTCACAGCACCTGCTTCTTATCCTGCCGTCATGGTAAATACGGCAAAAAATAACATCGCAATACTTGAAATTTCCATTATATATGTTATGAAGTTGGAATGGACAGAATGCGCCAGAGTATATTTAAAGAAGGTTACAAAGCACTGCAGCCTTAGCATTAACACCTGTCTGGCGTGATCAGATAATAAGTGGACAGTGAGACGTACAGCTCAAATGCATCGCCAGTCACTGCTTATGACTGGACGATTCTGTAAGTGGAGTAAGCTACCGTGCACATTTACCATGTGGATGTCTCCCGGCTGGGTTTCTTGTCCGAGGTCCTTGCGTAAATTAGGCCTCGACAACTCCTGTGAACTTTTGCAAAGGCCACATTTTATGTATTTTTTAAATTCAGCAAATTGTGCATTAAAGATGTGCAGACGTCTGTTCTATGTAGAAGATGTGTTGAGAAGCATTGGACCCAGTTTAGAGGAAGGTCTCAGGTGTGAAGAGGCCCAACGTTATAGATTAACATTTTTAAAAAAAAGTACCATTTTTGAAAAAAGTGGATGAAAAATAAAAAATGAATAAACAGTGTGGCAAAAACTGGGCCACCAATCAATCCACTCATCTACTTATTATGCTATTTCTGCATTTACATATATAAATATAATGACATTACTATTGGCACAATGGCATCTATTCAATTCTTTGTCTACAGGTGTATAATGATTGATATTAGCATAGACAAAATGGCATCAGGTTCAAAGACCTAATTTTTGGTCTATAGGCATATAATGACTGATAGTACTATAGGCAGAATGACATCTATAGACTAAATTCTACAGGTCTATAATGATTGATATTAACATAGGCAGAATAGCATCTGACCCTTAGACCTAAGGTTTGGTCTCTAGGCACATAAGGACTAAAATACTACAGGCAGAATGCATCTGACCCAAAGACCTATTTTCGGTCTATAGGCAAATAATGACTGATAGTACTATAGGCAGAATGGCATCTGACTCATAGACCTAGGTTTGGCTAATAATACTATAGGCAGAATGGGATCTGAACTATAGACCTAATTTTTGGTCTGTAAGCATGTGATGCCTAATCGGGAGTAAGCACGGCATCTGACCCACAGACCTAATTTTTGGTCTATAGGCATATAATGACATATATTAGTATAGGTAGAATGTTATCTGGTCTATTGACCTATAATGACTGTTATTAGACTTGAGAATGACATCTGAGCCTTGGCTGAAGCTTTGGTCTAGAGACAAACAGTGACTACACTTTAGCAGAATGCCATCTCGTCAACACGCACAATTTTTGGTCTGCAGGTCTATAAAGACTGATATTACTATAGGCTAAATGGCATCTGACCAAAGGCTGACGTTTTGGTACCTATAATGCTGATACTGCTTTAGGCAGAACTGCCTCAACAACACATGATCTGTGGTGATGTTGATGTACTAGTTACATCTACAAACAGTCGAAAAAGTGAAGAAGATCTCGTACAGATTTCACTAGGGGGATCCCCAGTCTCCATGGCAACAAGCGTTATTCTACATCAGTTAGGGGCGTGTCGGGGGTAAACTTCCCTGCTGCGGGACTCAGTTTGTGTCACTGCCAACAATGTGTTCCAACACGTGTCCAACACAAAACACACAAAGCTCACTCTAATGCCTGTCTTAGTAAATAGGTCACTTGTCACTTTCCCAAAAACGATTATAAACAGAAGAACAAGAAAACTGGCTCACAAACGCTGTGGAAGTCATAGAGGAAACTACAAGGAGAACTATGTAAACAGTCCAAACACAATAACACATGCAACATACAGCGGCTACTGTACAGCCCATTGAGAAATTGAGAAAGGTCAGTACAATACAACCCAGAATACAGTACAACCTAGAACAGACAGTACTCTACAGCACATTCTGGCATGTCAAGCTTTCAGAAGTGAAAACCATCAGTATTGCTACCTCACTGTGCTTCTGAAATGATGAGGGTTTTTTCGGAA